AACCTAGCTATAGTTTATAGTATAAACTAAGGTTTCTAACTAAACTAAACTTTAACTAATTATTACCTAGACTTTTAAATATACGTTAGTATTAGTATACTAAGTAGCTAGCTATTAAGAGACAGCTTATTAGCTCTTTATTACCTTTACTATATACTTCTACTAATATTTACTATATAAAGAGGAGCTAGGTATTAGCTTCTATACTAAGTTACTATATTAGATTGTTACTGTATTATATCTATCTGCCTATACTACAAGTATAAATATACTAAACCTAAAATATTAGTTATTTTATAAAAAGTAACTAAACTTTATTAGTATTATTTACCTACTATTTAAACTTACCTATTAAGAAGTAAGTTTTTAAATCTATCTTTTATAGCTAAGAGTACTTTAGTATAAGGTTATAACTTCTAAAGTTTACTACTAAAAAGATTTATAAGCGTATTTCTTTAGTAGTTCTTTTAATTTCTTTATATAAAAGTATAAGCTAATAAGGTTAAAAAATATTTTAGTAGTTATTAAAATTAAAGCTTACTACTAGCTTTAATTAAAATACACTATAAAGAAGTAATTTCGTAATAACTACTTTTCGAAAAATAATATTAATTTATGTACCTAAGTTAAATAGTATAAAAAGAAGTATTATAAACCTATTAAACCCTTATAAGATAACTATAACTTTAATATAAATCTTTTTTCTTTTTAACTTTAGCTCTAGTTATAACTAAAAGAAATTTATAACTAAAGCTTATATTTTTTTAAGCCTTAGCCCTTTAAGTTTTGAATTTAGTTAGTATTAGTTTTTTAATTTAGTTTCTATTAGCTATTTTTCTTACTATTTTAATTATTATTAGTAGTTACTACTTACCTACTACTTTAGGTCTAGGCCTAAGGTAGTATATTATTAGATTAGCTCTAGTACTATTTTAAAAGTTTAAAGTTTTATCCTTTTTTATAATTATCTTAAGTTAAAGAGGTAGTAATTTACTTTAGTTTTATAAAGCTTAATAGTTTTAACTTTATTTATATACTTATAGTAGTTTTTATAGTATAATAAGCTGTTTTAAACTTTAACTATTTAATAATAGTTTCTAATACTTTATTATACTAAATCTCTAATTAGTAAGCCTTAAGGGCTTTTACCTATATTAGAAAGATATTTATATTATTAATTAAACTACTAGCTATAAGTTTAACGAAACTTTAATTAAGTAATAATTACTTATAATTTAGGTATAATTAAGATATCCCTAGAGGATAGAGATTAATATATAATCTTATTCTTATAATATTATATTATTTTAGGTTTATAGCGTATTTATGCTTCTAGTACAAGCAGATAGACGCAACACAGTAAGAATCTAATATAGTAACTTAGTATAGAAGCTATTACCTAGTCCCTTTTTACACAGTAAATATTAGTTAAAGTATACAGTAATAGTAATAGAGAGCTAATTAGAACACTGTCTCTTTAACGACTAGCTGCTTAATGTACCGGTGCAGACGCGTATTCGAGAGCCTAGGCAGCCGTTTATAATATTATATATACGTTTTAATTATTTATTAGTTTTTATTTTTTATACTTACTATATTAGCTAAAGTTTAACCTAGTTATAGCCCTCTACTTTCTATTGCTATTACTATTACTACTACTATTACTATTAATATTACTATTACTACTACTTCTAGCTTTATTCTTATTTTATAATAATTATATAGCGTTATAGTAAGTTATTATACTTTTTAGATTTCTACTATAAATTCTTTTTTTTTAGGTAGTATACTTAGAATTTATAAAAGCTTACTTAAAGTAGCTTTTTTTTTAGTTAGAGTAGTATTATTATACTACTTAGTAGTAAGCTTATTAAGTTAAAAAAGCTAGGTATTAAAGAAATCTTAATTAGTTTTATAGACTAATATAAGGTAGAGCTAATTTCTAACTTTATAGAGCTATTGTTTAAGTTTCTTATAGACTTTAAGATAATATAAAATATCTTTATTATTTAGGTAGAAGGTATTACTATTATATTAAGTAATACCCTTTATTTTTTTTACCACTTAACTAGGTCTTTAAAAATCTTATTAGAGTTATATAAAGTACTAATCTACTACTAGTATTTACTTATATTAATTCTTTAATTATTAGTTTACTATAAAATATAGTATAAGAACTCTAAGGCAATACTAATAGAATTAAATTATTAATTAGGTATAATCTTAGTAGTAAAGAAAAAGAAAATAGAATAGATAAATAAATAAATAAAGATTTTAGCTTTAAAGGTATATAGGATATTTATATACTAGCTTAACTATATAAACTACTATTACTTAGTTATATATTTATAAATACTAGTTAAATAATAAGTTTTTTTAACTTAACTATAGTTAATAACTTAAAGCTAAACTGAACTTTAATTACTACTTAGGCTTTTAAATATAGATTTATATTAGTATATTAAGTAGCTAGTTATTAAGAATTAGCTAATAAGCTTTTTATTACTTTTACTATATACTTTTACTAGTATTTATTATATAAAAAGGGGCTAGGTATTAGCTTTTATATTAAGTTACTATATTAGATTCTTACTATATAGCGTCTATCTGCCTATACTATAAGTATAAATACGCTATAAACCTTAAATAGAAATAAAAATATATTAACTAAGCTATTAGTATACTACTTAGAGTTTTAAAACTTTAAGTAGTTTTTATATTTTATAAAGATTAAGTTTTATACTAACTTTTACTTCTTTATATAGATATTAGCCTAACTATAAATTACTTTTCTATTAATCTTTTATTTAATTAATTCTTAGTATATTTTATTTTAGATAGTACTTATTATCTAGTAAGCTTTAGTTATTTAGTATTTTTAGTATTTAAGTATACTTAAAGATTATATTTATATTTTGAACCTACTTTATTTTGTTAAGAGCTAACAATATAGAGTTTAAAACTTAATTTAGGCTTAAAGTTTATTATATTAAGTACTTTAAAAAGCCTTCTTACTATATTAAATATTAACTATAAAGGCTTTACTAAAGTAGTAAAGTATTTTAGGCCTAAATACTATAAAGTAACTTAGAAGTATATTTCTAAAATTATAATATATTCTAGGTAAGTACTTTAAAGTTATTCTTTTAGAAGCTTTTTTAGAATTATTTAAATATACTACTTACTACATAGTAGTACTATAAATATATAGACTTTTTAAAGTTAATTTTAACAAAATAATAGAATACTATTTTAGTAAATTATGTCTAAAACTTTACTAATTCTAGGTTTTAGCTATATTTTAAAAAGAAGTATATAGCTTATTTCTTTAATTAAAGGTTATTTTAAGAAGCTTTATTATATATTTCTTTAAATAGCTAGTTTTTTATAAGAAAGAAAGTTATATTCTACTTTAAAACTTTTTCTTTATTATTTATATTATTTATAATTTTACTATTAGTAACTAGTCTTTACTTTCATGCCAGGTTACTTTTAGTTTAAAATAAGATTATTCTTAGGCTTTTCTTAAATATACTATTTTATTCTTTTTAAAAGTGTATTATGTTTTTATTAAAATAATTAGCTTTTATTTATTTCAGAACAACTATTTTTTTTAAAAGAAAGTATAGAAAATTAAAATTATAAGACTATTATAAATAGGTAATTAGGAATATAAAATTAATAAACATTTTAGAAAAATTAAATAATTTATTAAAGTATAAGCCTAAGGAATTTATAAGTACTATATACTAGAGCTTTAAGGGCCTTATACCTTTAGCCTAGAGGTTCTTTAAAGGTAGGCTAATAGAAGCTAAAACAGAAATACCTATAACACTAAGGTAGTAGAATAAGGTTAAAGGTAAGAAGAAAATAGTAAACTAAGTAATAATAAATAGTCTAATGTTTAGTTTAAAGTTTATATATAGGCTATATTACTTATAAATAAGATAAGATATTTTCTGTAACCTCTTTTCTTTTCTAGGCTAGCCCTTATATAAAGTAGTATAATAATTTTACCTTAACTAAAAGTATAAGCTATCTTTAGTAAGCCTTTATAAACTCTAAGTATACTACTTAGAAATAGAAAATTATAGAAGTAATTTAAAAAGTATAAGACGTTTCTATAGAACTATATAATTAAAATAGAATTAGAATTAAGCTAAAAGTAGTAGTAATAGTAATAGTAATAGTAATAGTAATTATAATAGTAATAGTTATAGTAATAGAAAGTAGAGAGCTAATAACCTATAACTAGGTTAAGCTTTAGCTCCTATAGTTAGAATAAATAATAAAGACTTATAAAAACTTTAAATATGTATATAAAAATTAAATAGTAATATAAAATATTAACTTCTGTCTTCTTGAAATTTTTAAAGATATTTTAATCTAATACCTTAACTAAGTATAAACTTAAAACATAGAAGATATAAACTTAGCTATTATTTATAAAAAACTAAATAAAATCTAATATCTCTTTATAAGAAATCTTCTTTAAAAAAAGAACTTATTAAGAAAGGTTATATAATAGAAGTTTTTATATTCTTACTCTAGAATATAAGGAAAAACTTTATAAAGTTTTTAATTTTATATTTTTAACTTCTATTACTAAATATAACATAGAATAAGAGTACCTTAGATATTTCCAGCCTATAATAAATCTAAAACATAGTAGCAGAGGTTCTATTTATTAAGCCAATGCATCTAGTGTATTTAGTGTAGACTATTGTATTTAGCGTGGACATTATTGGCATATTAGAACAAAGATCATGGCGTTTGACAAGGGAAACTGTAGTTAGTCAAAAAATTGGCCTTTTACTGCCTGGAATAATAAGAAACTATCTTAACCGTTACAAGGACACATAGGTTGAGTTCAACTCATGCTCCACATTCAATGCTTGCTTCACTTAGGCAATCGAAACCTGCTTCAAGGTGCATTCACTGCTTCCATAGACTAGCCCTTCTACTGTTGTGTATACGTGATCTTTGAACCATACTCCCAATCACCAACTCATCGACAACTGATATTCAGCCCAATGCTCCTCCATATCCGCCTCCCTCCATTTCTCTACGCCTCCTACAACACCATGCTCGTCGACCTCCCATTTCCCCTCTTCAATCATCTCCAGCCATTTCCCTAGCACATACCTAAGCTGTACATCATGCGCTGCAATGAAATGATTGAATCCCAGTTGGTATAGCTCCGCACTCTTTGGTTCAATCTCAGCAGTCTCATCTCCTTCCCGTCGCACATGCTCGCCGATCAGTGCGCCGTCGCTGGTGCGCGCAAATGCGTTAGAGCCGAGGGTGAATGGAAGAACAAGTTTACAGCCATCCTCAAAAGGATGGGGGCCATAAGGATCGCTTTCGCTGAGGTAAAGACCGGCTGGATACGATGAGATGTTGTTGAAGTCGCGCGCGAAAGGCGATTCGCGCACTTGCTCTCCCCACGGTGCGCGTCGGAATTCTTGGTGGGCAGATGATGTGCTTGCGAAGAGGAGAAGTGGGAAGAGGTTGTTAGCGCCCGCTTGCCCTAACGCCGGGGCGAAAGGTTGGTTTTGGGCGATGCTCAAGCCGGGGGCGATATGAGTGAAGGCAGGTCGCGGGCACTGGGCGAGAAATCGATGTGCGAAGCTGTTTGCGGGTAGGATAGCCGGATTCCCAGCTGTCACCATCTCCAGTAGACCTTGTTCGACGCTCTGCGGTTGAGATGGCATTCTGTCGTGGATCGCGTCTACCAGCTGCTGGAAAGCTTGGAGGGACTCTTCGAGGTCTCGCTCCGTGTATGAAGGCATGATCCACGGCTCCGTGCGCTCTTGCTCCCCACTGTAAGTCGCATCAACGGCCAGAATCTTACCTTGCTCAATCAGATCAACCAAGGTATCAAGAACGATCTCAAGAGGCAGCCACAGTTGTCGGCCATTCATGGTGATTTCGGTGTCACGTATGGACATGTGCTGCATAGCTGTGGCTTCACCTTGATTCAGAACAAGTCCCAATGGATGAGTGGCGCCCAGTGCCTCATTCGCCATGTACAGCAAAACATAGCAGGGCTTGTTAGAATTGTCTTCGTCCTCAGCATAATCTATAGCTCGCCAGAGTTGTTCTGGTGAGCTCAAGCCCCCCAGGTACCGATGGAAACGGTGAGGTTTCAAGGCCGAGTCCATTGCATATCCATGCCAAGCTGCTTTGAGGAAAGACACCACGGACGTATTAAGACGTTCAGCTGTACTCGCAAGAGCTGCATCGCCGCCATAGCATTGCCACCATGTGCATTTGTCGAGAGTGTCGAGTGCCAGTCCGCGCTGGGTCCAGCCTAATTCAACAACGTAATTGTGGAGCGCAGCGCAACGCTCGTGGTCCAAGCCGTCTAATTCTCGTAACGGAACTTCGTTGCTGATACGCCATTCTGCCATGATGTCGTATTTGAAATGGGGGAGTGAAAAGTGATGAAGTTTTCATTCGTCGTGTCCTCAGTGAAGCTGACGATCTAAGTAAGCTTGTTTCATCCTTGGCGGTCCCACCGACACCCATGGACGCACGAGAATGTAAGGCCATGATTCGATGTAACATTTAAGGTGCAACTGTCTCGATTGGAAGTAAGTCCACCATCATGTACACCGAAATCTGTTTTACTTTCGTTCATGACAATCAATACACGTTTGTGATGCTCAATGGATTCTAGCGGCGAAACTCTGGCTTGCTTGTGCACTGCTTGATGTCACATACGAGCAGAAATCGACATGTCTGACGATGAAACCCGTCCCTTTCTAGCGAGAACTATTAACAGGCAAATTTGTCTTCTTTTAGTATGAGTATAAAAGAATAACTTTTTTATAAAAAACACGCTTTATTTAATCTCTACCTAAAAGACTAGCCTTATGTGCAAGCTGCCTGGCTACGTTAGGTTAAACCCTTTTAAGCATTGGCGGGCATAGCATGCATCTCGGTTACTGTATAATATGCCTAGAAGTTTTGTTATAGGCTCTGTTAGCTAGCTTACAGAATTAATTCGACGATTGAGAGAAATTGTTGCTAATAAGTTTTCTATCTCACGTTTATAGCGAGACAGTTTAAGGCATTTTGAAATGTACATACGATGTACTAAATACACTAGATAGGCCTTAGATATAATTGCAGGTACGATGTGACTAGTATTGCAGTTACTGTAATACCGCCAGTTGATCCCTCGGATACCGGCTACCAAGTGGAGACTTTGATCTATTGCTATCTTTACATCCTTCGTCATAGTTGTCGTGGTACTGTACCACTGGACTGTGCCCTACTTGAGTATCATACGATTGCCGATTGTCTTACTTGATTTGACGCTTATCAATCAACAGCGGGGTCATTTCGATCCTGCAGGATTACCATTTGTGGGATATCTATTGTGAGTCGCCCATCGTTTCGTATGTTACTTGGTTTGCGACCTCAAAATCATATCAATAGCTTTCTTGAGCGGCCCACACAATCATACTTCATTGTATTTCAGCTATATCCCAGCATTACCTTGGTCTACTTCAACCTTTTTCCAACTCCAAACTCCAGTTCAAAACTTCTTTCGATCCCAATTTACGAACTTCACCGGCCACAATGTCTGCAGAGGAAGTTGGGCGCGGAACCAAGACGTATAGGCGGACGACGTATCCAGCCATCGACGTAACGCAACCTTTGTTGTCTACCAAGGGCAGGTCCGCTGTAGTGACAGGCGCTGGGCAGGGCATTGGGGCGAGTATCGCGCGGTCATTAGCGCGTTCAGGCATCGATTTCCTTGCGCTGATGGGACGAAGACCAAAGCCGCTTACCTCAGTCGCCGCAGAGTTGGCTGAGCTTGCACCCCATTGCAAAGTGTTCACTTATACCGTCGACATCACTGATGAGGAGGCTGTGAACAATGGCTTCGCAGGCTTCGCTGCTGATATAGGGGAATCCCACCCTATCGATATCTTGGTTGCTAATGCTGGCTACATGTCCGATTTGGGCTCGCTAGACAAGGTCGATCCGAAGAACTGGTGGAGCGCGTTCGAGATCAATAGTGAGTACACACCTCACCGGCTTTGTCCTGTCAAGTAGTCTATGGTAACTACTAACCTTCAATCCTCAAACTAGTCAAGGGAAATTTCCACCTCATACGCGCATACCTCAAGTATGCGCCCAAATCCGAGGACGGACGCCTGGGCGCGGTTATCCACGTGTCGTCGTCCTCAATGCATGGCCCGTACATACCCGACTTCTCAGGCTATCGAGCCTCCAAGGCCGGGGCCACCAAGCTTTTTGAACTTTTCCAGAACGAGCATCCTGAGCTGTTTGTTCTACAGATCCATCCGGGACTAGTTGGTGGCACCGATATGCACTCGAAATTTGCCCACACTACAGGAGGGTTTGAGTTTGATGACGGTGAGTCTTTCGAAACATGTGGAGATATCAGTCATACTTTAATATCAATCCGATCGTTTCCCGCTGTTGCTTCTATTCTATTCCCAGGACTCAACAGCTGACTTATCGTGCATCGCACAGAGCAACTCTCTGGTGATTTTGTCGTTTGGTCGCTTAGCCCAAGCGCTCGCTTCTTGAACGGACGTTTCATCCACGCCAACTGGGATGTCGATGAGCTGAGGGCTAAAAAAGACGAGATACTCAAGGATCCCGAGATGTACACTATAGGTTTAATTGGTTGGTGATGGCTATTTGGCTGTTGCCAATGAATCATAGTTTTCTCAAGCAAAATTTGATGGTACGTTCTCTCAATTTTAGAATTGCGTTCTTCTATCAGCTCCTAATTGCTCACACTCCAGCATAGGTCAGAATGTTATCGGTGACATCGACGTTGAATGTAGTTGAATTCTGAGTGTGTACTGTAAACATTGTCTTCGAGCGACAGATATGTTACATAACTTAGGATGCAACACGCTACTGAGGTTATGAATACCAGACTTTCATCTGAAGCATGACCTAGGGGCGAGCACAACCATGTTCGACAAATATACACAAGGCCCTCAACACAGAGAACGGAATACAACACGAAGACCTTGGGTTTCTACAAGCCCATCGCCTTACTAATCACGGCAGGCATAACTTTCAAAAAGACGTCCCCGTTCCCGAATGGTCAACAATCATCGTGGCAACGCCGATGTCACGAAGTACTGGTCTTGCAGGAAAAGACAGCTCAAACTCATCTGCAACGTAACTACAAGTGCCAGATGAGTACAACCGCGTTTGATCAGGGGGGGGGGTGGGGGTCCAATGCGGATCATACACATCCAGATGAATAGAGGCCACATGTTCAACCGGGAGACTTCAACCCTATCAGGGTGTCGTTGCCGGGCTTCGCGACCTACGGAATATATCGCTATCATGAAATGATCGATGTCGGTTCCGGATGGGCATTGCTCTTGTGCTACTCCCTTGATCTTCAATTTCATCGTCCGCCTCTTCCTCAGACTCGTCATCGTCATCATAATCTTCTAACAACTTGTCAGAACATCTGATCAACGCAATGGTATGTCTTATCTCAAGTAGAAGCTTACCATCGTCTTCGAGATCGGGGTCAATGGGCGTCGGCACTGTTTGCCGATACATGCAGATCTGCCAGTCCTGATATCATGTCAATCTCGGAGGCTGTGCAACGGCATACTCACGCAGACTCACCAAATGCTGACCTTCGACATGGTATCTCCACTCCTCTGATGCACCAAGGTACACCAGAATCTCCCAAGGCAACTCATTCGAACTAAACTCCCATATTGTGATGTACTGATACATTTGACCGATATCCATCCGTTGATGTTTCTGATTTTCCCATCTCGATGCATACTCGAGCTTGAAAATTTGTATGCGAAGTAGGTCTGCGCTTTCCAGCATTCCAGGCGCAAAGTCTTCACGGAAAAAGTCGACAAATTCATCATGGTAGGCATCGTGTGGCTGCCACAAGATCACGACCCAGAGCCTGGTATCTCGAACCTCTGTTTCATGATCAGCTGATATATGCAAAGTGTCTTAGATGTGCTTACCCTCCCGCCATGCTCCCCCGTACCAAGTAGCGTACTCTTTGTAGCACCGTGTGTCCAAGCGGGCTGCCGAGGGAAGTTCATAAGGAGCAGGGCAGATTATTCCATCCAACTCTTCTGCAGAGATAGTAGCCGGAATATCGTAAGTCGCCATGTATTTTCCCTCGATTTCTGGTATTTCTTTGAAAATGTTCTCCTCCAAAGTTTCGGCAAGACGGGCTTGTGTACCCAAACGCACTGCGTTATTAGGGATAAAGGACGTCGCATACCAGTCGGCGGCTCCAGCATTCTCGCCAAAGTCCGTCCAAACAAGGGCCACCCTTGACGGTTCATCTGCTGAAGTGGGAGGATCTGCAGGCGACGCATACTCGGACGGGGAATCTGCAAGAGGACTCGACATACTCATAACCTGATCAGCCAATGGACCGAGGAATCGGGATTCGGATGTTCTATAGTGAGCGGTGCTGATTGTCGAACATATACATCGTGGGTTCTCCAAAGGATGAGTACAATAGTAAGCCTATTCAGGGTAAGCGGTTGCCCGAAATGGTCGAGTTGAGGCGGCGCGGCTGGCATCGCGAAATCCGTTCGCGTACATCAGCGGGTCTGGAGTGCGCCTCAATGCATGGTGGACGGTACCTGCAGTTATGATTGACATTGCATGAGCTGGTCTCACCTGGAGTGTTGACACGCGTGTTCCGCCAGGTCGACTCGGGTGCGCAAACGAGCACAGATTGTACACTGGCAGTCTTCGAACAAGCCGTCGTCCACCAGAATGCCTTGCGATCGAACAGCTCTCGTCAAAAGTAGGTGTTCTTGACGATCTCGCTACTTACGTCCAAGCTTGTCCGGCTGTCAAGCCGATGCTAACATATAGCGCGTGTTTCGCTACCTGCGTTCGATCTATCTTGACCCTTATTGATTGGCCGAACCCATCATCGATACATCTGAGCAGGATCTGGCCCCCCTATAGTTGAGTACCCTTACAAGGTGAAGCAATGACACAACTTGAATCAGGAAAAATGACTGTTGCGGATGAAATTTTGTCATATCCCAAGTATCAATCGATGACCTTGCGTCGCGCGCGATCAGAGCGTGGGTGGCAAAGAACATCATATCACATCTGCGCATGCACCGAAAGATACCGCCGAAGGAGCAATAAAAAGGGGGACCTAGTGACAAATTACACGGTTGACACTCGTATTCGGCGAGATGTGTTCATATGCAATCGCCTAGACTATAGACACTCCTGATTGTTTCGACACGGGATTCTATCTTTCGTTACGAACTCTCGGTCAACCGCAAAAGCGGGAAGTAATTTGTTCTTTGTGGCTACTACGAGCCGTAAGAATACACTGATAAAATACATGAAAATACATGCAAGGCGTATACTGCTGATTATCTAGACATAATAATTCAATTTTAATTTTAAGTTGAGATGCCAGGCTGTTATATGCTTTGTTGTTTCGATGAGTCGAGAGCTTGTTTGCACTACATTACTCTGTCCCTGCCTTCTCTGCCGCTTTCTTCTCTCCGCCAGACTTCTCATCCGACTTTTCCTCAACCGCAGGCTTCTCCTTTTCTTCCCTCTTGTTCTCAACCTCCAACGCAGGACCCCTGTACCCTATTGCGTGCAGCCACTTCGGATCGATGTTTTCCACTTGTAGATACGGCGATACGTCGGAGTTGGGGAAGTTGATGTTGCGCATCGAGGAGCCCATGCCGATGTGCGCCCATGGGTTCTTGTGCTGGTACTCGATCTCGAAATCTTCGTAGCGAGGGGTGGCAATGATTTCCGCGTAGTGATTTGAGGAGCCGGGCCATATGGCTAGCGATTGTTAGTGTGATGCATATCATGGTCATGTGACATTCAAATACATACCATTCACTCGGCCTGTATCGTTGTCGCGATACCACGCTCTGCAGTCAGATTTCCACACAGTGTGTTTTATCCATTCTTGCGCATGCTCGTTGTAGCGGTCTGTAATGTCCTGGCGCGGGACCCAAGACTTGATGTGATCGCGCTGCATTTTCTTGATGACTTGGAGCGCGTACTCAGCGACACTTAGAAGCGGGCCAGTCACGGAACCGTTTTCCACAGGCCTGAACTTATCGTTAGTCTGGTTTCCAACAACAATCATTCACATGACACTTACCAAGTAGGTCCAACAAACATGATCATGTTGGGCATATCCGGACATCCCAGACCAAGGTAGGAAAGCGGTTCAGTCTTCCACTTGTCGTGCAGATCGACACCGTTCTTACCAATGACTGGGAAACGCGGGCGGTAGCTCACGTCAAAGCCTGTTGCACAGACGATTGTGTCAACTTCGCGCTCGACGCCGTCCCCGCCAATCGCGCCCTTCTCAGTGATCTCTTCGACAGCCGTGAAATGCACGTCGACGTTTTCTTTCTGGATGGCTACCATGTAAGGATCTCCAGGTGTAACACGACGGCCTGCAAAGACGTAGTCAGCAAACTTGCACTGTAGGCTCCAAATCAGGTGAACATACAGCCAACTTCGAACTTGGGCGTGAACCCCTCCAACAGCCTCTTATCCTTGATGAAGTCTTGCATTCTCCCTTTCGAGAAGTCTTGCGCCTTCTTCTGGGCTTCTGACCCAGTGTAATATGCTCCCCAACCCCCGTTGATTTGATTCTCAATGTCCTTGGCATGCGCGACAAGCTTTTTCGGGTCATTGCGGAATGCATCACGCTCTTCTTGCGAGTACTCTTTGTTTTGGCCGTAGTTGTTAGCAACCTGAACAAACCAAACACCCGTGCGCACAAAAACGTCCAGATGCTTAGCGAAAGGTTGCATGTTTGGCACTGTTTGGATTGACGAAGCTCCAGATCCGATGATCGCCACCCGATCGTTGGCCCATTGTTCCTTCTGATAGTCCTCCGGCCATGCAGCTGTATGGACTACTCGTCCCTTGAACTTGTCAACGCCTTTGATCTTTGGCCATTTATAGCTGTTCAGGAATCCAGTCGCGTAAAGTAGCAGGTCGCATTCATCTTCGAACTCTCTCGTCTCGCCGGATGGTGTCTTCTGTCGAAGACTAACTTTCCACTTTCCAGTATTGTCTTGCCATTCGGCGCGGATGACCTCAGTGTTAAAAGTCATGTACTTCAGAAGATCAAATACCTCGCATACCTTGCGAAGATACGCCTCGATATCCGGGGCGTGTGAGAAGAAGCGGGGCCAGTCTGGGTTGAGAGCAAAGTTCATGGTATAGGCATGGGACGGAACATCGCAAGCGGCACCTTGAAGCTTTTAGTTTTGAAATGCGACGTGAAATTCTGGGAATATATGCTTACCAGGATAACGATTCTCTAACCAGGTCCCTCCCAGGCCTGCGTTCTTTTCATACATGACATGCTCAACATTCTCACAATTCTTTTGGATCTGGTATGCCGCCTGGATCCCGGACACACCAGTGCCGATCGTCAATACCCTCAACTTTCTTGTTGCAGGATTCCGTAGTAGTTGTCAGATTCATGTTCCTTGAAGCAAACACCATATGCAAAGAACGTACATCGTAAGCGATATCTGGGATATTGTACCCAGTTGAGCCCGGGGTTGAATAGTCCCATTGGCCGTCCTTGCCAATAGAGTTGAGATCTGGCGCCATGATGAGAAGGTGTATACGCGATTATGTCTAAGATGTGTTGGATTCAACTCGGATATAAGTAAAACACGTAATTGTGCCTGAGGATGTGATCGTGGGTCGACGTGAAATGGTCCCAGGAAGGGTCTTTGGTGTTGAACGGGCCAAGAGTCTTTGGTGGTGTGAGTGACTTTTATAAGCATCTACATGTGTCACAGGCGAATCCTCTTCATGCCAAATGACGACCTCGGGCTACGATTTAGGTATAGCTAGCATGCCGGATGATGCTGGCCATCTCGATTACGATGACGAACTGGACAAAGATTGCTTTATTTGCATTACAGTCCTCCCGACTCGGAGGCGTGGCGTGTGCTGATTGCCCGCATACTGTAGCATCTTATTGCTCTTCAAGTTAGCCAATTTAGTCAAAGTATCTAGACCGCGAGAGAAAAGAGAAAGCTTCTTCATTAGTTAGATCATGTCTCACGAACTTTGATCCAACGTTCACGGACCTCCATTTGACGTCATGTTGAGACTACGTTTCTATGATTACAATCTTTTCAGATCTTCGACTAGATTTCACGTTATCTGGTCTATGTGACACCTACACGAGCCTAGTAGGGACGCTATACTTACGCTTCTGAGTCGGGGAACACCGTATGGTTGTGACGCGCCGATCACAGTAGCGCGACCATAAAATTGTGGGGATACATCAACGCGGGGCGTTTGCCGGTGCGTCACTACCCGACTGGCGATCTTTGAACACCAGACGATGCTTCGCGGACAACGGTGTGTACCTACGAACGGTCATCACGAGATCTTGTACTTTCCGTAGATGGAAACATAGGAACAAGTCGTCCCAGACAAGAGAGGTGAACTTCGTGAATAAAAGTACCGCATACCTGACAAATTCAAGAGTGAGGGGCCAATTGAGTCCTAGCATCTTGCCTCTGGGTCTCTCTGTACCATCTTCGTCTGGCCGAAGGATACCGGATACGGCGAGATGTCGAATTATTTGGTAGAAAATCTTGTGGTAGAGAAACTCAGCGGATCAACGCGAAAAAGTGTGACACGATAAATGACGCTTAGCCATATACGTGGAAACCATGATGTTGTTTGGAGAATGCATATCAATCCACCAGCTTCATTCCAATTGATGCATTCCGTTTTTGAAAGTCCACCATCGCTACTTCGATAGTAGAGTCGGCAAAGAAAGTCGCTCCACCAGGATGCCATCGTACTATGCTTGTAGCCCTACAATGGCTTCGTTTTGAGCTCTTTCCTACTCCCACATCTGACGCACATTTAGATTCACTCGCTTGCCAGCCATCCACCCTTTCCAGGCTTCAAACTCGTCGCTGTCCGAGCTACCTGGCCAGTCTTGCAAGTACTCAGGACAAGTGCCGGGGACAATCTGCGGAACGCCGTGCCAGGCGAAGCGGGACGATCCGCTCATATAGACTGCGCTTCCCGAGCGGAGTCTGAGTGCCATTGCCTTGTTGTCCGCTTCGGCTGACGTGGAAGATGTACCGATTACGAAGATGGCATCGCATCCGAGACTTATGCTGACCAGGCCGGTTGAACTAGTCTCTGCAACGTCGCGATGCACCGAAAGGGTGTCTCCTGGTGAGTAGAGGTTCACGATTGCAGCCTCGGATTTTGTGTCTGTGAAGACGCTCTCGAGTAGGGTTTTGATGTCCGGAGGAAAAGCGGGAGGAGTGACATCTGGGTATTGTTTGTTCGTCCAATCGTACTGGCCACCCAATGTCGTCCACCGCATCTTCTTTTTTAGGAGCTGGGATACAGAAATTGGCTTGTGAATAGTGGGATCGATGGGGTTTGCAACGCTATCAGGCGAGTTTGGTGGAATGGAAAAGAAAGAAGCGTGAGACGGTGGGTAAGCAATGTTGTAGTGGGTATGGATATTTGTGAGATGAGCAGGGGTTGAGAGGTCGCGGTGAAGTAGACGAGACAGAAGGATTGACTGTATCTCTGGAGGGAGAAGAGAGGGGACTATGTGAAGACCTACCTGCTGTCAGGACCGAATGAGAGACTGGAGGGGTATGAGAGAGAATGAGAACTGCAGGCAAGGCCACGGAAAGAGATGCATATACATGATATACAAATTATGAACTTTCAACATCCGTTCAGCGAACAAAGCACCCAGAGGCAGTCTTACCTGGCATATCCTCATGCTCATAGACCGGTACATCTGATGAGGTCTCCACGCTCTCGATGTCAAGATCCTGTCGCGCGAAAGCTTGAAAAGCACTCATCAAATCTGTCATAGAAAGATGCTTGACGACGCGCACTTTACTATCTAATAGCGTGGATATATGCCTCGACAGATCTACAATTTCGACGTCTTGATCTAGATCCTTCATTTTCATCTTCTGGTACTTTTTGTAAACGTTTCGTATGCTTAGAGGCGGACGCTCATGAGGGTCAAGATTCTCCATAGCGTATTTGGTGAGGGGTAATCTATTGGTTGTGCTATGTTGGTCGAGCGACTGTGTTGTTGGATCGCGAAACGTGTGGGATGTTGACTAAGCTCCAGACGCGTTCGTGGCTCGCTAGCGCGGGCTGAGGGGGAAGCTACGACTGTTTACCTCGCGTTTTTCCTCGCAGGGCTGTTTTGATCCTCGTTGTCCCTCCACTCGACCCGTTTTACTAATCCACAGGTACGCTTCTGGCTCCTCGCCCTCCAGCTCGACCAGACTCGTCTTCCAACGCTCGAATTCCGCCCGTTGTCGACAGACATCTTTGTCTCCAAGCCTGACCGCCTATCGTCTGAGCAGCCTCTCGTTCGCACACCGCCGCTATGGAGAACTACCAGAAGATGGAGAAGATTGGGGAGGGCAAGTCACTACCCAGCCTCCAGGCTATCCCTATGCTAACTCGTCGTCCCAGGTACCTACGGAGTTGTCTACAAGGCGCGCGACCTCACCACCAAGGACCAGCGCATCGTTGCCCTGAAGAAGATACGTCTCGAGGCTGAGGACGAGGGCGTCCCGTCGACGGCCATTCGTGAGATCTCGCTTCTCAAAGAAATGAACGACCCCAACATCGTCCGCCTGCTCAACATCGTGCATGCCGACGGCCACAAGCTCTACCTCGTCTTCGAGTTCCTCGACTGCGACCTGAAGAAGTACATGGAGGCGCTACCGGTCAGCCAGGGTGGTCGAGGCAAGCCCCTGCCGGAAGCTACTGGGCTCGCAGGCCAGCCCCTGAACATGGACACAACCATGGTCAAGAAGTTCATGATGCAGCTGAGCCAGGGCGTGCGCTATTGCCACGCTCACCGAGTCCTTCACCGCGATCTGAAGCCGCAGAATCTCCTGATCGACAAGGACTGCAACCTCAAACTGGCGGATTTTGGTCTGGCGCGTGCTTTTGGCGTGCCGCTGCGGACATACACTCATGAGGTGAGACCCTTGTGGAAGCCCAATTCGACTTTGGACTGACATACTCTAGGTCGTTACGCTGTGGTATCGATCGCCTGAGATTCTCCTAGGTGGTCGACAGTACTCGACAGGCGTCGACATGTGGTCTGTTGGCTGCATCTTCGCAGAGATGTGCACGCGCAAGCCCCTCTTCCCCGGTGACTCGGAGATTGACGAGATCTTCAAGATCTTCCGGTACGTGGGTCCTCTCATACATGACTGCACTTACTAACGTCGACCAGCATCCTGGGCACTCCCAGCGAACAGGACTGGCCCGGTGTCACCTCCTTCCCCGACTTCAAGCCCTCGTTCCCCAAGTGGGCTCGCACAGACATCGCCTCCATTGTCACAACCCTCGACGACGTGGGTCTCGACTTGCTTGACGCCCTTCTTGTCTACGATCCTGCCGGCCGCATCTCCGCGAAGCAGACGGTCATCCACCCATATTTCGCGGGAGTGAATGAGCGTGGTATCTACACCAATGGCTATCACTGATTGCTTGACGTCCCAGGAGGATGTACGACTGTTACGGATTTGATGGAAGCATGCTAGGCGTCGGAGGATATACTACACATACCAGCATCTTGACAAAACTGCTGCCTGCTTTGGATACAATGAGATGGGGCTGCGCTCAACGAGACAGCTACGGCGTTATACATGCATGTTACGGAACCTTTTGCATTTGGGGTCATTGCAACTAGAGCAGATAGATGAAATCAACTCTTGTAAAGCTCGATTGATGGGCATGTTGGGATCACTAACTGTATAGCGTTCGACATGATGACAATTCCCATACTATCCCTTGCTCATCAACATGTCAGCGGCCAATATCAACCTAACTGTCATGCAGGCAGGGCTCGTCTTCTTGGATGATAATGTGGTGTAGCAGACGGCGAATGACGCAACGTGGTCGATCGCTGCCCCACTCCATCCCTGCAGACGCGGGGAACGCAGGGACGCGGCGCGTTCGATCAAGCTGCCAGCCAAACTCCCCTTCTGGACACAAATGATGGCTCCACCAAGGCTCCTCCCTCCCTCGTCCGGCCCCCGCCTGATCGTCTACCACCAAACCTATCATGACTCAGCGGGGAATTACCACTCGCTGCTCCCGCTGCTCACGAGTAACACGGGAATCACACATGTCATCATCGCGGCGATACATGTGAACGAGGGAGCAGGAAACATCACGCTGAATGACCATGGCCCAGATGACAAGAGATACGACCAGCTTTGGGGCGAAGTGGCCTGGCTACAAGGCAGTGGGGTGAAGGTTTTGGGCATGCTAGGCGGAGCTGCAAAGGGGTCGTTTGAGCGGTTAAGCGGGGACGAGGCGAGTGTACGTCGCATTGCCATACAACCCAACCATGACACGACTAACTCGGCCAGTTCGAAGCATACTATGCCCCCCTCCACGCCCTAATATCCGCCCGCGCTCTGTCCGGCCTGGACCTCGACGTCGAGGAGCAAATCCCCCTATCCACCGCCACACGCCTCATCGCCCGTCTGCGCGCAGACTTCGGCCCCTCGTTCCTCATCACCCTTGCCCCCGTCGCCACAGCACTCCTCCCCGATCCAAAGGTGCCCGCACATCTGCGTCCGCCGCGGCCCACGCTCGCAAGCGGCCCGAACCCACTGCACCCCACCCTCCCCCATCTCAGCGGCTTCTCCTACCCGGAACTCGAATGCAGCGTCTACGGCCGCGAAATAGCGTGGTACAATACGCAATTCTACTGCGGATGGGGTGATGCCTCGACGACACAGTGGTACGACGCCATCATCGCCGCAGGCTGGGCGCCGGAAAAAGTCGTCTTAGGCGTTGTCACGAACCCCGCAAACGGCGCGGGTCACACCCCCGTCGCCAGACTGCGCGACGTGTGTACGCAGCTGCGCGCCAGATACCAAACCACTGGCAGAGGCTTCGGCGGCATCATGGGCTGGGAGTACTTCAACAGCGGCGACAGCGACGCCGATCTCGTCCACGTCTCCACCCTCGACCTCAACAACGAGACGGTGCAGGCTGGTTGGGTTGCCGCTCTCGGCCGCGTACTGCGCGTCGAGCACGCACCACCGCGCCAGCCCCTCGCCTTTTCGCCAGAACAGGTCCGCCAGATGGTTTCTCGGTTGCCGGCCGCGCGCGCTCCCTGGCCTGAAGACGAGCTGCAGAAGCTTGTTGTGCTGGGGTTTCAGCGCGCTGAGGCGGTCGCCGCGCTGAATGCTACGGATGGGAATGTGGAACTTGCTGCAGGGTTTTTGTTCGAGCGGTATCCTTCGTGAGGGGAAGAGATGTGCTTGTTTTATAAGCCGGTTTCTAGATCTATACTTTGGTGTAAACTCGATACAATACTCTCTTGCATATTCCTCATGAGTGAAACATATGAATCTTCATCTACGGCTACACATTTAAAAAAGGGGTATCTGTGATTTACTACTACTCATGCGTACAATACGCAGTCATTGACTCATCCTTCCATAACGTCTAAATCTATGTCTAATGGCAATCCCAATCCCATGCCCGGCCCACGTCGCTAGTGTAACAATGACAATAGTAATAACAACAAGAACAAGAACGAGAACACGCTCGGTGGAGCTCGCAAGGAATTAAGTCTCATGAAGAAGAAAGAAGAGAGGAGGAGAAAATAACCCGAACCCAGAGTGACATAATGGAATACAAATACAACATAGTGTGGAGTGATACGATTGATCTCGTGATGGACCCAACACTCTTCCTTGTCGCCAACGCAGTTCGGCCGTGGATATTCCGCCGCGGCGGGATATCAAGCCAAGCCAAGCGGGGTACTCGAGCGCGTAGCGTTTGAATGGGTGTGAAGAATGTCGGGGATATGCATGTGCTGGGCCATGCAGCGCCGAGCTTTCGGAGAGTGGGGAGTATATGCAAGAACGCGCACATCCGGCGGTTGAACGTAAAGGGATCCACACGCCCTTCCCGTCCCATGGGAGCCGCAACGCCCTCCGGCCGACGACGCCGAGACAGGGCGTGTTCTTCCTTCTCTGCGTACATGACGAGAAAGGCGATGAGACGAGTGGATCATCACCTCACCTCATCATCGCTGGACCTGGGACTTTCGCGTCGGGAGTTCTTCTGCGTATTGCGATACGTCTCCTCATTCAGCGTGTCCAAGCTACGTGCAGGACTGGGCGTTGTGCCCCTGCTGCCTCTGCTGCGACTCGGAGAGCTAGGCCTAGACGTGGCGATCTCGTACGACGGCAGGACCATATCCATCACCCGTGGTTCGCGGGCGGGCGTGCGGACCGCAGTGTTGTAGCTGGGTGTGCGGACTAGGGCGTCCATGTCGTAGTTTGAGGGTGGCAGGTCGAAGTAGGAGGATTCGGCGCCGTGCTGGGGTGTGCTGTCGCCCGACGAGTGGTGTGATTGTTGCCGGCTTGGTTGGAAGCGTCCTTGTCGGTCATTGACAGACATGTCGAGGTTTTGGAGGCGGTGTTGCAGTGCTATCGCAGACGCGCCGCCACCAGTTTGGTTTGCTACTGCATCCAGCGACGACAGATTCTCTGCGGAGCCGCTTCGGCTTTGCGCGTAGAAGGGCGTGTTTGCCCCGCTGTTCATCATGCTGTACATGCCCCCAGGCGTCATGTAACCAGAAGGATCGATATCGTTGTACAGCTCGTCCAGCTGGTGGAGGCCGTATGTGGGCGGGGCGTTCTGGTTCACCACGTCCTGAATCGCCTGCTGAGAGAGCAGATTGTTATCCACGACCATACTGAGGTCTTCGTTCGGGGGCAAGTTCGGCGAGATGAAGAGGTGGACGTGGTTCTTAACCAGCAGTTGACTCGTATGTCCTTCTGGGTTCTTGAGATTCACGTATAATCGCAGTTTGTGTGTCAAGCGGATGTTCTCTGTGTCCACAGACTGTCTGCAGTTCTTCAGCGATCTCGGGAGTTCAAGCTTCATCGAGAAGCGGTGGGATTCGTCAAACAGCTCATCGGCCTCCTCAACGCCATGCGGGACGATGTGTGCGGAGTTTTCGGGCATGTCGCTTTCAGATACAGCGACCTGCTGCTCGGTCTGGTAGCTTACGCGCCGGCCAGCGTATTCTGCAAACAGTTGCCGCGCCTCTATCAGCTCCATCTTGATTGTCGCGATTTCCACACCCTTTCGCAGCGGTATCAGGACGAAGTCGGCGTTTATGTGGGTTCCAATGATGAAGTTTTTCTGTGGCACCGTAATCTTATAGGCCAGCTTGTTTGCCCAGATGTCTTCGTTGATCTGCTCCATGGGCATCGACTCCATCAGATCTTGTCCCAGCGTTCGAATCACGCGAATGTGTGACGTAGCCGAGAGCTGCTTGGTCATGTAGCCGCGGTCCACAGTCGCCTTGAGGTTGTACACGACCCAGTTTGTGGGAAGGCCCTCGACGCTCTGGTCGAGGCTGCTGGGCATCTTGAAGGAGAAATCCCACTCATGGCGTCCAGCGTTGATCTTGTGCGCCTTGTTCTTGCTGTCGCCAATGGGAAAGAGAGTGATGTTGTCGATGTGGATATTCGTCTTCTGCGAGATGGGCTGCGGGCTGACGGTGTTGGTCAAGTGCCATCTGATTGTGGAATGTCAGCGTGCGATGCCCCACCTACTCCACGCGCCGATTGCCAACCACAAATCTCCGATGTCCAGGGTAGAGGGAAAAAAAGCAGTCACGTACGAGACTTTCCGCGTGCCCGTCAACGTCAACCGTATACACCTGACACTGATCGACTCGGGATTTGTGAGGATAAGCTTCCCCTTGAGCTCTGCATCCTGGCTCTCCGACGGCTCTCCATAGAAGACGACAAACGGCGAATCAGGCCTGAAATCTCGGTTAGCAAATGCACTCTCTTCCTCTCAGAAAGCTCCACCGGCTGCGTGATGGTGTGGAAATGACGTACCGAATCTCCAGTGTAGTCGCGGCGTTCCTGCCAAACACGCCAACGCCGTGCGGGCGGGGCAAAGGCATCGTGTGTTGCGGGTAGGGAGGGGGATTCGAAAAAGTGGGTTTAATAGAGGACCAGGCGCATCAGTCTCGCAAGATAGAGAGTGGACGCGCAGGTTATATAGCGGAGGAATGCAGGTGGGCAGAACAATGGAAACACAAGCGGCGGTTGGATGTCGCGATAGTTGCAGATATAGAAACAAAGCCGGCGCGGGAGAGAAAGTGGCTGAGTGCGTAGACTTGGGGCTTGGGCGGGAGCTGACTTGAACTTGCTTGACTTGAGCTGAGCTGTGGGTCGGGGAGGTCAAGCTATAAAAGTCAAAGAAGATTGGGATACCTAGATAGTAAGACACACCTAGATATGGGCAGGGACGAGCAACAGATCCACACACGCCGCGTGTAGCCTCTGCGCACGACGTCTATCTATGTCAAGACAAAGCCATCAACGTGGGATAACGCGCTCGCCCCTCCAGACCCCTGTACTGAGCACGCTGCGCACTACACACTGCACAGCGCTTTACACTGCATGCAGGGAAATCTTGCCCCTACGGCTAACGAGCAGCAATGATTGCATCTCGCGTCTAGCGCGCTTTTTGCGAGTTTTTCCTTTGCGGGCGGGTACTACCAATACAGGCGAGAAGGTGTCCCGGTGGAAAATCCCGATCTGCTGCGAACTGGGCGTGCGGATCGATTACGCTACGTTACGAGGTGGGATCCTTGGTGCGGCTTGCCCGAGACAAAGACGGAGACGTTGGTGTTTCTTATTCTCGGCGTACTGCATGACAGCAAGGCATGCTACCTACGTGTGAGGTATGTGTTTAGCTTAGGTGACAGCAGTGAGTATGCCATCTGACAGGTCCGGAGTATCTTCGCACTGGCAAAAAGGAGTTTGTAGGATTCTGTTTCTGTTTCGAGTGCTTAGAGACGCATCTAGACGGACTTTCTTGGAGGAATGTGTCTCAGCCTCGCAAGTCGCAACCCGTATTGCACGCCCCCTATTCATCTCTTTTATGCATCACATCACACACTCTCCACTGCGCTCACTGCATCTAATGTACGACGCGCACCTTTCACGGCCGTGGAGCTTCCTCTTTGTTGACTTCCTCCCATCTCGTTCCAAGTTCCTCCCGCATAACATCTAGTCCAGACCCTCAGCACCGATCAACAACACCACCGTGACGAAACCCAGACCCATACAACGACAGCGACTCACGCACGACGTCAACCAAGAGACGGTCCATCACAGTGCCCGCTAACACGCATTCACCACGCGCCACCCAAATCCGGTCCAGTCCAGGCCAAGTCCAACATCTCGCGATAACCTTACGACAAATGTCAATACCTATCACCAAGTAGCAGCATGCAGACCTGCGTAGTCTGCGGAATTCACAAAAGATAACAACCTTCGACAATCATGGGGATGGCATTTGCTATCTTTCCGCCTCTCAGCCACATCGTCACAAAGCATGCTGGCAGACAGGGCTGAAAATGACGAGTGCCAAACGAATAGTTAGTCGCCACGCACGTGAGAGAGTGCCTACCGCCGCCATCGGGCCATATCGGAGAGCAGTTGCCCCTGCACCCCTACCCGAAATCCTGACCAACACAACGTGCCGAGCAACCTCATATTACTTTCAAGCCTTTGTCTCCCTAGCGCTCGCCGTCGTCGAATTCTCGCCGTCATCACTTGCAGCACCCTCCTTGGGGCGATCCCATGTCCTGACGTGACCTGTTCAAACGCGCGCCCGTCAGCTCCACTTTCTTATCTCGAAAAAGTTTTTATGTTTCCGTGATTCAACAGTTCCACAGCGGGTCCCACAGGCGGGTTCCTGCGCACAAGCGTTGCATGTGTGTGTAAAATGTGTAGCGCGTCGACAAGCGTTATCGCGATGCGACATGTTCCTCGACGAACGACGTGCGAAAGCTTGGTGGTCAAGCGGTGACACATGCAAGGAAAATTTTGGATGCGACTCACCATTTTTACATGACGTGATTATGCAATCCTCTTCGAATCCAAGCCAAGCCAAAGGATGCTCGTCCACGCTTTTTGTCTGCAGAATATTAGAACTAGTTATGTTTTGTTGAGATGGATTCTGTTTGAAAAGGTACTTACCAGCACCGGGGGCAACATGGCTGTGCGCGCTCGAGACTCGACTGGATGCACCACTTCTTCCTCGTCGATCAGACTACCTGAGGTAAGGTTGGAGTTTGAGCGCAGACGGCTCACGGATCCTTCTGTGCGTGTGCGCTGTATCTTCAGATTTGTTGAGGTGATGCTGTTGCGTTGTCTCACGGATGCCTGGTAGAAATCAGTTCAACACTTCGTCCTCGGTGTTGCAGCAAGAACTCACCGCTCGCGGTCTATGGAGCATGCCAACGCTGAAGTCCCAGAGCAACAGTTGACAGTCTTCTCCAACACTGCCTATCCGGTAGTTACGATCGTCGCACCGCCAAGGGTCGAACTGCACCGCCGTCACCCACGAGTTGTGTCCCTGACATCGTGCCACTAGCTGGTTGTCTTCCAATGACCAAATGGAGACCAGGTCGTCCTGACCTCCTGTCACAACGTATTTGCCGTCTGGCGACCAGCAGACACACATCATACCTCCATAATAGCTCATGTAGAGATGGAGCAATCTGACGCGTGTTAGGTTGGTTTCATCTGGGGATTGTGCAGAGCGTACTTTTCTTTGAGGAAGTCAATGATCCTGAACGACCCATCTTCGGAAACCACAGCCAGATGACGGCGATCGGGGGAAAACTCAAAAGCGTTGATCTTGGAACGGGACAGTTGCCAACAAGACACGGGATTTGACTTCTGGCTGTTGGAGGTGACTGATTTCTTGACCGAAAGCCTTGCCTTTTTCTCAGTCTCGGATGTGGTGTGTTCGGTGGTTGAGGACTGTTCTTCCGCACTGAATACAGCGTCTTCTTTTTCTTTGTCGTACACGATCAGACTGCCATCCATGTGCGCCGCGAGAAACAGGTTCTCGCTGTTGGGAAGCCATCGAATGTCGGATATAGCGCTGCCATTGATGACGCCCTGTTTCAATCAGTCACGTTCGAAATAGTGTTGACTCAAGTCTGCCTCACATTCTTGTTGATGCGCGAGTACTTTTGCGACATTGGTTCGTACCATATTATGTCACCGGTCGAAAAGCCCATGATGATGTCTAGGTGGTTTGGGCCCTTTGTGATCTGGTTGATGTCGTGGCATAGCGCATGCGCTTTGGTGAATAAAATCTTGGTCAGATGCTCTTCCTGCGCGGAATCAGTCCCCACATCTTTCAACGAGTATACAGCGAGAGTCAAACCTTGTTGGGCGATGTCAAGTCGAGCCATTGCAAGGCGCGGTTGATGTTGGCAAACGCATAGTGACCGTTGGGATTGTGCTCTTGGAGGCGCTTGGACAAGTTCTCGTGGGGAATCACCCTCGACACGAAGGACGAATTGCTCTTAACAATGTTGCTCTTCGGTTTGCGCCTCTTGAGGGGGTCCTTGGAGTCTTTCCCGTTGATTGCTGCGAGCGCTGTATTGCCTTCCCCGAACATGGGCGTCCTCAGACCGTCCAATGGCGATGACCCAAACCCATTGACACTGTGTGCGCCTGTGTCGCTTGCTTGGCTGTTTGTCTCATGCGGCGATTCTTGGATACTGGGCGGGATCTCGGATCGGTTGCTGTAGCGGGTTTCGAGTCGAGAGAGGTGGGAGCGCGATGGCTGGCGGGGCGCAAGAGCAACCAGCGACAGCTTGGTGCCACATGTCGGCGGGGATATGGTCGTCGCGAGCGGATTGGGGTTGTGGATGGGAGCCTCTGAGGGGTGTGGAGGGGGTGTGGCTAGGTGAAGGTCATCGCGCAGGATGTAGGTGCCTATACATTGCGCAGAGTAAGCACCAAGCATCACGCATCAAGCATGCACGCGCATAGCCAGGACATACCTTCGCCTACCACCAACTGGTAGTCTGAGCCCGCGGGATGGGTGATGGTGTTGTTGGTCTCGATAAGCTGGCCTGGGATGGCGCCTGGGAATTGGCCGATAGGGTACCGCGGCGGAGGAGGAAGCACGCTGCGCACAAGTCAGTAAGGCTGCACGTCGTGACATGATAGCCACGGCGCTGCGATTGGTCACTCACAACATGGCCGACGAGCTGCAGTCGGCTGCGAGACGACGGAGGGCGCGAGTATTATTCCCCTGGGCACGCGGCTGAGTACGAGGCTACACGTCGGTCGGGCAGCGCGACGATATCCCGAGTGTGCACTGTCACTGGCACTGGTACCGGCTCTGGCTAGGATGATGAGGCGCAATGCAACCGACCCGACCCTGGGGAATGCGGAGGGAGCCAAACATGGCTGCGGGGCGCTGCTGCAGGCTCCGTGCGCGTTCCCTTGATTGCATCATCACCACTTCTCTCCTCACGACCCGTGCTGTCGGTGGACGGAGGAACACACGGCGCAGTTACAACCGCGAGGCTTTCATTCTCGCCAGACGGCCGTGTCTGGACAAGGGCGCGTCGTCGCCGCTGCTGCCACGTGGGTGGGCGCCAAGACCTGCGAACACGCGAGTCGCTCTCTGCCATGATCCTGATCCGAGAGTGCAAAGCCATGTTCGAACCCCTCCATCCTTGCTGCAATCGACACAGTATGGAGTGAACATGCTGACTCGACATGGCAACTGGTACGTGCCGCTCCCTCCCCAGCCCGTCTCGCCCTGATCCCCGCTGACCAGGGTCGCCAGTTCGGATATGTGTATGCGGCGATGAGGGAGTGGGCAAGAGCTCCATCATCACATCGCTCGTCAAGGATGTCTTCGTCACGGCAAAGATCCAGCCCGTCCTCCCGCAGGTGACGCTGCCACCGACGCTGGGCACACCCGACAACGTCACGACGACCATTGTCGACACCTCCGCCCTCCCGCACGAGCGTCATGCCCTCCGCAAAGAGCTCCGAAAATCAAACGTCATACTGTTGGTCTACTCGGACCACTACAGCTATGAGCGGGTCGCGCTGTTTTGGATGCCCTATTTCCGCTCCTTGGGTGTCAATGTACCCGTAGTGCTATGCGCAAACAAGTCTGAGCTGCTGTCGAATGGGCCGACCTCGCAGGTTGTGACGGAAGAGATGCTGCCTGTCATGAACGAGTTCAAGGAGATCGACTCGTGCATACGGACAAGCGCGAAGGAGCACCACAACATCAACGAGGTCTTCTTCCTCTGCCAAAAGGCCGTCACACACCCCATAGCGCCGCTGTACGACTCCAAGGAAAACGCACTGAAGCCCGCGGCTGTGTCGGCGCTGCAACGAGTCTTCCACCTGTGCGACAAAGACAAGGACGGATACTGGAACGACCAGGAGATTCACGACTTCCAGATCAAGTGCTTCGACAAGCCACTGGGGGAGGATGACTTGGCCAACATCAAGAAGTCGATGGAGCGATTTGCTCCTGGCGCAACCGACGAGAACGGAATGGACGAAAAGAGTTTCTTGCTGTTGAACAAGATCTTCGCGGAAAAAGGACGCCATGAAACAATATGGATTATCCTCAGGAAGTTCCACTACACAGATAGTCTCAGTCTTCAGGATACCTTTCTGCATCCCAAGTTTGATGTTGTTCAGTTCTCGTCAGCCGAGCTGAGCCCAGCAGGATATCGGTTCTTTGTCGATCTGTTTCTCAAATTCGACAAAGACAACGATGGCGGGCTCAACGACCAAGAACTCGCCAACTTATTCACACCCACTCCCGGTGTCCCCTCGTCCTGGGTCGACTCTGCATTCCCGTCATGCACAGTACGCAACGAAGCTGGGTACATTACCCTGCAAGGATGGCTTGCACAATGGAGCATGACGACGTTCGAGGAGCCCAAGACAACATTGGAGTACCTGGCGTATCTCGGCTTCGAAAGCAACGACCGAGGAGGAACGACCAGCGCGCTCAAAGTTACGAAAGCTCGCAAGCGACGAAAGAGGCCCGGCAGGGTGGAGCGCAACGTCTTCCTCTGCTACGTGGTGGGTTCAAGCGGCAGCGGGAAAAGCACCCTCTTATCATCGTTCTTGCAACGTCCCTTTACACAAACATACCATCCTACCATCAAGCCACGGGCAGCAGTGAACAGCGTAGAGCTCAAAGGCGGCAAGCAATGCTACCTCATCCTCGAAGAGCTTGGAGAACTAGAACCGGCGATTCTGGAGAACCAGGCCAAGCTGGACGCATGCGATCTGCTCTGCTACACGTACGATTCCAGCGACCCAGACAGTTTCACGCATATTGTCGAGCTGCGGAAAAAGTACCCACATCTGGATGACTTGCCGGCGGTGTACACAGCGCTCAAGGCGGATCAGGACAAGACGATGCAGAGGTGTGAGCAGCAGCCGGACGAGTATACCAGCGCACTGAGAATGGCGCCGCCGTTGCATGTGAGTGCGACGTGGAACAGCATCTCGGAGCTGTTTGTTCATGTAAGTGGTCGGTTGTTTTGGAAATAGAGTTAAGCTGACTTGGAATAGCTTGCCGAGAGCGCGACATATCCATCGACAGCCTTTCCCAAGGCGGAGGAAGAACCTTATGATAACATGAACCTGTACTTGGCGCTGGGCGCTGTTACATGTGCGGTGGTGTCTGTGATATTCATTTGGAGAAGGAATTCTTCGAATTGAAGAGTACATATGTACTACGTTTGAGATGCCATGTTACCAATGAGTTGCCATGTGTAGTAGTTGAATACAAGCAGCGTGTAATACATACTGTACCCTCTTTGACGTGAGACATGTTGGACAGGGGCGGCCGTGTCGCTTATCGTGCAATCTGTCCATGTCCAGGTCTGGTAGGTATGCGTGACGCCCAAGAAGTGCAGAGGCGAATGAGAAGTGCTACAGCCCCTTTACCCTGGATCAGGGCTCGCTACGGGCGGCTGTAGTCGTCTCGTCTACGGGTGGTGACATGCAGGGTCTCCCTTTGAGAAGGCCGCCAGTTTGCACGACAAGACATGCAGACGCAGGTGTGAAGAGCAACGAGTGAAGACACGGTGGTGAGACTTGTGGTGGACGAGGGTGATGACCTGCGCATGGGCGGGTGGCTACCGTATTAACTTGGCTCTCTCGGAAATAGCTAGTAGGGGTGATCGGGAGCTAGAGTCTAGCACCAAAACCTAAATGCCGCGTTTAACGTACTCACCCACACAAAGCTCTGTTATCAGGATCAGGATAAGGCCAAAATCACGTGCTTTAGTCCGTGCTTAGTAGATAGGGGGCAGTGCCAGCAGAATTTTCAGTGGATTTTGATGCTGGTCCAAGTGCCATCAAGGGGTACCTATTGGTGCGTTTATTTAGCACTCCCGCCACCCCTACTAGCTATTTCCGAGAGAGCCAAGTTAATACGGTAGTGTGATTGCGGTGCCATGAGGCTCAAGCCAGCCAGACTGCCCTTAGCCAGCCCCTAGAGCCAGCTCGTCACGTCTCTTGCCGTGTCTCGTTGGTCCAAGCAAAGAGGGGTGCGCGGCTGCTGGACGGGTGCACACGCGCCCGCAGTGCCATGGTCAGCGTCAGCGTCACTGTCGCCGTCGTCCACCTCGTAGGTGCTCTCGGACCGCATCGTGGTGAGCCATCCCCCTGTCGACGCCGACGTACCGACACCAACGTCTCGCCGTGTGCACGAATCGCGCTAGCGCCTTGACCGGTCTCACTCCAGAACTTGGGCTGTCCCGGATTCCCTCATGGTCTCGGCTGGCGCTGCCTCTGCGACGCTGCTGCACTGTTCCCCCCGCCCGCCCACCGTCCGCCGCACGCTCTTCGATGCCCGCACTGTCCCGGCGCCGTCCTGACCAGCAAGTCGCCGCGGCAATTGGCCGTCTGGAGTCGCCGCCTTTCTGTGCCGGAGCAGGAGCTGGCGCTGGAGCCGCAGGAGGAGCAAGACATGGTGAGTGCCCTCGCGAGACGGGCAGCACGGCGAGACATGGCCCGCCAGCACGCACACGCTGACCGCCCAGGCCACTCCCACCGACCGAGCACGAGAGCTGGAGCGCATGTACCAGCTGCGGCGTGGACATGCGCCGCGCATCTCCATCAGCGATGACAGCCACCACGTCACCGAGGCCATAGGCGACATGTACGGCAGTGGGGACAGCGACGCCGACATGGCCGCCCGACGCAACTCCCGCCCGCTGAGCTTCCTGCCCGACCCGTTCGGCGACGCCATCCAGTCCTTCGACCCCTTCCCCACGGCCCCTCCCGCGAGGTCCCCGCTCCGCCCCCAGCTGTCCAGCGACAACCTGCTCAGCCCGACGGCACACAATGGCAGCATGCACATGAATATGAACATGAACATGAACATGAACACGGGCATGAGCGCCCCGCAGGACAGGGCCCCACCCGCACACAACGGCCCCAACGGCGTCAAGACTCCGCCCCTCTCGCGCACAAGCTCGGACACGGCGTCGCAGCAGTTCCCCCTCAACGACATTGACTACGAGTCGAGCCCCGCCGGCTTGGCCCAGGAGCTGAGCAACCTGCAGGCCATACGCAGAATGTCCATGGGCATGGGCGGCGCCGACCCGGACCTGCCCTCGTTCCAGTCCGGCGGCACTCCCGCAATTTCTCCGCCGCATTTCTCCGAAGAGGACGACCCCTCGGCCCTGTTCTGGGTCCCCGCACGCTTGCACCCGGAGCTGGCGCCCGTCGAGTTCAAGACGTTCATTGAAGACAAGATAGACAAGACGAGACGCCGGTCGGGCGACGCAGAGTCGATGCTATCTCCCGACGGCCCTCCTGGCAGGCAGGGCTCGGTGGGAGGGCTGCGGAGGAAGAAGTCGATGCTGTCCAGGCAGGTCGACAATGGGGTGGGCTACAAGGACGGTGCTGAGCGGCTGGAGAGGACCCGGTCCGGTCGCCAGGTCAGCGGCGGCCTCGGGGATGTGCAGGAGCTTGAGCACATCATCGAGGACCCAACCTCACTGGTGAGGCGCATGAGCATGTCTGCCTCCGAGAGCGAGACTGGGCCCGACGGCGATACACCTATTCTGCCTGGCAAGGTCGGGCCTGGCTTTTTGAAACGATCCACACGCACCACATATCGACGAGGCAGTCTACGCAAGGGGGGGCCTGCTCTTTCACGGCGCCTCATCACACGACAGGTAGAGACGGACACAGAAGAGTCTCCATCCACCTCGCCAACGCATTCAGACGGCATACCCGACGTGCCACGCCTGCCGCTGAACAGGGTCCAATCAGAGCCTGTCAACTCGGCGTTCGAGTCGCCCTCCAACTTCTCTCGCCCGTCACACAAAAAACTACCAAAGGGGGATGAAGACAGACCTGGTTCTGCAGAGGAATATGGCCGGCCAGGGTCGTCCGAGCGTGGATCAGACGAACGGCCACGCTCAGACGATCGGCCACGGCCCCAGCCGAAAGCGTTCCACTCCAGGATTGCCTCCAATGGCCGAACCACGGCACCTCTGCCTGGCTACGTACCCCCGCAGCTTCCCCAGATCATCGCAACACCCCCGCCGCAAGAACTGGATAGGAGATCTCCGCTGCCACTGCCAGAGCGTCTTTCGTCTCGACAGCCGCCCCCGCAGCAACCTCTGCAACCCCTGCCACCCCCTCAACAACAACAGCAACCACAACCACAACCACAACCGCAACCGCAACAACAACCCAACGGCCCCCGCCAGCCGCGTCCGCTGGCTCATCCCCAGCCTCACACTCCACCCCAGCCACGGCAATCCCCATCTCGACCGAACCGCCATGCACAAGCTGCTCAAGCTTCTCCCATCAGTCCTGCGCAGTCGTTCGATGACGTCGTTCAACGTCCATCGCCGATCCCAGGTCAAAGCAACGCCAGAGCAGACAACTTGTCGATAGTCCCCAATCTTCCCGAGGAGAAGAAGTCAGATCCCAAAGCAAAGGTCAAGAAAGATGACGGCAACGCGAGGAAAACCAGTTGGGGTTGGTTAGTCGGCGGCAATCAGGATAAGGAACGCGATAAGAAAGAGAAAGATGACAAGGACAAGGAGGTCGCGAAGAAGGTCAAGAACAAGCTCACCAAACCACAAGAAAAGAGCCACGACGATACGAGACTTGACCTGCTGCAAACATCAATTCAACGTGGAAATGGTAGCCGGGAGAGTGTGATATTGGATCGTGAAGGCGTGAAGCTGGAAGAAGAGCGAAAGAAAGAAAGCAGCCGGAAGACGTCGAGCGACATCAAGAAGGAGAAGGAGCCCGGCCTACTATCGTCGATATTCGGCGGCGGAAAGAAGAAGAGCAGCGAAAAGGAGTTGGCCCCGAAGAAACACACATCGCGCGGGCTGTCACCAGAACCTCCCCCACGCATCCTCAAGCCAGATATCGACTACAACTGGACCCGCTTTTCGATCCTGGAGGAGCGCGCCATCTACCGCATGGCGCATATCAAGCTCGCCAACCCAAGGCGTGAACTCTACTCCCAGGTTCTGCTCAGCAACTTCATGTACTCGTATCTTGCCAAGGTGCAGCAGATGCACCCGCAGATTCAGATTGGAAACTCCAAACAGGCTAAGCAGGCGCAGCAGCAGCAGCAGGCCGCTCAGCAGAGGAAGGAGCAAAAGCAGCAGCAACAGCCACAGCCACAGCCACAGCCGCAATTACAGCCACAGCCACAGCAGCAGCAGCAACATCAGCAGCCGCAACAACAGCAACAGCAAGCCCAGCCAGAAGAGTTTGCCCAGTACCAGCGGTACCAGCAGGTTAGTCCCCTCCACGCACTACCCACTACCTAATACTCAGCTAACAACCGCCAGCAGCAACAACAACAGCAATCTCAACCCCAACCCGAACAATCCAACGAGTGGCCCAGCGTCGTCCCCAAGCAAAACGATAATCAGGCTAACCCTCGCGACTCGCACCACTCGCACCACAGCTCGAGTGGGTCAAACGGATCGAATGGCACGACTGCGAAGGGGTATAGTGTGGCAGGGACGCAGAACTACCTTGGTCAGGCGGGCAGTCTAGGAGGGAGGACCGGCGAGGTAGCGGCGGGAAAGGAGAGGGATGATGATATGTGGTGAATGGGGTATGGATGAGGATGAGGATGACGTTATGAATGTGATGTGATGTGATGGGCTGGATGTATTTATATCGCGTGTGTTTGCGTGTGGGCTTTTTTCCTGTAAGGGCTGGGTTTGCGTAATTTCTAGTCCGTAGGCTATGGTTATGGGTGGGATTGGGTGGGATGGGATGGGACGGGGAAATGAAGGAGTTGAGATTAGGCGATGCGTGGGTGTTGAATCGTATCGTATCGGATGGAATGGAAGATATTCACTATGTTTTCATTCTATGATGAAGTCGTGTGTTCAGTTACTCATGTATCCACCCCCTTCGCTTTAGCAGACTTGTGCTGGAGTTCAGTTGTGCATCTGGGGTCTGTGTATTCATGACAGACTGCGCTGCACTACGCTGAACTGGAATGGAATTAAAGGAAGTGGATGCCTATAGTGATAAATGATATGAGAGATATATAGCGTTTTGTCCGCAGGTACGGGTGCACACACGTCCACTTATTCCCGTTATCGATGTATATGGTCTCGATTTCCATGGAAAGCATGATCAAGACTTGGAAGTACGGATAACGGGAATCCGAGGAATGAGGAGAGGTGGGATGGTATGGGCCGAGGGACCGAGACTTTAAGGGAGAGAGAAAAGGGAAGGATAGAAGGACATGTACGATTATCCATATCCAGAGCGCGTGGAGAAAAGCACTCTCTGTTACGACTTACCCATCTTCTTGGATAGTCTGAATAACCGGAACTCAGCAAGTAGACCGCAGCGAGGTCTTGCAATAGCTTCGACAACTACAAATAAGAAAAACGGTAAGATTTTTACGCCTTGCACGTTATTTGTTTACGTCTACTAGCATGTGTGTCTTTGTGGTACTTTCAATCTTGTAGTTTGGGGTTGATGTGCTGCTGCTGCAAAGAATAGACCTTGGTTCTGGATATTTCGACGAACTGAGAACTGTCCTCCATCTATTCATCTCTTGAAATTTATGTTGTCTTGTTATTCATCGAGTATCATACTCATTCTGATAAACTTATGACTAATAAGTAAAGGAGATGGTAGATAGTATGTATGGGTCAGTCATTGAGTAGGGCGTGTTGGAGTTTGAAAGCGTGGAGATGGTCATTCAGTATCAGTGTCGGCGAGGATACAGCGATGGCGTGTCCGGCAAAGAAATAAAAAGTTGTGTGCGTGTCCGAGCATTTCACCCATAGTCGAGCTTTCGTCAGTCAGTGCGCATCAATCTCCACCCTAAGACGACGGACTGATAGAAAGTCACGAAGAACGTAGAATGTGGCATCTGCAGAGCTTTAATATAACTCCCTTGAAACGCTACACAATAGCAATCCCATCTCCTCACCACTACCCTCATTTACGCGGGCCCAACCCCCCCAAACAGCACCTCAAGCTTCATCTCCTCAACACTCGCCGTCCACTCCCTCACTCTCGGCAGCGTGATGCGCCACCCACGGTCTTCCATCTCCTCCAGCAGCGTCGCAGAATTGTGCTCCGCATCATCCGCGTCGACGGCGCAGATGACAAAGGTTGAGAGGTAGAACATGACGAAGGGGAACTTCGAGTTGATGTAGTGTTGGATGTAGTATTGCCAGGCGTGGGCCGACGAGGGGCGGTCGAAAGCTAATAGTATCTCGTCAGTTGGCAGATTCAGTGTATATAGTGGGATGGAGAGAGGGGAGCTTACGCATCGCGTTCCAGCGGTAGATGTGGCCTTCGCCTGTAACGAAATTGGATCCGCTGCGGCCCAGGCTCTTGATGGCGGGCATGGGCCAGGCACAGTAGTGCGTTTGGAGCGAGCCCTTTGCCATGATGGCATTCGGGTGATTTTGCTTGAATGCGTGGGCGAAGTCGAGTAGCGATGTTTTGGGCGGGAAAGGCAGTGCGGGGTTGGAGCTGGGGTCGCTGTCTTCGTAGGGGAAGTAGAGATCGAGCGCGCCGTCTGAGCCTTGGATGACGACGGGGCGTGTCTGTGGTTCTTCATGCTCGAGTACTAGGCTGATGATGTTGCAGCGCTCCATATCCTCGATGACGCGTCGTACGAAGCGATTGGTGTCGCGCGAGTTGTCTTCGGACGTCGCTTTCCTCTGATGGAAGGCGATGAGGCTACTGTCTGGGTCATGGCATCTGTGTCGGTTGCCTTCGTACTGGACTTCAGGAGGCGCAGGGTAACGGAGGTTGGCTGAGCTTTCCACCGTTGTTTCCGATAAGAACAGTCCTTGTTCAAACGGCGGTATGATATCTTGAATGAGGTGTTTCGCGATTTCTCGGGGTGATGGGTCTCCAACGAGCATAAGCAGTGCGTCTTGTACAATGTCCATGAGCTGAAACGGCAGGCCAACTTCTCGGTCAATGACGATGAATTGCCATGAGTCCACTACAATCTGGTCGTACATTGACGCTTTTCTCCTGCGCAGTCGGTCCTTGACATCTTCCAACGTCATCGATGTACTCCACTCGGCAGTGTCAAGCTCCTCGCTCGTTTGTGCGAATCTATGCCGGCTGACAAAGATATCAGGTTCCGTAGGATGTACTGTTGCGTCCGCCTTGGTACCCTCATACACCACCAAGTACAGTCTATCTGTGCGTTTTTGGAGCTCCGTGAGAAAGTCTCGAGTCAGAGAGTCGCCGAGTGCCATTTGACCGCAGAGGAAGTTTCGTGACTCTCTTTGCACCACATAGTCGTTTTCTTGTTCCATGTCGGTGAAGTCACCTTTGCTAGTCGGGAGGAAACCCATATACACTCCAGCCGCACATTCACTCAGAATACTTGCCGGGTCATACCATCGATCGCGGTACAGGCCAAGCATCAACAGCTTGCATATCGTAGTGTAGTCTTCGAAATTGGAGCAGATACTCGCAACGGTCCCGGGTGTTAAAAGTGTCGGAAACCAGCGGTATCTACACGTTGATGAGCAGTGATAAGAGGGCGTTGACAAAACACCTACAATACATCCCAAGACGGTTTGGTCATGTGAAGGTTGTCAGTCGTGCTCGGTATCACCCCACCAAGCAGACGGATAGTCTTGATTTTGTCACCCGCCAGCAATCCCGCGCATATCGCAACTCGCAGATACTGGACGGCATGCGGGCGCCATGCATTCTCAAAAAAGTCGCAGTACGTCTCGATCTGACTCGCCTGACACCCAGCCAGAAACTCGGCAATGCTCTTGCATCTGGTTGCGTGCTCCAACGCTTCGGCTTCGCTGTGGTTGAGAACCATGATGCGGAACCAAGAGCGCACGATTTTCCCACCATCGTCGCTGCGTAGCTCGCCCTTCATAGGAGAGTCGCACCGTCGGCGTGCATCGTTCAGATCGGGAACAATACTGTATAGGCGGCGGATAGCCTCATCGCAGAGGTCGGTGGAGAAGTTTTTGAGGATGAGGATGCTGCCATCATCAGGGATCCCGTTTAAGGAGCCGATGGGTATGCGTGGGTCTAGTGGTGATTGCAGTATCATAATATCTTGTGACCGAGTTCTACTTGGATGCGGCGTGGTATTTCCGGGAACCTCTGGTGTTGGACGATGTTTCATGTTATACTCTATACCGTGAGTTAGTACGATTGATCTGATATTGATTTACCTGGCGACCAGCTTTGGGGGTAATTACTTAGTATAGAGTCTGCAAGCGCCCTTGTGTCTCTTTCCACTTTGGCAATCCACTGTGTGTAATCCGTAGTATCAACCCCTCGCGTGTGAAACCTCTCACGTATTCGGCGGCGTAACTCGACAGTCGACTGAAGTTTCACGACCTTGTGTTGTGCCGTGTTTGAATTGACAACCTCGACCCTCTCTGCATCGTGTTCGAGCTGTTTCCACCTCGCACTCAAGTCCCTCAAGTCGCGCGCGTGCCTGGGGCACCAAGTATGGCCTTCAGACGGCAGTAGGAAATTGCATGGCCGCCCATCTGTCTCAAGGGCTTCACAGAGGTTCTCTTGGCCGGCAGGCGAATCCGGGGGCTCAGAGAAGCGTACCAAGTTGCGTGATCTGCCTTTGGAGCTTGGGCGACATTCTTGCGACGTGTGAATATGGAGTTGGAGGCTCATGGTAGAGACGGCAAAGAAACAACAAACGGCAGGTGCAGAGGGTGAATTCTCAACGAATGATGGTCAAAGCATGCGCGGGATGCCGGGATGTGATATAAGGCAATAACCGCCCGCTTTGGGGCCGACCGGGGGGCGGATCGTCACGCAGCGGAAGGCGTTGTCGAGCGTGGCCTTGATGGAGCGGCTACTTTTACCGTGTGCTGTTGGAATCGTAAAAGGAGGCTGTCAAGACGAAATTGACCAGCGACAGATTTTGAAGTGAGTTGGATCAACGAAGTATGCGATGGTCGCAAATGCATGCACGGGCTGGAGGGGTCCTCTCCTTTGAGTCTCGCGTGAGGCTTCACAGCTGGTCCAGTGAAAAATAGCGGTACAGTCGGCAGCCGCACGTCTTGCAACTAGGGCCGAACTACGTTCCGCCCACATTGTAGGTGGTGGTGGTGTCGGCGCAGATGCAAGGTCAGCCGACTCGGGGGAAGATTACAGCTCGAATGTAACTCTGAGCCCACAGATTTAGGCGCTGGAGCTTGCAGGACAGGTACCATGGGTATGCTTGGTCGGTGAACCCCAGAAGGCGGGCGGTCCGTATTTTGCAGCACTGACACATGTGGGGGGAGACGTCAATATGTCGGACCTAATCGAGGCTGTCCGCGTGGCTTGCTGCGACGCCCACGCCACAGCATCTCAGGCAGACGTGGATTGGCGAGGAGCTGGCATGTCGACAGGTCGGAGAATGGGTTAGGCGCGATCGACTCTAGGCGTGTTTCGAGATAGAACTCGTGGTAAGATGGAGGGCAAGCGGATTGGATCGTGATTGGCGACTAGTAATGCGCTGTGACTGAGTCAATATAAATGCTCGATTTACACCATGGACCCCTTGCAAGAGCGAAGGTTGTTGGAGTGTACCTATTGTTGGCATGGAGGGTCGCACAAACTGCCGTGAAGCGCCGTGCTGCAAATCGAGTATTGAGTCGGTTCCGCGGGCGATGGGGCAGCCATGACAAATTTAAAATAAGAGAAAAGGGCAACAAGGACGAAGACGGTGGGTCAGTAGATATTGGAACGTCGTCGTCGGAGATTTAGCGTGACGATGTATGCTCCGTAGTGCAGCAGTCCAGTTGTTCCTATGCGCCCCGTCATGCAAGAGGGCGGCGCAGTCGTGCGGCTCCGAACGACTGTGGAAGCAAGGCTGGCACATCGAGTCCATGGCTGGCCTACCCCACATTTCGGTATACTGGATGCCGAGGCCTTACCCGGCTTCGCAACCCCGCGTAACCTCTAGCTAGATGTTGTGATCCTGCTCACGCTGTAGAGTAGAAGCCCTGTTCCCAATTGCAAGAGCTGGAGGTATTGAACAATGGCCATCTCACCCGCGCTCCGCATATCGCCCACGCGCGCCGCCCGGGCCGTCAACCTCCTCCGCACCGTGCAGTTCACGCACCCGCCATCATGTCCGTGCCACGCCAACCCAAGCTTCCACAACCAGACGCCCTCAACGGTGCAGCAAGCCCGCCGCCACCTCGCGACCCCGCTGCCCGTGCTCTCGCAGCAGAAGGAGTATGCCTTCGAGATGGCAGCCAGCAGCATCCGCTTCGGGCCGGGCTGCACAAAGGAAGTCGGCATGGACTTTCGCAACATGGGCAGCAAGCGCGTCATGGTGGTGACGGACCAGAATGTGCGGAAGCTGGACGCCATGCGGCAGGTGGTCGAGGGCCTGGAGCGGGAGGGCGTGCAGTATGAGATCTACGACAAAGTCAGGGTGGAGCCAAAGGATAGCAGTATCAAGGAGGCGATTGCCTTCAGCAAGCCCTACAAGCCTGATGCGTTTCTGGCCGTCGGGGGTGGGAGTGTGATTGACACGGCCAAGCTGATGAACCTGTACACTGCGTTTCCTGGTATGTCCTGCCATTACCATTCCACCCGCATACTAACCCCACAACAGAAGCAGACTTCCTCGACTTTGTCAACGCGCCGCTCGGCAAGGGCCTGCCCATCCCCTCCAAGCTCTTCCCCCTCATCGCCGTCCCCACAACCGCAGGAACCGGCTCCGAAACAACAGGCACCGCCATCTTCGACCTGGTCTCCAAGCGCGCAAAGACCGGCATCGCCCATCGCAACCTCAAGCCCACACTGGGCATCGTCGACCCGCTAAATACCCGCACCATGCCGTCCGCCGTCCACGCTTCCTCAGGTCTCGACGTGCTGTGCCACTCCCTCGAATCCTGGACCGCAATCCCCTACTATGAGCGCACACCCCGCCCCACAAACCCCATTAACCGCCCCGCCTACCAGGGCGCGAATCCCATCTCAGACATCTTCTCCCTGCAAGCTCTGCGCGACACGGTCAAGTACCTGCCCCGCGCTGTTCGCGACCCCGAGGACCACGAAGCCCAGTCGCAGATGCTGCTCGCCGCCACACTGGCGGGTGTTGGTTTCGGAAACGCAGGCGTGCATCTTTGCCACGGCATGTCATATCCCATTTCGGGCCAGAACCCGGGCTACAAGCACGCTGGCTACGACGTGCCGCACACTATCATCCCCCACGGTGTCAGCGTTGCAGTCACCGCCCCCGCCGTCTTCCGTTTCACAGGCGCATCGAATCCCGAGCGCCATCTCGCGGCCGCAGAGGCCTTTGGCGTCGATATATCCAATGTCAAAGCCGAGAGTGCGGGAGAGGTGCTGGGTGAGGCGCTCGCGGAGTTTCTACTCAAGTTGGGCGATCAGCCGCGTGGGCTGAAAGATCTAGGGTTTGGGAAGGAGCATCTGGATGATCTGGTCGAAGGCACGATTCCACAGGCGCGTGTGCTTATGTTGGCACCTAGTCTGGAGACGCAGGAGCTGGATTTGCAGCGTGAACAACTTAGGGGGCTGTTCGAAGAAGCGCTGGACTACTGATCCTGGGCCTGAGAGGTGGGGAGAGGTCGTATATAACATGCATACATTCAGCTTTCTTGGCAAGTAAAGAAGATGTATCTGCACCTACGTATTCTTTCTTCTATTGCACATATTTGCCAAGAAAGTCATATGCAGACCGACTGCAACCCATCCAATACCCACAGCATTTCAGTGTCATGATCTTCGTCAGCTGGAGTATACGTATGGCAAACGTGGTCCATATGTAGACCAAATTCAACCCTGTATTTGTCACACCGAGTGTAATCGTCTGTGTTTTCTTTCTCCACACGCTCATGCAACGATTGCCACAACATCCAGTCGCGGCTCGTCAATCACTCCGAGTAGTTCCCCCTGCCATCTCTCGACGGGTGAACGGGTTCTCGTCGTCCCATCTCGCGATGTATTCCCACTTCAGTGAACTGTGTGTTTCCTTGCGTCGGAACTGGAAGTGATCCATAGCCTTCCTTGGAATTGCAGCATCAGCTTCCAGCATAGGATCGACATCTCCATTGTCAATGTCCTCCATGTCATCGATGGCATCTTCACTATTGATGTTGTTGTCATCTGTGTCGTCTTCCTCCTCACTTGTATTCTCTTCCTCAAGCTCTTCATCGTCTGTTGCATCTTCTGTGTTCTTTCTCTTTGGCATCTTGTCAGGGTCGGGTTCTAGTTGTCGCGGGCGTCTTGCGAGTGAGGGCGGCGAGTGGGAGCGCGACTAGGACCGGAAATGTGAACAGCACGGTGAGTGGGAGCAGCACAGAGCGTGCGAACGGCGTGGTAAGTAGGGTAGTGTAGTGAGTATAAAGATTGAGGTAGCACCAAGAGATAAAAGCGGGAAGTAAGCTACATTCATTGTGGCTCCTACAAGCCAGAAAGGTACACAATTTATATTTGTCAAACCGTACGCAAGGCGTATACTGCTCTTAATACAGGCATGAAATTCCGACACTAAACTTAGTTGTAGTTGTCAAGCTGTTGCATGATTTCCCTACACCCTGGTTCCTGGTATTTCAATTGACTCAGAGGCAAGCTGGTGTGAAACATTTTATTATAGCAAGGTAAGAGCGTTTACGTCCACGTGTTACAACACAGTCCAATCTATACTGCGACATGAAGATGTTGAATTGTTAAGCCGATGTAGAGTAAGTGTGTTTGAATAGACGTTAGTGCTCCGCTCTGTGCTTGACCCATTTTGCAGTATCATAAAATACGGTCGTACATTCCATACACTCTGCCACAAAAACAGGAATCGTTGTGCTTGTTAGCAACTTGCCATCTGCCGAGTGCCTCTTGAGAGCTGATTTGGCGCCTGGGCAACTCTTTTGTGCGTGATGGAGGAACAGTTGAAAAGTCCTAGGAACCAACCGTCCACACTCATCGCGATTGACGTTCTCCCTCGTCTGGTTGACTAGCGGGCTATCGTTGAACATCCACAGCTCTTTCAGACCCTCAAACATGCCATATTCCCTTGCAAAAGCCTTCGCCTTGCCGAAACTCACCCATTGATTTGCAAATGGCTGGAGCTTATTGGCAATAAGGGTGTCCTTGGGAGATGCGCTAGGGGTCTGCGGGTAGTACAATTTGGTAGTGCACCCTGCTGACGGGGTGTTGTACAGTAAGGCTACTAGGCCTTGTAGCTCGATTATCTGACGATTTCGCACCCGGACAAAGTATGCAGCGCTGTTGTTCCCTGTATGTCTGTAGACAATGTTTACATCCGTCGTAGTATTGGCTCTTGATGGATAGCGAGTCTTTCTCTTCGCCCCTGGTATAAGAGAGTTGTCGGCCTTGCCCGACAGCAGTGTGAATGGCGGGATGTTTGGTCTAACCTTTGCAACTGTCGACTGGATTTCCACACACCCTCTCCAATGTGTGAGAGCCTTTGCTTCAGTCAAGAAGATAAGCTGGCACTTCTCACAGCACAACATAGTCCGGCCTTGTTTGGGGTGAAAGTTTGTAATGTGGAGTTGAACGTCGTTCGGACCGTTGGCAGTAGAAATAACAGCGTCCACCTTACACTCGCTGCAGCGGTTGTCGGTTGTCGGAGTATCGAGGTCGGCGAACTTGAAGAGTGCGTCAATTGCTGGAAACACGTTGTGTTGCAGTGCCAGTTTTCGCGCGCTGTGTTCCTGTATCCAGTTTCGAGGGACTCCGGTTCTTTTGTAGTTCATTACTGTATGTACAAAAGTATTGAGGTCGACGATGCTGCTTGGTAATATATCTGGTTGCCCTGGCTGTCGTTGCGAATTAATAAAGCCAAGAACGTCAGACACTGGTGCAGCCTGGCCTTTGTGAACAGCCTTGATACGTTGTTTGCCCACTTGTACAAAGACTTGTAGAAGGTTGGATGAAGACGAAGATGAAGCCATGACCCCCTTTAGCGCCATCCGCATCAATATATCTTTGTCGGCAAAAGGTTGAGTCGAGGTGACTTGTGGGGGACGAACTAGGGGAGTGATTACTGACGGAGCTGGCGTAGGAACAGGACGAAGGCTGACTTGGGGCGCTGGCGTAGCGACATGATGAGAACGGACTGGGGGAGCTGGCGTAGTCACCCGTCGATGAGGTATTGGCGGAGTCACCTGGTGAGAGCAGACTGAGGGAGCTGATGTGGTCATCTGTCGAGAGACAACTGACGGAGCTGGCGGAGCTGGCGTAATGGCTTGCTGAGGGACTGGTGTGGTACGTGAGCCCTCTGGCAGCTCGCTCTTAGTTCCTCTCCATGGGCGGGGTGAAGGCCATCGTGGCGTGGTAGTGAAGCTTTCGTCATCCACTTTATCGAATCTTCGGTTTGTTCCTCCATACCCTGCGAAGTAGTCGACGATTTTCGGCTTCTTGCGTGGACTCATTCTTCAACAACAACGACGACGACGACGATAACGACAACAACACATTGGCAATATGACAGATTGCGAGACAACGTGAGCAAGAGAACGAGTCCAGATAGGGAAGGAGGTATGCACAAAACCTCTGTGCACAGACCGCGAAACAGTAAAGGTGGGTGACCACACATTAGGAAAGTAAGAGCGTCAAACAACCATGACTGCGTATATCACCTAAAAGATCCAAATCAGTTCGTTATGTAGAATGGGAAAACGCAGACCTTGCGCGTACGAAGCGTTGAGCCCTTTCTCGTCAGTTGTGGGGTGAGAGAAAGCTGCGGCATTAGACACACTTACATCCTTTGATCTTGACATTCTTTTCGTTTATACTGCTAGAGATTCAGGCCTAAGACTTCTACGCTAACTTTACTCGTAGTTGTCGAGCCATTGCAATATCTCGCAGCGCCTTAGTTCCTGGTATTTCGAATGACCGAAAGACTGGCACCTCTGGCCCAGAATCACACCAGGAATCCGAATCCTTTCATCATTGTTTGGTGTGACCACACATACCCGCTCAACACCTTCCTTGTATATGGGAGTGATATGCCGCTTCACAAGGCCCTGGAGCTGGCGTGGTACCACAAGCAACACGACATACACACCATACGAGTATGAACCTTTGGAGAGCTGGTCAAGGATATGTGTGAGAGGATTGGAGGAGACCCCCACCAGGAAACACCCATCCAAGCCCACAGACCGGCCAACCTACACTGCGGAAACGAACGTCATGGAAATATTTCCCTCGTGGCGAAAGCGAGAGAGATACGTGAAAAGGGACAACACCTTGCCGGGTACAAGCAGCGGCACTATCGTTCAGTTGTCGCGGCTCTTGTCTGGACTTGTAGCAGAGCCAAAAGAAGGCAACTTCCAACGACCACCCCCCGATAATCTGTTCACCAGTTCAAAACACAAGAACATGATATCAAAGAGTGCAGAAGAAAGAGAACAAAAGGTGATAGAGATCAAGAATCACAACGAATCAATCAAGAGAGGCGTTGCGCTAATTGCGCTGGAGATGTTGAAGTGCCACCCAAACGTAGGTCACCAGGATCTCCCTCGGTACTATTTACTTGCATTGCTTTCAATCGCGCACCGATATAACTGACAGTATCCAGATCACGACATGCATGACGATTATGTTCAACCAACTGTACGGCCTCTCATCCGCCTCAGACTTCGAGGCCACCCGATCGCCCTACCCGCCACATTATGCCCTGTGGCTGGAGTTCGAGGATGGGGTTGAGACAGTGCTCCAAGTGACACTTGATTTGATGGGTACTCGGTCACGACCATTCTTTCATCGATAGTACAATATAACAGTCAAAAGGACGTTCCACCCATGAGACTCTACGCGGCGACTGGGAAGGATCCTGCAACAACACTTTGAAGGGTTCCCAGTATTACAGATAACCGACGCCATCCTCCTCCAACCTTTTCCGAAGGATAGAGTATCGCACAGTCCCAACAATACCCCCTGGCACAATGATTAGTATTGGGAAGAGCTCGACCAATGTGCCCCCCGCGTTTTCGCCGATGCCTGGCACCTTCGACCAATACTTCCAACAGGTGGAGTCCGGCTACTCTCGCCGCTGTTTGGAGTGTTCACACATCCAATATCGCGTCTCTCCAAGTACACGAGAGAGACATACCGATTCACAAAGCCCATGCTACTGGTCGACGAGGTCCGTAGATTGGACTGCAGAACCAAATGGTGACAGCGACCAAAAGCTCCCTTTGAGCTTATGCGTCTGGACAATCTCACCATGTCCCTCCCAGCTGAGCTACCGCACGTTCCGCCCAAACTGGAGGACTACGTCAACAGTGAATTGTCGTGCTCGTTCGGCTACGAATGCGTTGCCCCCAGAGCACAAAAGAGCCGCTTCTGTGCACGCCACGGCTTAATTATCATAGAGCTTGCAGAATCGGACGAGTTCGGTCCTCGATGCCTGAGCACGTTCGTGGCCTACGAAGGTGTCGTGTTCTCACTTCCGCGAGACTCAGCAAAAGCAGCGATCGTGAAGGGAACACTACGCCGCCTTCGATCAGCCAAGCCCGCTGATGTCTGGTTGGGCGACTCCGAGGGTATCGTATACAAGGAAGGTCTTGCCGTCTTGCACACTGAGGTGGAACTGGTCAACCTCAGAGGCCCAATTTGGTACATTACATCTACTCGTGCAGCCTGGGAAACTGAGTGACAAGAACCAACACACGTCACAAACCTATTTGCGTCTCACAATGTATTAACACAGGTCTCGTATCTCTTGTTATAGACAAACAAGCCCATTCCTACCGTCGTCTTTTGTTTTACATGTTTGATATTCTGCATGACAATGGGAAAAGCCCCTTCACCGAAGTTCACGTAAATCCAAAATCATTCACTGGCTCACTTGCTCCACCCACTCACATGTAGCACTTCAACAACATTAATCTCGCCACCACACAAACATAGCATAACAACAGCACAGTCTCACCACTTACTTTTGCCCACCACTCGTCGCTTGGGTTCTGGCGCCTCCCCAAACGTTCTGACCCTCTCCTCCTCACCTCCGCGAGATTGCTGCGTGTGCGGACCTAGCGAATTGAACGCGCCTCAATGTAGGTGAATTGATATAAGCGCTGCAAGGAAATAACCTGACAATTCGACCTCACGGACAGAGCATCATGACCGCTCCCACCCCCACCTCCAACACCATTCCGGCCGACGACCGTCGTAACCCATCATACTACGAGATGATGGCCGGCTACGAAAAGCCAAACCTGGAATGGTATATGTCAGAAGATGAGGAGGGCAATCGATCTAGGCCCAAATTCACTAAGGAGAATTTCGTTCGCGGTTGGAGAATCCAATGCGGCCGATACTACCGCCTTCGAGAGGTCATAGCGGCCAAAGTATTACAGAGAGACATGCACCTAGACATTGACAGGATCACTGTACAGTGGACGACTGAGGAGATTGTAGAAGAACTGCTCGAAGTACTCATGCACAACGGCCGGTGCCAGGACGTCCCAGCGTACTGGCGACATTGCATGCTCAAGGATCTCGTGGGGAAGGTTGTCGGTTGGGTCAAGAAGCATCAACTCTACCTAGAGGAGGGCCAGATTCCGAACCTCCCTCGGAGAGCGACATGGGTATGGGGACCACATCGCAAGTCGCCGGTGTTCCAGGGTATGTTCCAGCTGCAGCACATGAAGATCGTCATCAATGTTCCAGACGACTTTGTGAGGATCGCGGTCAGGGACATCGTCGATGTCAAGGACTTTGCCTTCGCCCCAGTAGACGTGCACCTCAGCAAGATCATATTCTCGAAACTTGAGGCCGCGCTCCAAGCGATAGAGCGGTCGACATACACCCCCGCATCACACTCGCTGTACTACTCACACCCCGACAACGAAGATATGTTCCAGGTGTTAGACGATCGAACCTTACAGAGCGCGCTCATAGACTGCCAGAAGCCAATGGACGACGAGGTGAGCCTGCTCATGATCTTGAAGAAGAACGAGATGAACATCAGCGTGTTTGGACGCAAGGACACGCCAAAGGAAGACAGGCTACCTCGCAAGCTACAGTCGCCATCGAAGAAGAAGAGATCAGGGAGGAAGAGCAAGACCTTCGTAGACTTGTAGATACCATGTAGTTACGTAGGAACCTCAATGACCATCGCAAGCAGATCCATTGGCCCGATACCATAATCGATTACAATCTTCGCAATAACATCGATTAGTTTCTGCGTTCAAACGAGTGTCATCCTCTCCAGGTCTCTGATTAATGCATAGGAGCGGCAGGATGTGCCCGTCAAGAAATTCCAGAGTTACAAAAAATCCTCTCTCTATTTCTGCAGCCTACGACAGAGAAAGCTCCACGAAAGGCCGGTGATCAACTGGAGCTGAACCGTAAGCAGTAAAGAGGATATCAAAACAGGACGTTGGGAGGTGTACGACGCGTTGAGGGATCGGTCGATAAACGATCCGGTGAGTTCGCGTAACCTTTAAGCTGGTAAGGAGGATCGGGTTGTAGATGGGCCGCGCCAAGACGGTAGATTGACCGCTACTCGCGTGGGAGATCTCGTTCTTCGACCACCCTTGTAAATGATGGTCTCAACATGAGAAAGAGCTTGCACACGACGTGCTTCTTCGAGCACATAGCGCACCCGACACAGGAAAATATGCGCTGAGGTTCTCGAAGTGTCCATTGTCCCTGGATGACAGGTTCAGGTCTTCGGTCTTAGGGTGGGCTCTGACTTGACAGCAGCATGCCTCGGCCGTAAGAGCATACGAGCGGGCAAATCAGAAGTTTCCCAGATCACCATGTCGCACGGACGGAATTCAGCGAATCTGAAGGTCTGCTGCAGTCTTAATGGCTAATGAAATATGTCCCATATTCTTAGTACATCTGGGAAAACTTCTGGGGGGTAGATACCATAGTACGAGCGGGCGAATCGGAAGTCTCTGTATCACCCCGTTTCAAGTGCATGACGCCGCCCGCGCCACCACACGTAGCCCTTCGGAAGGCTTGGCTCCTTGAATTGCGAACGACCTAGCCTATCCCGGGTCATTTTGCGACTATACAGCAACATGCACACCCAACGTAAGCAGCCGTCTCACCGGGATACGCCATTGTTCTTGTTGATTGGGGATATACTGCTTGTTCTCGCGCATATTCGGTTTTCTCGGGGCTACCGTTCAACGGTATCAGGCGTACCCTTCACGACGGCTGTGCCCCAGGGTGCATGCGTAAACAACGAGGCAGAGCAGGACAGCCTAACTGGAACGAAAGAAGGATATAAGGCGTCTGGCATACCATGTATTCGTATCCAACTCAACAAGTCCAGCTCAATACCAAAGTCCTATCATCAGGGTTTCGTTTTATCCTCAATTCCTTCAGTCTCAGCGTTTTCAACTTCAGTGTCTTTGATCTACAAACACACCCTAAGGTTACCAAACCCCAGTCTTCGAGATGCCTGTCCCACCATCCGCTGGCGAGAGTTGTCTCAAAGTCGGACCTGGCTGTCCAGTCGAGGGTACGCTTTATGGCTACTACCCTAGCCTTCCTGCCAATGCATTCTTCGCCGCGGTCTTCGCTCTCTGTTTCATCTTGCAGCTTATATTTGGCATAAAATACAAGACGTGGACATACATGGTGAGTTACCGTCTATCACTCATATAAAACATAGTGCCTGACGATTGGTAGATCGCACTAGGTCTCGGTTGTGTATCTGAGGCAGCAGGGTACGGGGGCCGCATTATGATGCACGCCAATCCTTTTGACGACAACGGTTTTCAGCTTCAGATATGTCTTTTGATTATAAGTCCGGCCTTCATATCCGCCGGTATCTATATCACACTCAAACACATCGTCCTGAACTTTGGAGAAGACTGGTCACGCCTCCGTTCGAATTATTATACTTACATTTTCATAACCGGCGACTTCATATCGCTCTGCTTGCAGGGCGCTGGAGGCGGCCTTGCAGCTACAGCAGATAACGGTTCAAAACTCCAAGACACGGGTACATCGCTCATGATCAGCGGGGTAGTATTCCAGGTTGTCATGCTCGCATGCTTTGGTTACTTGCTCGTCGAGTACACACTCAGGACCCATCGGCGCCGCAACCAACTCTCAGCTCATTCGATGATGCTGTTCCACACGACATCCTTTCGCTGCTTTATCGCTGCCATAGTAATCGCTTACTTCGGAATACTCATCCGGTGTATCTACCGTATTCCCGAGCTTGCGATGGGATGGCGAAGTGAGCTCATGCGCAATGAGACGGATTTCATCGTCCTCGAAGGCGTTATGATTGTCATAAGCGCTGTCGTACTCACTGTCTTTCATCCTGGCTTTTGTTTCCCGGCGCTGGCGAACACAATCGGCAAGAAGAACAAGACGTCGAGAGAAAAGAGCACGGATGAGTCTCTGAACACTGAGAGGATGACTGATGCCACTGTATGAGTGCTGTACGCAATTTTTCTATACTGCTGAGCCGAAGCTCGAGGTCAAGACGGAGTCCTTCGATGTACGGCGGAGTTTGTCCTAGAATTTGTTTCGAAACATGGATCGTTTGGGGAGTAGACTCAGATAATTAGACGTTTAATTTCATTTAGATCTATACTTCAGTGTGTGATATCAACCTCACTCTGTACAACGGGTACTATTGATCACAAAGTGAACATACACGATACAGTCTCAAGAGCGGTCCTGCTGATTGGTTGAACAGCCGGTTGGGGATGCTTGACCTACAGGGGCCTACAACGTATTGCCGCAGGTCCGATTTGGAATGGGCCACACCCCCTTGTACGTTTGACTCTGACTGCCTTCTATGAGGGCCGCGGAACCTCTACGTCAGAATTTTGGAAGTGCAAGTGGCCAGATGACGTCACTGTAGCTTGAATCAACGTCCTCTCCTGATCATTCTTTCTGTCTTCTCGATACCACTATATCGACTGTTCCGCCAGCTCCAAATCATCGTATTAATGCATGTTGTTTTGAAGTGCCAATTGCAAAATGTAAGTTTCCAAGCCTGACGTCATCATGAAGGACTTCATTTGCATCTCCAAGACAAGAAGAAAAGTCGCCCCTTCCTGGTCAAGAGATGTGGTTCGTTTGAGTTCTAGTAGGTTCGTCAACAAAGGCTCTAATGGCGATTTGTTACAAAACCTGACAGAGAGGCCACTCTGAGTCAGCGGATACAATATGTCGATAACCTGTCTTTACACTGTCCGTGTAAAAGTCTGTCTGATTCATACTAACATCATTAGACCTCTAGCCTTGAGCTGTGAGGATTGATAGTGCTCAAGGACAGGTAGAGCTTATCGCAGGCCCATAAGCAAACGGTTACCACTATACTTGAGTATGTTCGCAGCGTATTTGATAGATTCCAACCTCACTGGAGCTTCTTGAAGCATTCTCTCCTATATTCAAGGTTACCAATGTCTGCTCTGAGGGTGTTCTCAAGCAGCAAGCGGAATACAGCCCTGTCATTGGCTAGGGGAATATTTCCGAACGACTTCTCTCGGTAAAAGCCACCGAACGAGTCCTTGCAAATTCTGTGCTAATGTCAAAATCCCTTCATTACGCAAAGTGCAGCCGGTGACTCTGGTCGTGGAGGCAATGCAGTCCTTCCCTTTTCGAGAAAATAGGCACCTGCCTTGGTTGAGAAATAGCGAACCAAAGCTAGTTGTTTCCACAGACGATAGGAGTCTCTCTACACAGACCATCTGATAAATCCGACACGAAAATCCCGCCCCCCCACGTGAGAAGCCACCTGGACTTCCGGAGATCTCCATGGATCCTTCAGATCGGTGGACAAACATTGCGCCTGTCTCCGATGAGCCTGGGATGCAACGACAGACGCCAGACTTAAAGAAGAGACGGCGAGCGGTTGCCGTCGCATGCATACCGTGTCGCAACGGGAAGTCCAAAGTACGTTCATTCCATCTTCTGACGACTTACTGCGTAGCAAACGCGAACCACAACTGAACACCCCGTAGTGCGATGGTACTAGACCTGTGTGTACTCGCTGCAGGGACGGCAACCTACACTGCCATTTTGATGTTCCTGAGGGTGTATCCAGAGCCGAGCGCATGAAAATCCTAAAGAGAGATGGCATGTCCGGCAGGGCGGAAGACATGGAACGTATCGTCAACGCCCTACGCTCAGGAACCGATATGCAGGCGTCAACCCTCCTGGCAAGACTGCGACTTGGCGAACGGGTGGAGAATATCGCGACTTCTCTTCCCGCCACATCCTTGAATGCCACTTTATTTAGTCCCCCCAGGTACGTGCGCTTTGGGCTACTTCTTTGACTAGGCGTGGCTCGATGCTAATACACGACCCCAGCTTATTAGCCCAGGATTCGACTGGCACTTCTGGAAGTTGCTTGAGCCAGGAATCTACTCTTAGCGACGATCCTTCGTCCTATCGTCACAGTTCTAATGCGTCTCTTGCATCTTCTACTGGACAACGGCCAAACTGGCCACCTGCAAATTTAATGGCATCATCGACACATATGTCTTCCGTAAAGGGAAAGCAGCCTATGCGCGTTGATGGAGATGAGAAACGCCCTTTTCTCTCTATAATTTTCAACCGGGAAGATTTCCTCCTCGCTATGAGTGACAGCGAGGATGAGGATGACAGTGATGAAGAGATGAACGTGATATTCGCTCCAAGCAGGACTGGATCTGTCAGTCCTTCAGGGAACAGGCCGAGAGACGAGTTACTTTCTTCGCGAAGAGATCAGTCGCAAAGGTCGATTCACGCTACTCATCTTAGGGATCGTCAGCCTGTTGTTAGCACGCTCAGGATTCACCCAAATTTCGATCTCCGTAACCTATTTGGCAATTTGCCTTTCTCCAGCAGTGTGTTGACGAACAATCATCCTCCAGATGTTCAAGGAGTTCAGGTCAAGAACCTCTTTCTCCCAACATGGGCAATGATGACTATAAACACACTACCGGACCCTGGATCGTTGAGGCATGTCTTTTCAGGGATATTACAACAAGCCACAGAGATGATTCGGGATGGAGTTCCGCTAGAATCCGTCATAGAAACTCATCCCAACATCGCGGCTCTTTTCGACGAGGCGGAATTTGATAAGTCGGGTATTCTTTCGCAGTGGGCGGCTGGTATGGTGCATAGTGCAACATTAAACAGTACGTCTCTAAAGTCTGTTAAATTTTGGCAGCATGCCCAGCTTCGAAACATCATCGCCTTGACAACTGGGTTGTAGATCGGAAAATAGCTAACATCCACAGGTAATGATTTTACGTGTTGCGCATATATGTATTGTATCTGGTATCTTATGCGCTGGATGATTTCGCCCTCTCCAGAAACATATCGAGTAATTCCAGAATGGCTACGACCTACGTAAGAATTCCGTCTGGTTGTATTCCAAGTCACTACTCATCATACCTATCTAGCCCAAATCAACTTTTCATGCCGCACATTACCATACTCGATTTCGTCCTCTGGCCTGCCTTCCGCGAGCTTGCCGCCCAAATCCCCGCTATGCAGCAGCGCATGGAGTGGCTCATGGACTACAGTATCAATCTACACTGCGATTGGTCGTTCCCAGTGGAAGAAGCGTTTCGCATAGATGAGGTCACCGGACGTCTAGATTTGTGCGACTTGGCAAAGGTATGTTCAAGCTTAGTTTATCATATCAATCATGGAAATAAACAAGCGGGATAAGAAGTTCGATGTGGATCGCTAACAGCTGCAGACAAGCTTGCGCGATCTTTCGAATTGGTCGTTACGTCCTTCATTCCGAGGCTACGTAAGCAACGCGGATTCTTATGTCAGGATTAGAACAGATGAATGTTAAGACAGGTGCGGACTCGAGGTCTTGCATCGAACATTAGGTTAACGAGGCACATGACACCAGAGTTGTCTATCAAACTAGCCACTCAGTTGCTGGGTAATTTACTAATCATTCTGACGGCTCGAGAATCTAGGTTCTCCTCTTTGGAACAATGCGTTTGGCAAGATAGGCAACAAATTGCCAAACAATACATAGATATGGGGGTGCATCATCGGACACGAGAAATCTGGCGTTCATTTGGTTTTTGCACTGGTCGATTCATAATCTACAATCGGCTTTGAATCTTCTCCAGGGTATCTCCAAGCGCATATTCATTTCGCACTGTCTTTGATCGGACCTTCTCGCCCTCTTCCTTCGTTACGTACCGCGCCTCCACAGCTGGGTTGTACGAGAACTGGCTGGCCTGCTTGATCTCCTCGTCACTCATCCTAACACTCTTCTTTCCATCTGCGCGTTTGTACACATTGATCACCACCGCCCCGCCCAAGCCTAGATTGTGTTGAAGAGCGACATCTGCACCGTCCACAAGTCTGTTGTTCGCCCACCCACGGAGTTGCCACGTCAACTCGGCACACTGTGCCAGTCCTGTCGCGCCAAGCGGATGGCCTTTGCTGATTAAACCGCCGGACGGGTTCACGACGGGTCCCTTGCCTCCGTAAGTAATGTCTCCATTTCGTACCATCATATGTGCTTTTCCGGGTTCGCTGAAGCCTAGGCCCTCAAGGAGAATAAGCTCATTTGCCGAGAAACAGTCATGGAGCTCGCAAACTTTAATGTCCTTAGGGCTAACGCCTGCCTCTTTCAACGCGACTTGTGCCGCTCGCTTCGTCATGTCGTACCCAACCAAGTCCATCGACGACTTGGAGTACAACTGCGGCGAGTCCGTCATCAAGGCTTGACCCGCAATCAAGATAGCTTGGCTCTTCAAGTGCGGCCTTTCATCCAAAAACTTCTGGCTTACAATCACAGCTGCACCCGCACCGTCACTTGTCGGACTGCACTGCAGTTTCGTCAATGGAAAATGGATCATCGGCGCCTTCTCAATCTGCTCCAATGTATACACATCTCGGAACTGCGCATACGGGTTCTTCTGGCTATGCTCGTGACTGATCCTCGCGATTTCAGCGAAATCTCGCGCCTCGGCTCCATACTTTTCCATATACTCGAGCCCTGCGTTGGCGAAATACTGTGCGTTTGGAGGCGAGTCCGCGACGCCGCGCGTATCTGCCATCATGCGCATGGAAAGGCCCATGGGCGATGGTCGGTCCGACCAGGCAGACTTGATCGATCCGGGTTGCATTTGTTCGAAGCCGATGACCAGAGCACAGTCTATGGCACCGTTTTTGATAAGCGTCCGGGCTAGATGGAGGCCGGTTGAGCCGGTGGCACAGGCGTTGTTTGTGTTGTAGATTGGAATTCTGGAATGGAGTCAGCTGACCGATCTCGTGTTAATGTAGTAGCGAGACATACGTGCTCATGCCGAATTGGTAGAAAATCCTTTGCCCACTCGTTGTGTCGCCGTAACAGTAGCAAGCAACACCCGTCTCCACATCATCATAGTTGATCTGTGCATCCAGCATAGCTTTCACGCCTGCTTCGTAACCCATTTCCGGATAGGCGCGCTCTTTGCGCGGCTTGATGAACTTTGTGAGACCTACGCCTAGCACATAGGCGGGAATATTGTTTTTGGGCGCCATGTTGAATCTCAGACAGTACTGTGATGAAGACGATGCGGACAACTTCTATCAAGGCTGACTTTATGTTTGCACTGTGGTAAGCTTGTTGGGTAGGGCTGGTACGACGGCCGAGGTTAACCCCACCTCCGCATCTCAGGACTCTCGACTCGTTGTTCACTCGCATCAACTGCGCCTCTTCTTAGCCTTGTTGCCATGTTCGCGCTCACCAGCACACGGAGGTTCTTTTTGAAACCGGTTGTGTGTACTTCTTCGGCAATGTTGAAGGCGCGGTCGCGTTCGCGGCATGACAGAGACGCGTGTCTGGCGCCACGCGACGCGACTTTCCTCTAATTTCCACCGCCTGCCACACCTATCCCATCTCTTTTTAATCAAAGGTAGAGCAGGTGTATTGACGACAAACATAGCCTGCTGCTCGCACTTCGCGATCATCATCACACATCCAGTTCTCTTCTAGCCATCCCATTTTCTGTCATCAGCTTTGTCCACTAAGTGCGAGTCACCATTTGTCTTGCGCAGAATTTTCGGGTCTTGGCTCCTAATATTTGTTTCGTTCATCGATCCTGCGAACCACTCGGTTGCGCAAGATGAGGAAGAGAGTCCGAAAAATGTACCGATCAATCAGCATACAGTCATTGGTCGTAGTCGCGTTTGCATCGGAGGTAAGAAAGCTTCTGTTTCTCGTGAACCTGGAATTGACTCGTTTCGAAACAGTAATCTCCGCTACCACGTCATGTATGCGCCGGCCTAGACTTGAAACGCGTTTGAGAACCAATCATCATTGCGGTAATTCGTCTCAGACTAGCGCATGTTCTTCTCGCTTGCATGGCTCATAGATTAATCTCCTACGCTTGTGTCGGGTCCGATGAACGATTTTGACGGATGTGGCCAATCTCGGGAACCATGATCCCGGATCGTGAGTGCCGGCCTTGGCCTAGACGCCGTGGTTTTGTTTCCTCGACACTGCATGAAGAGGCTTGTTTGATCGATGCTGGGTACAGAGAATCTTGATCCATGACATGGCAGATTGAGGACTGCTGGACCCGCAAGGGCAGACAGGCCAAGCATACGAGCATATAACAAGGCGTCGCGCTCTTGTATCGTGAAGTATTAGCAAGCTGCTTTCTCACAGTCGTTCATTCTTTTTTTTCCAACCCTCTCATTCTTTGGACGTCCTTCTCTTATCGTCCTTTACAGCCTTGACGGCTCATTTACACATCTTTTGTAGGCTGGGCCATACATTCTTTCTGCTCCAATCTTCACCACTACACTATCATCAAAATGGCACGCACTTTCGCCGTCTTGTCCGCGCTCTTTGCGCTTCGTGCTGCGGCTCAAACGTCTTCAGTGTATACAGATGAAAAAACCAACATCACATTCAACGGCCTGAGGCACACATCAGGTTACACACTGGGTTTTGCGCTGCCTGAAAACCCCACTACAGACTTCATCGCCCAGATTCAGGCGCCTATTACCAATGGAGCTGGCTGGGCTGGTTTCAGCATGGGTCAGTCCATGGCTGGCAACCTTTTGGTCGTTGCATGGCCCAACGAGGGCGAGATCGTGTCGTCCTTCAGGGAGGCAACCGGCTACACCAATCCCGCTGTAACGACTGGTGACTTCAAGATGACTCCTATTCCGGAGGGCACATACGTGAACGACACCGCCTTCTCATACACGTTCCTCTGCTCCAACTGCATCAGCGATGACGTGACAAAGGGCCTGGTCATCTACGAAGCCCCAAGCAACAATATTGTGGGATGGGCCTACTCAGCCGATGCTCTTACCGACTCGACCAGTGCTTCTGCTACCCTGAACTACCACAGCGGCGGATTCGGTGCATTCGGTTGCCCTATGGCCAACGCTACGAGTGCTGATTACGAGACGTGGGCTGCTCTTGCTGTTGCTGGATCCGACTCAGGCTCAGGTAACTCCACCACGCCCGTTGGAGGCAGCAACTCGACTACTCCTGTCACTACCCCTATCAGCGCGAACTCGACAGCTACTGTTGCCAACGAGACTTACGACTACATTGTGGCCGGTGCTGGTGCAGCTGGTATTGTCGTTGCCGAAAGGCTTGCTGAGAGCGGCGCCTCGGTTCTTTTGATTGAGCGCGGTGGTCCTTCGTACGCCTCCACTGGCAACACTGACACTTTGTCATGGAACGACACCATGACCATGTACGACGTCCCTGGATATGGCTACTACCTTAGCACTGTCGGTAGCCCTGCGTACTGCACCGACACTGCCGACATGGCAGGTTGCTTGGTCGGTGGTGGCACCGCGGTGAACGCTTTGATGTTTGTCAAGCCGCAAGCTAAGGACTTTGACGACAAGTGGCCCGAGAGCTGGAAATCGACTGACATGTCAGCCGCTGCGGACCGCGTTTGGGAGCGCAACCCTGGTCAAACTTACGGCTCTGAGGATGGTGAACGCTACAACGACCAGGCTTACGACGTTTTGTCGCAGTTCTTCAAGGGTCAAGGATGGGCAGAGACCGACTTCATTAAAGATCCTAACTCCAAGGTCAATGTCTTTGGGCACTCGCCCTGGAACGTGGCCGATGGCCTGCGCTCTGGTGTTGTCAGGACCTATCTCCCTCTGGCCCAGGACCTTTCCAACTTCAAATTGATGACGAACACGAACGTCGTCCGCACTGTTCGCGAAGGCTCGTCCGCCACTGGTGTCGAGATTGAGACCGCCGATGGTAAACGTATGATCTACAATGTCAAGACCGGCGGTAACGTCATCCTCGCTGCGGGTGCCATGTCTACTCCTCGCATTTTGTTCAACTCCGGTATCGGCCCATCCGAGCAGCTCAAGATTGTTGCTTCTGGTTCCAGCGGCGTAACTCTTCCTGACGAGGCTGACTGGATCGATCTCCCTGTTGGCGCTGAGATCAAGGACCACCCCATCTTCACAATCAAGTTCACCACCAGCACGCCCATGTTCGCCGATGCTACAACTGCATGGACATCGCCAAACCAGACCACTGTTGACCTTTTCGCCAAAAACTCTGGTATCCTCGCACAGTCCGGCCAACGTTTGAACTGGTGGTCTTCAGTCAACACCACAGCTGGCAACGAGGTTTTCTTCCAGGGAACCTGCAACGGTCCTTCCAACAACACTATCCAGATGAAGGTCTACATGACTCACGGTGCGTCTTCAGTTGGTAGCCTTGGTATCACCGCCGATGGCGCCACGACCTTCATCACCAATCCTCTCATGAACTCGGACGATGACACTGAAGCTATAACCCTGATGTTGGAACGTCTTCTCAAGATGACTAGCGGTAGCAACTCTACTTTGACCATCGTTGCCGGTACCGGCGTCACCAACGTCACCGCTGCAGACTTGATCAAGGAATACAAGTCCGGCAGCCACTACGTTGGTACTGCTAAGATGGGCACCAAGGGCGAGGCCGGCGTTGTTGTTGATACCGACACCAAGGTTTACGGCACCGACAACTTGTTCGTCGTTGATGCCTCGATGCACCCTGATCTGCCTACTGGTAACACCCAGGCCATTATCATGGTCGCTGCCGAGGCTGCCGCTGCTCGCATCCTCGCTCTCGGTAGCAGCTCTGGAACTACGCCTTCAGTTCCTGCTGCTAGCAGCGTTGCCCCCATCGTGAGCAGCGCCGCTTCCGAGCCTTCCAGCGTTGTTCCTGAAGCCACCGGTGTTTCTTCTGCTACCAGCGCTGCCGCTATCTCAAGCGTTGCAGCCTCATCAGCCGCACCCGTCGCTTCTTCCAGCAGCGTCGTCTCGCTCGCTGCTTCCAGCGCTTCGCCCAGCCGCACCGCATCCCCCGTCGTCCCAAGTGCCTCTCATGTTGCGACCGCGTCGTCTAAACCTGTTGCGTCTCGTCCCACTCCCACTTCTGCTAAGTCTTCTGCTGCCGCAAAGCCCACATCTTCGGCTGCTGCTGCCGCCGCCACAGCATACGCCCAGTGCGGTGGCAAGACCTGGACTGGTGCCACTACGTGTGTGGAGGGCTGGTCCTGCACCAAGCAGAACGACTATTATTCGCAGTGCACTCGCAGCAGCTCTCGCCGCTCGGCACCTGTTAAAAGACGTGCTAGCAGGCACGCAGCAGTCAAGGAGGTCAGCTACTAGGACAGCTACGAATTCTGAAAAGTTGCACGAAAGAGTTTAGCAATACATAAGGTGCATGGTGGTTGTTAGCGTATATAGCATTTTTCTTTCTTTTACTTCTTTTTGTCAATAACATTCTTGCTCTTTGATCTCGATTGCGTGTCACGATCCTCCGCCGTGATTGTCGAGTAGTTGAAATTCTGACTTTACTCCGATTTGCCCTTCTCGTGTTTCTCGAAAGTGTGCATGGCCTGCTTGCCAAACTACGAGTATGGCTCTGAGTTATGTTCTCACGATTGTAGGACGGTGTGTCTCAGATAATGTGTTAGTTTTTATTCCCATAACCTAGGTGATTTTATGTCACTTCCACGCCTATACAGTCACAGTGAAAGACTTCTCGGGGTGATGGCGCGCGCCACGCTAATACTTGGCTCTACACTTGCAAACTGAAAGCTCTGTGAGGATGTATCAAGCAACCTCTACTAAGCAGCCCATTCAACTCATCTGAACCTACTACACATCACTGTTCCAGCACGAGCTGCGATCCTATCCGGATCAATGTCGCTACTAGCACCATGGAGCTCGCGATACCAAAAGACAGCCTGGCGACGACCGAAAAGATCGCACGCTGTGAGAGACAGCATAAGGTGTCATTTGTTTGTGTGAAAAGTTCGGCGGTTGCAAGCTGACATTGAAGCAGAGCACTGCTGGAGCTGCAGATCTGGTCTGAACGGCATGAACGAACGTGCTCCGCCCTTCGCAAGATACGCGAGATCAGATCGGATGTTCAAAATGATCCGAAGTAGCGCGATACGTTCGAACAGGCAGAGCGGCTGGCTCGGCTCAATGCTACGGAGCGCCATCGCGAGATAATCTACCCGAGATTGAGTATCAACGACAAAGTCCTCATCAAAAGAAAATCAATCAGTCATCTAGCGAAGGTGTGCGGGCGAATGTCTTGCCGAGTCATATCTGAAATGGTCCAAGACAAGCTGCCACGTGAGCTGCGCAACATCGTGTATGACTACATCCTGGAAACAAGTTATGTGTATGTGAACACGTTATGGAGTGACTTACGACTACTCCTACACAAGACGAAGTTCCCCTCACATGTTCGCAACTCAAGGTACATGGGGCAGTATCTTCTGGTTGAATTGGCCGAACATTGGTACCGGACCACTGAGTTCTACTTCGACAGTGTGATGGATCTGAAGCTTTTCATCGATTTCGATGTTTGGGGATTTAAATCACAATCAGAGAAATCGATTGCCAAAGCACCTCGACGTTTGTACCAACCCATCTGTCGTACATTTGTGAGATTTTGGGCCAAGATTTATAGAGAATTGACATTCAGCCCAAGCATCAGGTTGGAGGGTCAAGTATGAGGTTTTAGACTTGCATTTCGAAGATCAGAGAGCACAAGACTATAGGAAAACCATAACCATGCCCTTCTTAAGCAAAACCATCCCATATTGAGACAGTGTGGAAGGAAAACAACATACTCCAATGAGAGAGAAGACAAGATGAAGTGTTTCTAATGTTACGAAACTTGTGCAAGGAAACCTCCAAAGAACTCCGATGATCAGCTTCAATATACACTCAAGATTCCTGCGGCCAATTGTACCAGGTCAGATCTAGAAGAGGATCATATACGTTGCCGTAATCAATGCGATCACCCGATGGAGAGTAAACGAGACCACTGTACGATGACACATCGGGCGAAGCATGCTGATTAGATGGCGATGAGATGACGTTACGTAGCCCTGCCGGATGCAAGTTTACTTCGGGAACACCTGTGGAAGCCAAAGACGTCCGGCGGTAGTCGCCGGAGTTGAAAGGACTCAGAAGTGTAGGGTCGCTCGGATCAGGTGCTGTAGAAGGCTGGGTTGACCCGAAAGGAGCAGAGTTTGAGTCAACGCCTTGACTGCTTGGCTGAGTACTCATATCATGACCGCCATAATACTCATCCACTCCGATTGGTTGGTGATAAGGTGGAGCGTAAGCAACAGGATCCTGGTGATGCATAGGGAAACCGTGATAGCTTGGTGTCGAGTCTGCAACATCAGGAGCATAGATTTGGTTCGAGGGACGGTTTCGGTACGTTTGGGTTGCGTTGTAAAATGCTTCGGCTAGATCGGCCATGAACTGAAGGCGCTCTGAGCTAAGGAATCGGGGAGCCATGATAAATGCACGAAGAAACGAATCCGGCTCGCGCTCGAGGATGCTCAGGTAATGGGCAGAGGCGTCGTCAGGCCTTGCCCTAGCAATGACCCCTTCAGAAACTGCCCTGTTCGGATCAGCCTGGTGAGTCTGAAATAGTTCTTGCTCCATAGGATTCATTGCGTCGGAGAGCATGAAGTTTAGCACAGCGTGATAATCGGGACGATTAACAATGAGATCATTCATGGATTGCGATTGCGTTTGATCACCATCCATACTCGCGAGCTCTTCACCTAAAAAAGAGTGGGATCGAGACACGGTGCGGCCCAATGGACGACATTGTGCTGTCACATCTTCGGGAAGCCAGCCGAACTCGCCAGTATCTGAGTGGTGGTTGTTAGTATAATACATGATATGATTGCCTAGAGAACCTTACACGGAAGGGGCACTTGAGGCGCGTTAGGGAAAATAGTAAGATAGAGTCGTGCCCAGGGTATTTCGATATTTCCTCTTATTTGTCGTACGTATTCGCAGCGATTCGCATCTCTGTGAGAGTTGAAAAGTTGTCTATCAATAAAATCCTCTCTGCACCGTCCACACTGTTTGAGAAATCGAGGAAACCCACTATGAGTGCTACGATTGACATGGTTCCGGATCTGTGACATGCGATTGTTGCTACAGCCGCGGCAGGACAGCGGAGTTCCATGCATTGAGTTATGCTTGTAAATCGGGCAATCGACGTTCCTGCTCTTGAGCGTTATGGGTTTGTCGCTATGGATGACCCAGGCCTCGCCGCCTGTCTGACTCTTTTGGTATTGCTGCGTTTGTCCATCCCGCCCGTGAGCTTGGCTTGTCCAGGAACTGGAGCCAACACCAGGGCACAGACTCAAATGCCCGGCTCCGTAAAACTGGTCTTGAGCATGGAGAGCGGGTTGGTATGTCATTCCACTCGATCTAGTCAGTTCGTCGTCCTGGATTAGTTGATTAGGTGGAGCGGAATCGAGGTCAGAGACGACAGTATAAATTTCCTCAAGTACTCGAGCATAGGTAGTGTGGGCATCGGAACTATAGATCGATTAGTTGGCGATGTCAATTTCGAGGCCAAAGGAGGGTTTACTTCTTGTTGCGAAGTTCCTGAACTATAGCTTCCCAATGAGCGAGAAAGGCATCACAAAAACGGGTGTAGTCGTCATAATCGAGTTTGGTGTAGAGTTGGCTGAATACAACTTGTGCGGTTTGAGCCAACGTTTCGCCTTGGAAAGGGGGTTTGCTCTGTTCGTTGGAGTCGATAACTTGGTGTATACTGGAGATGAATGAGCCTTGTCTGATCGGCAGCGAATGTCTGCTCTGCTCTTGTGGGCAATGAAGCTCCGCATGCCTCTGACGTTCATGCTTGAGCTTAGCATCCTGTCGTCGATAAACTTTGGAGCATCCATTTGCAGAACAAGTGTAAGGGCCGCCTCTCGATTCGGAATGTTTGTGTCGAACGTGCCGCGCGAGGTTTCCGCGTCGATATTTACCCGTAAACCGTACGTCACATTGGCCGCATTGTATAGTATAGTCGTCCGTGAGCCAGTTGGAGTGAGGCGTCGAACAGCGACTGTTCTGACAACTATCAAGGCGTAGGTCTGGCATAGACACGTGTAGGTCCTCTTCGAGGGCTTGGAATTGTGATAAAGCAGGCAACGGGTCGATGTCGCTGAATGCCTGTGTAGTGCGGGAGCATACTAGGTGTTGCAAGGGGGCAGGCTCGTCAACTCCATGCTACCGATAGGTCAATCTAAGGTTGCTGCGATCGTATCAGACAACTGCACGTACCCGAGTGTTGAATGTAGACCAAGATGGCGACTCTGGGGCCGATTGTTTGATGGTCGAGCTGGTCATAGGCTGGTGCGAGCGACCATATGCATTATCAAACTGGTCATAGTCCTCGTAATTTGTGGACCGCGGCATGGCGTTTCTCGAAGGTGTTGGTGATGGAGGTTATGACTATGATTGGTGGATAGAAGTCGAGCGATACCTCTGTGGCAGTAGTGGCAGACAACGACATATCAGACGTACCAAACTGAAGCTCTTCTATGTGCGCTTTATAGGAGAAAAGTCGGTTAGTTCCAACCGCAGTGAACAATCATGTCATATGCCTCCCACATGCACGCAGCTGAATAAATTGATACGGCAGCGATGATATATGTGCAAGTATGCAGTTGAGCATTTGATCTTGCATACTTGGCACGCCAAATTCGCTATAGTACGCACAGCTCGGGCAGTGCAGTCTGACGTATCCATCGCGCGACCAACTAAGGTTTCGTAGAACAGCAATTTCGTATAGAAATACTCGGAACCAGGGGGTTGCATAGCCTCGAACTATGCACGCATCTAGGCAGCTTGTTGGGCAAGCTGCAAGACATATGTGTAACTATACTCACAGAGTGTGAAGATTCGTACATGCCATGTTGCACACTTGCCGACATGACTGGTTATCGCATGTAACAGCTTCAACCAATGTACGCTCGCTCATTGAGGCAGGGCAAGGCATTCTACTGGGCATTCTCCAAGGCGCCCGTCCCGATCTCGTAGAAAATGACTCCGTCTGTTCTCCACTGGTAGCTTTGCTGTGGCTTTGCCGAGTGTGGCATCGCATTGTCATGTCGCAATTGTTCAGTGGGGAGCTCGTGAGTTATTGTGAGCGGCGACCTCCGAAGCAGTTGTCAAGGCATAATATGGTGCTGGGTGTGCAGGATGGTGGTGAGGAATTGCTCAAGGAGCTAGAGAGATGGACTATTCAGATGTTACTGCTCGCTCAAGTTCATAAACTCGTGCACGGGTTCCACATACCCTCGTGAAGTTTATGGTAACAAAATATCGCTATGTTTTCGACGAGCAACATATTCCAATTGTTCCATGGGCTAATTCTGTTGTGAGAAATGAACCTCGGTGACGCCGATATCGAAGCGAAACATAGAAAGCTGCCGCAAAGCCGAGAATCGCAAAATGAAGCCAGAGTGGCAAACTCGCGGGAGGTCCTTCTGTGCGGGGTATGCGACTATGTATATGAGGTTATCAGACGCTGCATGATACTGACGTGACTAACAGTTGTATCATTGGCCTGAAATTAGTGAGTACCTTGCTGATTGGCGTGATGTTCGTGTGGTCAGCTGGTGCGCAACTGCTGGCCTGATTTGCCTGATTTGCCTGATTCCCTGGCCTACATTCCGAGCTATCATGTATAGCACGTGGCATACAGACATTCGTCCTCGCGAACATGTTTGCGGGATCTTAGAGTTGTTAGATGGTGGGAGTAATTGACCACAGGGCAGTGCAACCGAAGAGCAGTGTGGCTTGCAGCTATAGCTTCAACTCGCTATGCCCTGTCAAAGAGAAGACCCACTTGATCCCGCACATCTCAATACATCCGTTTTGAAACGCACCTGCTTCCCTTGCTCTTTCGTGAATGCAATCCAGTGTCTCTTTACCATTCACGCCGACTGATATCGAGACCAATCCCTCTGGTTGCCCCTCTCTCCCCGGAACAAACCCTAGCCTGGCGTTGGTGAATGCTGACAGATCTCTACTTCGCGCCACGCCAAACATCTCTTCCCATTGCCGCGCTGCGTCTTCATGCCCATAATCGCCTGGTTGTAGTCGCAGGACACAGCCTTGGAGATTAAGATGCCTTGAGCGGTACATGCCGGGGTAGTACACTTGATAATCTGAGCCACACGCATGCCATGGCGAGAAGCGCGAATTTAGAGGCGTTGGGTTGTTGGGGCCAGACGCGTGGCTGTCAAGTTCAGGTATGACTCCGCCTTTCACGCCCTTGGGATGGTATTGCACGCACACAGCGTCGCCATGGTCATGCTCGAAGATGACTTTGGCCAATCCCCTTGCTTCGATGTGCTCCCGCCGTTTCTTCGCGTCCACGGTCTGCATGATGACCATATATCCTCCATCACCACGCTTCTCGAGAAGTCGTCCGGCAGTCGTGTTTGCTTTGAAGGGTGAGACAACTTCGATGAAATCGCCGCCGAGAGGAACTGCGTACTACGTCAGCCGTTGTTGCGTGTTCGGAAAGGTATACGCACTCAGGAAATTTTTCAGTCCCCATTGGCTGACAGCAGCATCTTCACATACGACTTCAGTACCTACAACGTATGTCTAGTTTCTCGGTTAGTTCCCATATACCTCATCGTCACATGTACAGTCGTACAAGTAGTTGTTTTGCTTGCTCAAGATCCTTGGCGACAAGAGCAATCTGCCGTAACCGCGTCGGAACTGGTCCGTAGGCTTCTTGTGATCCCATAATGACTAAGTTCAATCGCAATATGTATCATAGACGTGGTTTAGACAGCGTGATAGCTTTCATGTAGTTTACTCGCATGCACGATGCAGTTCCTCGGTCTGAAGCGTTTCCCCGCATTTGCAACCGCGCTGGAAATTCTCTAGGCCAAGTTTGTGGGGTAGGTTACGTCTGCATTGGGACAGTAATCAATTGTCGGGAATCGAGAGACGCGTTGATTAATCAGGACGCGTTCGCAGTGGCAAGGAGGTGGCTGGGACGCGCCTGTCAACTTCGGTACATGCCGCGAGTGCGACACGTGAGGTCATCTCGTTCATCGCTGCCCGTCTCATCATCTGCATTGCAACACTGTAAACACACTTGTTGGCTGTTGTCATCACAATGGTTTCTCCTGTGCTCATGGAAATTGAGCTCTATGCGTATTCATCAACGATCCTCGTGGGACGAACGTGCTTTGCCACGACAAACGTTCGTCGTTCATCCCTCACCGCATATGCGTATCTGTTCCTCTCATCTTTCGTTGTCTAGTTCACCTTTCTGCCTGAGCTTTTCCCTTAATCGACTATCGAGTGCTGGCCCATATCTTCTCTTCGGGCCAACGAGCATGTCCGTCCACGCCACACATGTCGGAATCACGAGGGGAACTGATGTTAGAACGGCGACTGCAAACGCCGTCAATGTCAAACCACGCTCTCTGGCATGGGACCCACATCACATCCAAATTCTAAAGTTTGCTTGATCCAAGCAAGAAGGTAAACGTAGGAAACAAATCAAGGTAATGCCCTTCTTGACTGCTTCACCTCCAGCTTTTCGAGGTTGACATCTCACATCCCATACGGTCATTGAGCTATGTTCCCTGGTAAGGTCTCAAGACTCATCGTAGCTTGGTCCATACAGCCAGAATAGTAAGGTTGACATCGACTGATCGCGACTCGAGCTTATTCAACTGGTCGCGCTGTATGTCGTGCCTTGCTGGCCCATCCGTTGTTGACGCAACGCAGTATATATCAATGATTCCAACAATTAGACATCATTCCGGACGACCGATGAGGTTCCCAGATGCCTCCGATACTCGCTTACATCGTCTCATGCATGGCAAACGCTATGGCATCGACAAAACCCTCGACAGACTTTCGTTCTGCGGTCGACCTTTTCGCTCTTTCTGAGACGTTATCCTTTCTGTGCTTGTCCAGCATAGCGCCAGATCGGTACTGACATCCAAACGAATAACCGCGTTCATAAGATGTGGCTGTCCATGATCCTTTCGCTCCTACGGGGAGCTTTACACACACGAAGTCGTTTTCCTCGAGGCAATGAGTGTTCCGAAACAATACGTTGCTTTGTGTGCCATCGCCGTTGACGCTATCGCTATGACCCGTCAGTAGCACGCGCACCTACCCGCAGATCATTCCTAACAGGGCGTTCGAGCAACAAGCGAACACTCGCGTCCGTCTGGAAGACTGGAACAATGCCACAAAAAGGGATTTACATTTTTGGAAAGCCGCTATGGACGATATCAATAGCAAGCACTTGAAAATTCCCCTCATGAACTCGCAACTTTGAGGGCTGTTCTGACTCCAGTTGCGTCTGCCATGTTACCAGCTCAAGCGGAAAAGAGACTCTATCTTGAGATTCCATACTCGTCAGCATGCTACCCGTTTTGAAGGTCACATCTAAACCTTGCCTTTTCATCATATAGAACCATCTCGCATTGCTCTATCGCGTACACCACACGTCTGGACTGCCACACGGCGCGCTCGTCGATTGTTGTGTCGCGTCTCCGCGTTTCAGGGTCTTGCAGCTCAGCTTTTCACTGCGCCGTCACCAGGTCTTGGCTTGCAGCTCGCATAATAAGAAGATCCACCGTCACCTCGACTTCTGTAGCTCACCTCTACACTCGTTTTTGAATCTTCTGAGACCTACACACTTGTCTCTCTTTCTTGGCTGCATCCACACAGTCCTGTCTCTTGTCGTCACTTTGCTTGTTCGTTTCATGGTCTTCTGCTGTCTTGTCCGTATCTTGTAGGGTTGTAGGCCTCATTGCACTTTTTTTCACGTTGTACTAAGAGAAAAAGATCGTTCAACAGGCTGTAAGAATGTCAAGCCTCGAAAGCGAGCTTTTGGCTCTCCTCCCTCATTCTCCACCGCCCTCTCCCGCAGCTGGCACACGCATGACTCGCTCCCAAGCTCGTGTTGGACATCAAACAACCACAAACAAGCCCTCTTTGAGGAAGCGCGACCGCAACTCGAAAACCGCGGAGTTCAACGTCTATGTCGATCCTCAAACGGAAAATGGCCTTCCTACACCTCCGCTGAAGAAGCCCAAGAGGATCTCCCGCAGTCCCTTGTCGGTCAGAACCGGCTCTCCGAACATCTCACCAGCGCCATCTCCGCTTGGTCCTGATACCCCGTTTCCATATTCGCCCGCGGACCCCTTCTGGTGCGACAAAGAGAACTACGACCGCCGCACTTACTACCTAACACCCCCTTCCACCCCGGGTGGCCCGTCGCCTAGACAGTCCCCATTCTCTACTCCGTCCTCTGCCTCTTCACCGCCGTCTGCGCCTTCACCGTCGCCTGCGCCTTCACCGTCGCCTGCGCCTCCCCCACCTCCTAACCCACCATCCCGCCGCTCTACGATCATAGTAGCCCGTCGTCCATCAACTGTTTCTGCTGACACGCCGGCTCCCAAGAACATGACATTGTACAGCTTGCTTGGGCTCAACGACAGCAAGGCGAGCGACAAGAAGATTCGAATGGCGTACAAGAAGATGGCCATGAAGTACCACCCGGACAGGGCCGATCAGGAAGAACGATGTGCCGCCACGCTCCGCATGCAGCGCGTGAACGCCGCGAGGGATGTCCTGTTGGACCAGAAGCGCCGCAAGGCCTATCACCAGAACGGACAGCTACCATGGTCTATGTGAGTACAACTGTTTAACTGGCGATGATTTGGTGTCTATCTTTTGAGCGAATGATAGTGGGCGTTTGCTTTTTGAAGGTATTTGGTGGGGGTGTTTGCTGCTTGGGGTTCTGAACGGCATGCATGGAAGGCGTGAAAAGTTTCATTTTGTCGAATCGCTCACACGCGCGCCCGGTACATTACCTGGGTCCACGTCTGTCTGGGAGCCATGATTGTGTTATTTCCAGCATCAGTTCATCAAAATTTGGCGGCACTGCATTGCTTGTTTTTGACCTTGGGGGATGATGCTGGGGATTACCTATCAAACTTGTCCACAAGTTTAGTAGGTCGTTATCGCCAACACGATGGAAGGAATGTCAGGCAAGTGCAAAGGTGTCAAAGAGTTGCGTTCAATCAGGGCTTGCGTTATCTTACAATCAACATGTATTATCATAACCCTTCACTGTGACCTATCACGCTGTGACCTCGTCGTATTTATAGTCCCTCTTCAACCGAACAATGACTTGCCATGACGAACCAGCTCATCCTCACGCCCTCGTTTGGGACTAATCGCTCAATGCTACGAGAATACATCTCCCTCCCACTCACTTCCCCTCACCTCAACGAAGTTTCCATGCTGTGTCGCCCGATCACATGCATGCTGTTCCACATCAACTTCCCTCCTCTCACAACAGTCATGTGGTGCGCACGAGTTCGATAAGGCCCGGCTTCGGTCGCTGGTGAATGTTGGAGTTCAACTCGCAACCCACCTTGAATTAAGTGAGCATCTTCCAGCCCATCTTCCCAAATAGGAGCCGAGATTCCCGGGTCGCATTCTGACACAAGCTCGTAGCGATATATCGTAGCCTTCGTATGCGTTGAATCGTGCCTCTAATCATAGTCCGAAGGTCCGTCGATCCTCGTCAGGTGGCTCCTCGAATGGCGCATGAGCATGGGATTTGGAGATCGTGGTTCGGTACTGGCATTTAACCACTTGATTTCGAATCTCATTGTCGATGAATCATATGGGTTGGAACACGTTTGCTGGGATTGATTTCGACACCAAGCATCCATGCGAGGTTGGGTTGACGAAAGCGTATCACTCTCCGAACACTGGGTACGGTGGAATCTATCGCAATACAAGTTCCTTGATTGCAGATCATGGGTGCTGGACTTGCTTCCCCATGACATGGGCCGAGTTCTCTACAGAAGCTTTTGATGTGGTTGATTGTGCTTTGCCTCGATTCGGCAAACTCCCAACGACAACAACTGCTTCTAGAGGTGCAAGCTCTTCTTGACTATTGTTATCACCTTCCCACAGCGTATTCGCCCCAGAAAGTCCCCCTCGTGATTCTGAGCTCATCATGCCTTTCAACTTGATGGCCTTGTCGCCACCATGCGTGCTCGAGCGTTGTCCGGAGTGTTTGATATATCCTTGCGTATTGTAGGCAGGGGTCTGAGTGTTGTGGCGTCCGCGAAATAGGGCGAAAAAGGCAGGGCAACATCCGATGATAATAGCTACGGTAGTCTCGAGGATTGTCCATAGCGTCATCCATTTAGGTTCCACGTGCTGGGTACTATGAGCACCCATAGTAGCGACTCGAATAGTGGCAAATGCAATACAAACAAATCCGCTACTGAACAATATTCGTATGCAAATCTTTTGTGCGCGTTGAATTCTCAAGTTCCACACAAGGCGGAGAGGTAAGAACATGACTATCATAGATTGTCAGTATACATGATCGTTTGCCAGCCGAAAAAGGGTTGAAGGGTTTGACGTACTCAATAGGTCTGTCACAATATCAACCGCGTATGCGAAATATATGCAGAACATGGTGTCCCATACGTCTGCTGCCGTGTTACATTCGGCGAGTGTGAAGAAAGCATGCATATCTTCGCAGACATGTGTACTGACGGCGACGACGCTTACAAGCGCCTAGAAAGGCGTCAAGTCAGCACTTTGACCGTCTTTCCTTGTGAGGATCAGACTTACCAGAAAGCAAATTATAACGACACACCACCATAACTTCATATAAAAGCTCGGCAGACCAGTCATCAAATTCCTGTACAGTGCGAGTAGTGAGAATTTGACCGCCCACAGGCACAACCAAAAGCAGATCTGCGCTGCATAAATAACTCTTGTCATGTATGCCGCGTCTGCTGTGAGCTCCAGATAGGGAGGTATTTCCCCCAGTGCAACGTCGGTGATGGTGTATATGTGAGGGGTGGCAGCAATGAACAGGGCAGACATGACGATGTGGAATACGAAAGCGGCGTAAATGAAGTAGTCTTGGAGTTCCAGCTTCTTTCGCCGCATGACTTGGACTGTTGCACGAGTGACAACAACCACCAAGACCAAAGCAATCATGGCCACAGCCGTTCCAAGTAACTCCTCTTTTGTCACCGTAGTCCTGGAGGCGGGAAGCTTGGCCGAAGACATGACGGGAGTTTGGAAACGAGTAAATCCCAGCCCAAAATGATGACAACGTTCCGGAAGGCGTGATTAGAAGTATGATAGAGAGTGATGGAAACTCTGACAACGAGGGGTTTTGTCTGCGTAATTCTGACACATTCGAAGTCTTGTTCGTGACACGGATCGTCAATTTTCGTTTTCCAATCGTCCATGAGCACCCTTAAGGATGAACACTACCTACTGGCCATGTGACACTCTCGCTTGCCCGATGCGAGCGAAGAGCGGTTGAAATCCGAAGCGAGATGACGACTTTGAGGCACAGTCGTAGCCGCAGGATCTAGGGCTGATGGGAATTGAAATGTTTGCGTGTCGAGCCAGTGAAAAAGTCCCCGGACAGTAGCTAGAGTTAGGATCGGTTTTGTAAGAATGGAAAGCTACTTGCTCCCTAAAAACTAGACACGGAGAAGAAAAGGCAATTAGACTTAGCTTACAAATTGTACGCCAATGTTACAGACTCGAAAAAGTAAACATGGTCGCGCTTGGGAGGCCCATACGATGGTGGCTGGCTGAAAAAGAAACAATTGAGTTCCGCGGATCTAGCGCCTCGCGCTTAAACTTTGTCTAAGCGCGTCAAAATCGACTGACATATTCATCCAGCAGACGATGTTTAGTCGCATTGACATAACCACGATGTTCGAGTCGCATGTTCGGTTCCAAAACCGTTGTGACGATCATGCATTGTGGGAGCTCTAACGATGCTGCTGAGCCTTCCTGGACAAGAGAACCTTGCAGATTCCCACTGAATAACTACTTCTGGGCGAATCAGGTTTGAGTTCAACCATCATGCAGGATCTGTTCACCCTCTCACGCCTTGTCAACGGCAGCGGTTAACCACCACCCACATAAGTATTAACCACCACCCACATAAGACTTCATAGTGGCTGTTTCAGCCAACAAGATTGCGCCAAGAAAGACCCACCTCCTAAAATAGTATAGACTCTCTTAGCATCATCTCCTCCGTTCACGAACAAGCTCTTCTCCTCCCATTTTCTACCCATACTTGGGTAGAAAAGTGTCAATTTTTTTTAATAGACTGACTAGAATGGTAAACTTCTGATAATTCTGGGTTTCAGAAATTAAAAATTGGCCCAAAATTGATGAGTTTCTGGGTCTCGAAAATGGTGACTTATGTGGGTGGTGAGTAATACTTATGTGGGTGGTGGTTAACCGCTGCCCTTGTCAACCGTCAGGTTTTTCTGATTTTCCACAAATGTAGTATAACGCAACAGTTGTGGCGTCTATCCCGCACAAGGATACCCCTTGCCTATCGCCTTAACTGCTCGCCTGCATGAAAAACGATACAACCCGTCACAAATTAGGTCATGTCTTTTCAACTCCTGTCTACACATGTCATATGGAGTGACGCTGGCGAGATGACTTACTTTTAGTTTCTTGGAGCATCCAACTCTTAGATGTAGTAAGAACTAGGCTAACGTCGCGCTTAATGGTCGGTCCCATTCTCCTGCAATCGCGCGGCTCAGCAACCACGCCACCGGGATGTGGTCAAAGACCTTCGTTCGCCGACCACTATTCCCGGCGTCTCCGTAGTTCGCAAGTGACGGAAGCTAGTCACGTCGTCTCCCTTTCGGCTCCGCCTATCAGGCTCTCCGCAAGTGTAAGAGCGGGAAGTAAAGCGCTATCCTCGCGGCTCTGAAAAGCCACAAAACCACACAAATACAATTTAGAGAACTAGTGTGCTGGGCAGGTACTGCTAAAAATCTGGGCATGACTCCTACACTAATCTTGGATGGAGTTGTTAAGTCATGCCAAGATGGCACCGCACCTTAGTTCTGATTATCTTAACTAGCCGGTAGTCAGGTACGAATCACTGAATCGATAGAGTTCGGCATAAGCGAAACTAGTTTCGAGACTTAACTCTAATGTCCGTACAATCCCCCTACTCACGGCCCTGAACAAGACACGATCGGCAGGCAAACTACCAATAAACGGCGAATTTCAATATTGATCACTTCCACCATGAGCGTGTAATCCACCTCCACAGTAAACACAGCAGACTCTTCCTCAAAGTGCGTGTACTTCCCGATATCGCTTTGACAATGAAGCTCATTGTCATGCCAGCGAGTCTTCGAAGTAGTTACGCTCACTCGTTATCGGAGAACACTCAACAGGAAGGTTTGCTGTAGTCTTCGCAGAGGAAATTTCGGTGTGGGCAGATTCTGTACGCCACTAACCAGCAAGAAATATCTCACGTTTATACACGGCAATTGGAAATAACTGGTTGGGAATTCGTTTTTCAAAACTTGAGTACACCACCTCATACATTGAAGTCGAGGCTTTGTACACTTGAGGGTATGAGTTTGGGTGGCACAAACGAAGTTGTAAGCACCCTCCGCTCATTCGCTACCTGCTATCTTACCTTAAACACCCAGTCCATCAAGCATGAACTCTTATTCCAGGGCGATACACCATAGGTGATAATTTGAAAGTTGTCACGAGAGCAGATAACCATGGATGGGCGCAGATGGCATTTTCGAATAATGTCTAACTTCCTCCTGAATGCTATTCAACATATATTCCAACAGAAATCAGCTATGAGATGATCAGATCACCCAAGCTCAGCGCGGTCCTCCAAATGCATAGCCTCGCTGCCCATCGCTCAGTTCTTTTTTCACGATACTCGATGCCCAGCTTATGGTACCCAAAGTGTCATGAAAGTTGAGTAGAAGCATCCTCCGTTTGCTCTCAGTCTTCATCCTCGTCAACATCCAAGCTTCCATGCTCACCCTTGCGCTCGGGCCCGTCGGTGCGACATCGACAAAGTTTGCCTTGCTCTATATATTCCTAGTGTAATTGTTAGTTCCTGTATGCAAAAAATCCGAGCCGTGGAACTTACGCGTTTCTTGTTCAAAACGAGAAGTAACCAGGCGTCCAGAGAGAACTCGGTACAACTGTCACACCCATAGAGCAATACTGTCGGGCCAAAGGAGATGGAGAAGTGAACCTGAACTGACCAATTGGCAACCTTGAGCTGGCGAAGTACGAAGTACAATGGTCGCATGTTTCTGAAAAACGAAGCGATATCATTCTTCTTTTTACAGAAGAAGATCATCATAGCTTGTCTGCAAGTCTGTCTCCCGCAGGAGCCCATTGTATACGGTGGTTCGTTGTGTCTGAACAAGGGTTTAACGACAACATTGAGTTCGGCGTTATGCTTGACTTCGAGCAAGCTAGTGAAGTTGTCAGAAACGCTTTGGAGATGAAAGTCTTCTTCTTTGATCACGATGCATATGCTGCGAAGATGGTCGAATGGCCGGATACCAAGGCCCCACTTGTCTCGGCTGAAGTAATCCCTCAAGTCCACTCTGGCGATGAGATCTTCGTCGATATATGACATGTTGTACCATGTCTCCATGAGCTCGCGCAACATGCCTTGTCCCACGTATTTTTCCTGGTGAAAGTGACAGCCGGTGATGGGATCGCGGCGCTTCAGTTCCCATCTTATACCACCAGGATTCGAGGAGGTTGGTACACAACGGTTGTAATCCATGGTGCTGTCTTCCATGACGTTTTTGTGTATCATATCGCGGAGTTCTCGGGGTAGAGAATGGAACATCTGATCGCACAGAGCTCGGAGCCAAAGATTCTGAAATGTCTTACGATAAGCGGCTTCGCGACTCGTGTGATGTTTGCGAAAGACATATGCTGTCTCTCTCATCTCAGCTTCCTGATTAACAAGCTTGTCGAGTCGCTTGCGTAACGCATAGTTGTCACTGTTCGCAGCATGTTCCCGGAGCTGTCTGCGGATGAGGTTGCTGTCGTCTCGCAGTGTCTTGCGCTTTTCTTTGGCCTCACTGAGCTCAATCTCCAGCTCTTTCCCCATCGCGACGACCCTGGGTGGACTAGGGTCAGTGGCTGTGTCGCAATCATGCTAGAGGTGAAGACTTACACGAGCAGTCGCTTCCGTGCCTTCTCTACCTGCACTGCGGCGTCGTAGCCCTCCTGTAAGGCTAGCCAATCCATTGCAGATTGGGGTTTCGAAGAGCAAGGGTTGAAGTTGTGATTGTGGACGTGGTTGTTGGTCGAACAAAACAACTGAGGTGGTGGGGTGCGAAGGTAATACTGGAGAGGCAAGAGCACCTCGTGCGGTCACCTGTTAATGCCCAGTGAGGCTTAGCGGTGTTTGCAAAGTGAAGTGAAAGTGAGCTGGGAACCAGTGAGACAACATGACTGAGCTGAATCCTAGGGAGCGTTTCGTGTGACTGTTTACTGGTACTGTTGTATCGTGGATCCGAATGGTATGGATGCCGTATAGTGATTACAAGTGAGAAGATTGTCGGATCACAAGACATTTTGTCCACACATGTAGGAAAAAGCACTAAATTAGACTCGATTCTCGAAAGACAAGCTGAAAATTTGGAAGATATGATGGGCAACTGTAGAAAGACTTTCACTTCATTGGACTCGTGGGACAAGGAGCTATACGTTTCCCTTGACATGATGCCAAGGGACTTGAAGACATTTGAAGCAGGTTCTTGAATCAATATCTATCCAACGAGCTGAATGAAAAGGGTATTGAGATTGTAGACTAGACCCAAGATACGAAAGGGTTTTGGTTTCGTGTTGGCCAATTCTCTGCGCCGGTGTGCTTTTTTCTACGTTCATGCAGGGTTCTCATACGCGATAGCTACGTCATAGCATAACGTTCGCTTGGAGTCGGGGAGATCCTCTTAGACGACGTTGGGCATAGCATGAGTATAGGTGGGTGGGTAATCGCAATAGAGTTTGCGAATTGATAGTTTGGCGGAAGTGCCTCAATGCATATGCTCGACGTGTGCATTTCTCAATGGCTCACGACGCAGCTGAGGGAAGGTGAACGGACGGGGAAATGCATGTGCTGTCATCTGTCTTGCATGAACTAGAATGGATAGTATGTACCTCCCCCAGTTCTCGGCACCTCAAGCAGCAGGAACGGCTGGCAGAGCAGCAGCTGCCAATTCTGTTCTTATTAGTGCCGCTCAAGCGTCGAGCCAACATCGTCACCAACACCAACATAGTTTACCAGCTTTATCCATAGACGCGTTCGGGCCGATGTAGCTTCTGGAACAGCCCCAGTGTTCTTCTGAGATGGCGGTCCCCACCTCTGCTAGCGCTGCCGCAAGCGAACAGCGAGCTCACCCCCCTGGCCATGGCATCAGAGCTCCATCGAGCCTGCACAGAAAGTTGCCCGCGCCATCGACGCCGACGTCAGCCCTCCGGCGCAATATGGCCTCGAATGTCTCCGCTTCCACCACCAAAGACGCGTCCAGACGCTTGGCTGCGACGCCGACCAGCACGCCTACTGCCGGCGCTCGACGGCCAATAGCGCCAACGCGTACCTCGACGGCTTCAACACCCTCGGTCAAATCCTTCGTGAACGCAACGCCCCGCGCCAGCACCGTCGGCATCAGCGTGAACAAGGCGGCGACGCGTCCGGTCACGGCGACAGCGCGGCGAATAGGGTCGGCCTCGAAGACGGGCTCGTCTGATGCTGAGCCAGATCTTTCGTCGGTGACGTCGGGGGACGAGAACAAGAAGCCAGCTGTGCGAAGGAGCACGGGACTGGCCAACGCCGCATCGCGACCATCACCCGCCAAGACTCCTTCCAGAGCGACGCCGACGGGTTCTGCGGCAAGTGCTGCCAAAAGGGCCCCAGCCACGTCACGCTCGGCCGGGGAAGGCTCGACACCCCGCGCATCGTCCCGTGCCTCGCTTGGCCCGCCAACTGCCAGATCGGCCATAGTCCGTCCTCCGTCGAGTGTCAGAGGGACATTCAGGGCGCCAGCTGTCCGTCCAAAGGCCGTCTTCACCGCTGGCAACACCTCTCCACTGCCGGAGACGCCCCTGTCAGAGCTGTGAGTGGCATTGTATAACATGCGAGACAGTGCTGACACCATCACCCAGCGACGACCCCATCGACTTCCCTCCCCGCAGCTATGCCCACCTCAGAGACAAGGCCGCCTCCGACGCCGAAATCGAGATGCGCAAGAACGCTCTCGACACTGTAAAAGCGGCGCAGGAGAGGCTCGGCAACGAGACGCCCCGGCCAGATACTGCCCCCAACGGCTCCAAGGAACCCGATTTTGACTCTAAGCGACGAAGCGTCCAGATTATGCAGGATTTCTTCAAGGAGACGACTGTCCGCGAAACGCTGCAAGAGCAGTGCGACGACCTCACTCGTGAAGTCGACAATCTGCAAACAGAGAAAGCGAAGCTCAAAAAACAGTTGGCCGATGCGCAGGCCACCATTGCAGAAAAGGGTAGCACCGAATCCTCTATACACCAAACAGAAAACACTGCCCTTGTGGACAAAATGGGGGAGATGGAGCAAAAGTTCGCCCAGGAGACAAAGGAGCTGGAACAGCAGAGCCAGAAACTCGAGGAGGAGAAGCAGGCTGCCCAGGACCGGGAGGCTGCTGAGGCCAACCGGGCTGGAGAACTTCAGCAGGTACTCGACGACCTCAACGTTGAGCTGGAGCGCCAGGGACGCGAGTGGGACGCTGAGAAGAAACAGCTGGTGGACCAAGCTGCACAGATCGACCGACTCACAAAGGAAGCGGCGGCGTTGAAGACCGAGCGAGACGTGCTTTCGAAGGAGGTGGCGGATGCCAGAGAATCTCTCAACATCCTGCAGGCCAAGATATCGGACCTGGAGCAGAGCCATTCAGACGACCTGGACTCACGGGACGAGAAGATCAATACCCTCACAACAACCGTCGAAGAACTGCGATCAGAAGTCGCCGCCTCGGAGCAACGGCACAGCGATGCATTGGAGGAAGCGCAGCGGGCACTCGAGTCCAAATCCTCCGAAACCTCCGCTATCGTCGAAGAGCTCCAAGATAAGGTTCAATCACTTCAACAACAGCATACGGAGGAGCTACGCTTGAAAGATGAGGCAATCGCATATCGTGCGCAGGCTGAGAAAGAACTACACGATGACATCACCCAGCTCCAGCAGCGAGCAAACAAATCTTACGCAGACCTCGAGAAGGAGCGCAGAGGACATGCAGAGCACCTGGAGGAAATGATCATGGAATTGCAACAAGACGCCCAAGAGGAACTACAGATCAAGGAAGAAGAGCTTGAAGGTCATCTCAAAGCCATCGACGACCTTCAAGAGCAGGTCAAGTCCCTTCAGCAAGGCGAGACCGACGGCAGTAGAGTCGCGCAAGAACTCCACGAGAAGATTGAGGACCTGAAGAAGTCGCACGAAGAAGCGTTACAGATCAAGGCTAGTGAAAATGACGAGCTCATCCAACAGCTCGACGCAATCAACGAACAACTCAGCACGGATGCGGTTGAGGCCGAGCGGCTCAAGGAAGAAGCTGAGGGCCTCCGCAGGACTCTCCAAACACTCGAGCAAGCCTCGCAACAGGAGGAGTCGCAACACGCTGTAAGTGTCACTAGGGTGCAAGCGGAGTTAAACGAAGCCAAGAAGAAGTTGGACTCTGTTCAGGCAGAACGGGACCAGGCCAAGAAGAAGGCGGATTCCTACAAGACCGAGTTGGACACCACACAGCATAGACACGGACAATATCTCCGAATCCTTGGCGAAGACCACGACGCTGAGATCGAGTCTCTGCGAGCTGATCTGGAGGGTGATGCGAAGAACCGTCTGCACAAACTTCAAGCTGAATACGACTCACTCGTTGACCAGAAGAACGCGGCTCTGAAAGATCATGACAAGGCATATGCCGAACGGACACATGAGCTCGAAGAGTTGAAAAAGGAACTGTCAACTGTGAAGAAGCGATCTGGTTCCACGTCGCAGAGTCTCAACGACGCTCTTGCTAAACGCAAGCAAGTTGAACAGGCCAAATCTGCGCTCGAACAAGTCGAGGCTGGATCGCAGAAACAGATCGTCGACCTCCAGGCTCGTGTTGAATCGCTCACCGGGGACGTCGCGAACCTCCAGGCTCGTTCAGACTCACTGGCCAAGGAGAAGACTGCAATCGAGGAGGCACATGGAAAATCACAGACGCTCGTTGCGGATCTGCAAAGCCGTTTGGAATCATTGACGGAAGATAAGGCTGCTGTCGACGAGGCCCACACGAAAACACAGGCTAGTGTTACGGATCTTCAGGCTCGTTTCGATTCGCTCGCAGAAGAGAAGGCCGCTGTCGAGGAGGCTCTTGCCAAGTCACAAGCTGATGCTACGGATCTACAGGCCAGATACGATACCCTAGTAGAAGAAAAAACTGCCCTCAATGAAGCTCACGCGAGGTCAGAGGTTAGTATTGCGGATTTGCAGGCTCGTTTAGACTCCCTAGCCGAAGACAAAGCTGCTGTCGATGAGGCTCATGCGAAGTCACAGGACAGTGTTGCGGAACTCCAGGCCAGTCACAGTACTCTGTTAGACGATAAGAACGCAGCAGAACAGACGCACAGCCGTACTATCGAAGCTCTCAAGCAGGATTCTGAAAGTACCACAAAACAGGTTCTGGGCGAACTACAAGCCAAGTACGATGCCCTGTTGGATGAGAAGCAGAACCTCGAGGAGGCCCATCGAGCCGAAATCGAGGATGTGCGCAGCGAGCGAGACTCCCTTTCCCTGCAATCCTCGGTGCATGAAAGTGCTTCGAAGACCATCGACGAGTTGCAGGCCAAGTACGACGCTTTGGTCAAGGAGAAGAAGGACAGCGAAGTTGCTCACCAAACTGAGCTTGAGAGTTTACGGTCTGAACGAGACGCTCTTTCGCAGGAGTCGTCGGCTCTAGAGATCACTTCTAGGTCGGTTGAGGAACTGCAAGCCAAGTATGATGAACTACTGGAGGAGAAGAAGAGCCTTGTGGACTCCCACCAAGCTGAGATCGAGGATTTGCGAGTCGAGCGAGATACTTTTTCTGAGCAGTCGTCGATGCTCGAAGATACCTCAAAGAACGTCAGCGAGCTGCAAGCCAAGTACGACCAGCTGCTGGAGGAGAGGAACGACCTTATGAACGCTCATCAAGCCAAGTACGACGATTTATTGAAGGAAAAGATGAGCATCGAAGACGCCCACAAGAACGAACTCGAAAACCTGCAGACCCAACGGGACACACATTCTCAACAACTCTCCGAACTCGAGCAAACCCACGGCGGTATTCTGGCCGAGCAACTCGCCGCACAAGAGACTCGCGTCAAGGATTTGGATACGCAACGAGCGGTACTTGAGCAAACAATGGCCACTCGGTTGGAAGCTTTACAGGACGACAAGGCTACGCTTGAAGTTGAGTTATCAACAGCCCAGAACGAGAAACAGTCCGCTGTCGATGAACTCTTAGCCCTCAGGAAAGAGCTATGCGCAGAGATTGACAGGCTCATGGACCAGTTAGTAGCGAAGGAGCAAGATAGCGCAGTGGCTGAGAAGTACGAAACGCTTCTCGCGGAGTCCAAGTCAGCGGCTCAAGCTCACGCGTCCGATATTGATACGCTCCGGCAGTCACTTGAAGAAGAGCATAGGCGCGCTCTTACGGACCTCCAGTCTCGATACGGCGCGCTTCAACAAATGTTACAAGACGCTGAAGACCGCATCGAACGATTGACAGAGTATCTCTCCACAAGCAATCAAACAAACAACGAAACTCACCAGCAGGAACTCGACGCCTTGCACAAGAAATGCACTGACCTGGCGGAGCGCGAACTCGCGGCTGAGAAAGCGCAAGAAGAAGCCATCTCCCGCCTCATGGCAGACATGCAAGCCAGCCAGTCCGAAGCCGTGCACCACATGCAGAAAAAATACGAGGCCCTCGTCGCAGAACTCCAATCCGCACGGGAGGAACAAGCCGCCGGGATCGCCGACAGCAGAGACGCACAACAGCTCCTGCAGCAGCGCTACGAGACCGCCGTCGTCGAACACGCCCAAGATGTAGAGCGCCTGATGCAGACAATCCAAGACGTACAAAGCGCACGCGACGCAGCCGTCGACGCCGCCCAGGACGCAGAAGACCGTATCGAAACGCTAAAAGGCGAGGTCGTGCGGAAACACCTCGCCCGCATTGAACCCCTGGAAAAGAGCAATGCCGCCCTCGAAGACAAAGTCGAACGTCTACAAGCCATCCTCGCCGCAGGCGACCGCGTCGCGCGCGCAGCCGCCACACTCGACCCGAAGCGCAGCATGGACGCGCTGACGGAAGAAGACGGCGAGGACGAGGGTGGCGTGGGCCTGGGTCTGAACGGGAGTGTGCACGGCGGCGACGGGGATGTGCGTGAAAACGGGATTGGGATTGGGAGCGGGGATGTCGCTGGAACTGTAAGTCGCCTTACCTTTTACATCGTTCTTTATCATGACAAGTATGCTAATACATGACAGTTGGCCGCTATGCAGCAAACCCTCATCCAGCTGCACGAACTCAACAACGACGCTATCGCGGAGAGTCAGCGCACGGCACAGCGTCTCGTGCAGCAGGAGTAGCTTCACCTGCTTTCGAGCGCGGTGGACGTGTGGTGATATTCATGCTGTTGGGGGAAGTAATGTGGAGCACGGGGAAGGTGTCAAGTCGGCGTTATCTGGGCAGTTTTCTTGGGTCGAGGTTTTTGTGAAAGTGCAGGTTGCGATTCGCTGTATACCCTCTGCACTGTATTGTTTTTTGTTAATTCTAGTACATCTGTAATGCGTTGGCATGGCTATATATTCATTGAATTCTTATGGTTCTTTGTGTGTTTGCGATCTAGAAGAGTGGGGTCACGGCTGTAGTATTGGGGTTTTGCGTGGAGTGGGCTGAGATGAGAATTGAACTACACATGTAGGTAACCGAGTTTGAGAAGAGGTTTGGAATGAGCTGGATCGGCATTGAAGAAAACTAGTAACTGTTATCTCGCCCATAAAACACGTCTTTCATCTTTTCATACCAGTGAAGCATAGAGATAGTAATTGAACACGGTATATTATTCACTATCTACACCACCCACTCTACTGCGGCGGGCGAATCGCCTTCCCATCCTCCTGCCAATCATACGTCATGCCAGACTGGCCCTTAGTCAACGCCACATCCCCGGGGCCATCAACCTGCTTCGGCTTCGCATCCGGGTCAAACAGCGTCCCGCTAAGGAAAGTATGAGGAAACCCATGATCGAATTTATACGCGCTCTCCACCTTCTCGATCTCCTCCTCTGTCAGCGACACAGACAGCGCGCCAATACTGCCCTTGAGGTGCGACACCTTGCGCTGTCCGACGAGCGGGAACACATACGGGACCTTCTGCTGCACATACGCGAAGGCGACTTGCAGCAGCTCGCAGCCCTTGGCCTTGGCGATGTCCTCGAGGATCTTGGATACGTGTCTGTCGTGGTCGCCGAGCGGGATGTGCTTGCGGCCTGAGTGGCCCTTCTCGCGCTCCTTGAAGGCCTCTTCGGTCTGGAAGCGGCCCTGGCCGAGGACGCCGTACGGGCAGAGAGCCATGCCTTGCTGACGCGCCATGGGGATGATGTCGCGCTCGAAGTCGCGCATCCCGGCGTTCCACATGCCTTGGTACACGGAGAAGGGGCGCAGGCCGTTGTTCCGCGCGTACTCGTTCGCCATCGATACGACCCAGGCGGGGGTGTCGGAGATGCCGAGATACAGGACCTTGCCCGCGACGACGAGGTCGTTCAGGCTGTGCATGAGCTCTGGGATAGTCGTTGTCGAGTCCCACCAGTGCACGTAGAAGAGGTCGATGTAGGTAGTTTGGAGGTTCTTGAGCGAGTTCTCAAGCGAGAGCTTCATGCTCTTGGACCCGTTGCCGATGTAGTTTGACTGGAGGTGTTCTGGCTTATGGCTCATATATCCGCTGGTGTACTTTGTCGCCAGGACAATGTCGTCGCGGTTCTTGCGGCTCGACATCCATTCTCCCAGCCATTGCTCGGATTCTCCGTCGCGGTACATGTTTGCTGTGTCGATGAAGTTTCCGCCCTCGCTGTAGAAGTGGTCTAGGATGGCAAATGCTTCGTCTTTGCTGCACTCGCCGTATCGGTCTGCGTGCGATTCGCCAAAGGTCATGGACCCGAGGCAGATGGGAGAGACTCGTACTGAGGCATTGGGCGCCAGTTGACGATGGCGAAAGAGAAGAGAGTCCTTGTTGAATGATGGAGACATGTTGGCTGATTTTGCAGGGTATTGGGTATACTGGAAGCTGATGACAGGAAGTGACAGTGTAGCAGCTTCGCGTCGTCGCATATATACGTCTCTTTGCCTAGCTGTGCCACTGATGTCACGTACCGGTATGCCGGCGTGGCCGGGAGCTAAGCATCCTCAAGTTGATCAAATGAAACCTTTCGTTTCGTGTAGCAACTTCTCTGATAGGTCTGCAATGGATACTCAACCGTGGGTCAGGACCATATGTTTATGCTGCTACTGCGGGGTGTTTGTCGGACATTGGCCGGAGACCCGGGGTTAACAGACTAGCGTGTCAGCAGGTTGCAGGCGGGCGTGAACCTTGTCGGCTAAACCAAGGGTAAGAAGAAAAACAACTCCTTCTGCGCGCGATTGCCAACAATAGATCGCTAGGACGTTGGTGGCATTTTGGCATAGATACGTCACTAGACGGAAGTCTCGGATCGCTAACAATCGCTTTTGACACTATCCTATAGTGGTAGATAGTTTCTACGCAAGTTGCCAAGACATGATGAGATGAATCTCAACATTCCTAACATGAGCCGTTTTCGAATTACACTCCCATGATATAGTTTGCGTAGTAGCCTATCTTTCCATCGAGTCCGCATTTGTGACGTCTCGAATACGTGCTACAGCAAATACTTTTGCGTGAGCAGAGCACGCAAAACATCTCATGTAGTTACTGTCAATTTATTAGTCGTCTATTCAGCTTAGATCATAGTGCTGTATTCGGAGTTCAGCAATTGATAATCTTATTTCTGAGCGACAACACCAGCGTAGCGGTCATACAGGTAGAACTACAACTTGAATTGACTGTATCTATTACCCACTCCCGCTTGAAGTAATCCTCTCGATCGTTTGGTTTAGCTAATATACCAAGAAGATTCAGGAATTAGGAAATCCCACTACCACGCTTATACATCAGCTACGTTAGGCGAGGACACATCTGAGATCCCACTATAGTAAACATGCGTCGAATCGAAATACATATTAAACGTGTCGAACCAGGGACACGTGTCTTCCACCAACTCTCCAGGCGAGAAAGCGTTTGCCTCGCGTAGCTGAGCGCGAAAAGCCTCTTCAAACATCCTCCTCTTTTCAGTACCTTCCTGGTCCCAGCCATCATGGAGCTTTCGCCATATGGCTCGCGCGTCTTCATAACTTGCAGAAACGCGGTTTTGTCTTTTCTCGATAGCAGTTTTGAACTCAGCCGGAGTGTGTTCGCAGAAGCGCGACTTGGTTTCATCTTCTTGGCCAGAACCGTATCCATTATGGTGTGTATCCTTGAGGTGTTGCCTCCATGTATCTTTCTCCGTGAATGTGCTATCGCAGTCGGACTTGGGGCATGTGATTGTAGAGCCTACTGCGTATCGTGCATATGACTCTACTCTTAGCCATCTCAAACCTCTCGATTCTAACACCGACTGTTCCTGGTTCGAAAGAAATGTCAGAAACGTGCCAAGGGGATAAGTTGAAAACCGTTTTGGTGGAAGTAATATACGACTCGGGGTCCAATCCTCCTCCACAATTTGCCATGAAGGCCTGAGATCAGCAGCTACCCGCCACAATCTGTGGGGCTTTTGAGGAAGCCTGATTCCTGACCGATTATCTTCCACAGCGAGAAAGACAATGATATTGGGCGGAGCTTGTTGAACAACAAGCGTTAACGCAGAGTAGGCAACATCATACTCGTCGTCAGGGGGCAGAGCACCCATTCGCGACAACAGCCCAGTCAACACCACCTTTTTAATTGAAGGAAAGGTTTGTTGAACTCTGCTCCAGAAACTCTGAGCCTTCTCAACTGTGTTCATTTGCTGCCGTGCGTGTGGGGTTTCGTTGTCTGCTTGGAATACCAATTCCAGTCTGCCTAGCTCGAATTCAATTTGTGCAATCCGACTTGCGAACTCGGGACAAAACTGAAGAATTGGGTGCAGATATTGGTAGGTAAATTTATAAGCATCCTGACAGTAGTACCAGATGTCTTGATGAGCCCAGAATAGCTTCGATGCTTCACTTCGGCTATGTGCACACGTGTGCATGAGCTGGAAAAGTGTTGAGGCGTCGCAACATTCGTAAATACGAAACTGAATCTCGACTGGCAAATCGAGAAAAGAAGGGAAGGATGCTGATGTTGTAGAGGGTTCCCATAATTTCGGATTTCCAAAGTACTTGAAAGGAACCAATATTTTCTCAGGCCATGTCATACAAAGATTGACATCCCACATCCTGACAGCGCGAAGAGAGAGTAGGAAGAGAAAGGATGTTCTGTTGGGTGCCTGGAGTAGATATGATACTTGGCTGCGCCACACCCCACTAAGACCCTACTAAGAATAGTTTTACCCCGCTCGTATACTGTACAAGCTTGCCCAATTGCAGCACTACTAGCAGGGATGGCAGTCTGCCATACACGGTATCGCGTACTTCGTAGAATTCCATCTGCCAACGTCGATCACTGCAGTCCAGCAGGTGACAACTGTACGAAGGAGCTGATTGTAATCTATGAGACAGCTGAATCAGGGGGCAAGCTCTGACCCACCCCGGAGTTGTAGCAAGCAGATGGAAGAGGCGTTTCGTCTCCAAGCATAAGATCCCATAGTCCTGAAAGTGCTGAGTATCGGAACGGTGGTCGCAATGCTGCAAGGTACCTTCATCCTGCTTTCAGTTGTGGGAGCGCCTGGCGCAGGTTGCGTTCCTCCATCCTTCGCGGATGATATAGCGTCACGTTGTCATACACGTCTCTCCTTCAGGGAGAATGGCCTCACATTAGGACTTCAACCTACTCTACAACGGTGTTGCCCACAGCGTTGTGTATGATCAACAACTCTCTCCCACAATCCACGAGGCAAGAGCATCTCGGCAGCTCTTCACGCGAGCGGCAAGGCGCTCAAAGCGGAAGGAGCAAACGGGATCCGGATGTTTCGGTCTAATTTTACACATGAGTTATGGGGTATGTTGTTTACCGCCTGCTGCTTGGCACTCCTCCCCTTGCAATTCCAGGCCTATGTTACTTCGAACTGATACCTCAATGCCTGAGGGTTACTGCTATCGCTTGGCACTGGATACGGGTCGGAAGTGACGCTCGATCAGGCAAAAGCTAAGAAAGGCAGGAGACGCTTGACAAGATGTTACCTCTTGAAGGAGCGCGAGTGTCCAGTTTTGCCTCACGTAAGTTTAACCTTGCAAGACATCATGAATTGAGCTGGGGTGTATAAGTACAGCATTCGAACCCAACGCTGGTCTCCACCCGTATCCTCAAGTACACCTCGCCATGCAGTTCTTCACCCGCATTTTTACTCTTGCGGTGGCTGCGGCGCCACTTCTGTCTCAAGCAGCACCTCTCACTCCTCGCCAGAGTGGAGGGAAGTACATTGTTCAGTTGAAGCCTAGCATCGACATTGCTTCAATCGCTGTCCATCACAACAACGTTCGCGAGATCCATGCCCGCAACCTTGCCGGCCGTCAAGATGGTGGAGCCCCCGAGGGTATTGATCGTAAATTCGACTTCGGCGAGTTCAAGGGCTACTCCGGATCGTTCGACGCAGCGACGGTTGAGGAATTGAAGAGTCTGCCAGAGGTGAGCAGTCCCAACACGCGGCTTGGATATGGTCATTGACAAGCTCACAGGTTCTTCTCGTTGAAGAGGACTACATCATGACAACCAGTACTCTCATCACCCGTAAGTAGTCGTAAGCGTGTAACGACCCTGCCACTTACATCATACCAGAGTCCAACTCTACCTGGGGCCTTGGTAGCATCTCATCCCGAACTGAAGGTGCAACCAGCTACATCTACGATTCCACAGCGGGCCAGGGCACGTACTCCTACGTTATCGACTCCGGAATTCGCATCACTCACAGCGACTTCGGCGATCGAGCGACCTGGGGTTTCAACGCTGTCAACGACCTCGACACAGACAACCTAGGCCATGGAACCCACGTCGCCGGCACAATTGGCGGAACCACCTACGGCGTCGCCAAGCGCACCAACCTCATCGCCGTCAAAGTCCTAGAAGGAAACGAAGGCTCCACTTCAGACGTCATTTCCGGCCTCGAATGGACCATCAACGACATCGTGACCAAGAACCGTCAAGATTCCGCCGTCATCAACATATCGCTCGGTGGCCCTGGAGCCGAAGTCTGGGACGCAGCCATCACATCTGCCTGGAACGCGGGCGTTCTGATTGTCGTCGCCGCTGGGAACGACGGCCAACTGGCTTCCACCAAGTCGCCTGGCCGCTCCCCAGAGGCGCTCACCGTGGGGAACATACAGCAGAATGGCGCCCGCAATCCGTTCAGTAACTTTGGGGATGCTGTTGATATCTGGGCGGCTGGGACGGATGTGGTGTCTGCTTACTACTCCTCGGACAGCGCTACTGCGACCTTAACGGGGACTTCTATGGCTTCGCCGCATGTTGCTGGGTTGGTGTCGTATGTTCGTGGTCTTGAGGGGTTGTCGAGCGCGTCGGCGGTTAAGGCGAGATTGGTGGAATTGGCTACTCTGAATCGTGTGACGGATACTCAGGGCGCGGCGAATCTGTTGGCGTACAATGGGAATGGTCGCTAGAGTTTGGTTACCCCAGTTCGGTATGGGGGAGACGTACCTCAAGGAGGTGGATTCTAGATACACTGAGAATGATCGTGTGCAAGCTTTTCGTCAGGGTTTTTCCAACCATGAGATTTCACCGCAAGACTTCATTCCCGACTTGTCGATGAGTGAGTAAAGACAGGCAACACAACGTGACAAAGCAACGAAGCTATCTCAACAAAATACGATATGGAATGGGGATGTTGACTAACTATCGACCCCAACGCACCGTCTCTCACACCAAAAACAACACACAATCACCGTCCAACAACCATCTATTCAATCGGATCGCGCCCTCCGCGCTTCTTCATCTCTTCAAGGTATTCCTCCTCAGTCTCCAGATCAAACTCCATAGGGCGCGTCAGAGGCAGCATAGAAACGCCCTTTTCTTCCATGAGCTTGAGGCGCTTAGCGGTCATCGGCTTGGTTCTATTGACGCTGTAACTATAGCATATAGTCAGTATGTGGTTGCGAGGTTAGCGGGGGTTGGGATGGCCTTACAGTTTTACGCGACTAGAGGAATAGTTAGCGGTGGTTTCATTAACTGGTGTTTGGGATGGGGGGTTTACTTACTGGCATGAGGATGTTACGTGAAGATCCCAGTTCCTATTTACGGTCAGAGAGTTTCAGTAAGATGAGGGAAGGGGGATGCTATGTACCATGCGCTGCGCACAAATGTGGGTTGCGTCTGCCGATAGAGTCAGTATAATCCCAGCTTGAACTTCGTCAAAGAGCACTCACGTTCAACGCATCATCCCAGCACCGCACGCAGAATTCACTATATCCTGTGAGCAATTTACCCACACATGTTTGTGTGTATGGGGACTTACAGCCAGCCCTCCGCATCGACCGGAATCTCATACTCCCACGTGCGCCAAGCGTGGAGATACTTTGTGCTGAGCTGGTCGTACGGCACTTGATACCAGACACCTCCACCATCGGCGCTGACCTCGACACGCTCAGGCCAACCGCTCCCACTATAAGCCCAGCCAGTCAACTTGATCTTGCCGTCATGCATGATGACGTCCTTGTCAACGGGCGTCATGATGGCGCTGGCAACGGGCATAGTCTGGATACTAAACCCGTTGCTGTACGTGGCGTTGTGCTTCCCGACCTGGGGCGTGTAGTAGATGTACTCCTTCATCTGGACGGGGGCGAGACTGGGGTCCGAAATGACGTTGATGCGGGTCAGCCATTTGCAGCTTCGTGCGCCGATGTAGCCCATGACTACGACACGCAGCGGGCCACCGTGGATCGGGGGTAGTGTTTCGCCATTCACCTCCCAGGCCAGCATGACTTCGTTGACTTTCATTTTGCGCGAGGGTACCGACACGCCGTAGTTGTAGACTTGGCCCTTCTTGAAGTAGGTGTCGGCTCCGAAGAACTCCAGATGCTTTCCGTTGTCTTTCAGTCCGCCGCAGTACTTGATGACTTTCTTCAAGCTCACTCCAGTCCAGCGGGATGTGCCGATTGCTCCCTCGCCCCAGGGTGCGTTGATGAGCTCGTCTCCGTCGCCGGGGTAGTCGTGGATTTGCTCAAGGCGACGCGTGCCGGAGCATTGCAGAGTCACAGTCGTCGACATGCGCGGGAAGATGCTCTCATCCTGAAGCTCCGCGAGGGTGATCTTCTTGGGGTTGTTGACCAGGCCTTCAACCTCGAAGTAATACGAAGCAGGGTCTATCTCAGGAATACCGCCATGGTTGCGAACGAAGAGATCCTTGTTGTCGGTTATCTCGGTCTAACAAAAGGTCAGCTCGCAGTCTTGTGCTGGTCAGTGCGTACAAACCTCTACTAAGCGTTTCTGTACATTTGTTAGTATTGGACCAAGCGAGCTTGAAAAGCTTACTCACCCTTGGCGGTTCGCCGTTGTACGGAAATTGTAGTACGTGTAGCATATCCTCGCTTTTCTCCTTCAAGACGTGCTCCCATGAGATATCCGGCATATCCTTTAAGGTGTCCCCCAAGGCATAGTGGTAATGCCTGATCCAGTCAGTCGGCATTCAAGAGTTGTAGAGCCGTGAGATTTACTTCCAGCGCACTCCCTCAAGAAGGGGATTAGTCTTCGGCAATGGCTCGAGCTGGAACTCGGGCGGCTGGCAATCTTACGTTAGAGGAGGTGCATATATAGTCCACAGTAATACTGACAACAGGGAAGTCATATTTGGCCAAAATATCAGCAGCCTGCTTCTTCTTCTCCGGGTACTTCTCCCACTCAATATAGCCTCTCCATCCCTCTCGCTCTTCCGGGAATACAGGCGCATCGCCTATCAGCTGAAACGGCTTCGCATTTGGTTCCGCGGGCGCCATATTGAAAAAGAGTTTGTTGCAGAACAGAAGACGATTTCGAAGCCGACCAGCGCCTGAATATGAAGCATACTACGATACGACCCTGGTGTGGTATGCCGGACCAACACCGAGGCACATGGTCATGATTCCAAGATTATCAACCACTCTTTCAAGGATCGTGCAGGAACTTGATGCCTGCGGTGCAGATGCGAGTGGATTAATGGACGATTAGATTAGAAATTGACGAATGGTATCGTTGGTTTTTGGTTAGGCGTGGCCCAAACAGACATAGAGCTGCACATTAATGCGTCACGATGATGGCGTCGATATCCGACCTCACTGTACAGGGGATATGCTGCTAACACTGCGCAGTTGGACAGGGACAACTGCCGAACAGACTCTCCTTGCCTGTGGAAACGCGCGAGTGGTAAGCAAGAGTGTCTGATTCGAACAGAGGGCAAGGTCGAACTCGCAAGGCGTGGCATTATCGGTTGTGTATGTCGAGCTACCGCCATCCATTGTCCATGGTCGATGTGCGCTCAAATCCAAGCATCACCACAGATCGACTTCTCAAATCCGATAAAGAAAGAAAAACAAGCGAGAATAACGGTCGTGGAAACCTCCGTCGAAAACCAGGCCTTGAAGCCACGCTAGCAAGGGCAACACGAGCCCGCTAGTCCAGGAAGAGCTTGACAACTCCTCCATTCCCCACAACAGCAAAGCCTAGGCGATGGAAACATGTTCCGAAAAGCTTACTCTGCCCCTTTGGGTTTCTGTGGGAACCCAGCGAATTGAGACGCTGCGCTAGGTACGGGGTGTCGCGACGATTTTCCCAATCACGTGCGCAAAGTCAGCACTACGAAGACCAGAACTTTGAAACAGCGCGACATCAGAGCAAACACATTATGTATAGTTGTCAGTTGACTCTAGAGATTAAAATATCAACCTGTATTTCATTTGTAAAGCTCAAATCCTGCGATTTACACTCAAAGTGGAGATGCTGTTGCACGTGATTGGGAAAATCGTCGCGACACCCCGTGGTATGTCCCGATCTTGCGACACCCAGGTCCTTGTGAGCCGGATGGAGTTGGATACCGTATTCTTACCCCAGGCGCTGCTGCGGTATTTAGCACAAACCCGCTTCGCTTCGTAAGCACTCGCGCGAAACTCGGTAGTAACGCAACACCGTACTTGCTCCGAAGATGTGCAATAATCCTCGCAACGTCTTGCATACCGTATCTCTTTCCAAAGCTATCCCAGTCGGTGCAGCAGAGCAAAGACTTGATGTTTATAAAGATTAATTGTGTCGATCAACACTTTCAACGTTTATTCCCACACCATGCGAGATGAGAAAAGATCAATTTCAAAACGACATATCACGTCTAAGACTTTTCCTATCCCATGCCTTCCCTTCACGCAAGATGAGCTTCCCCCTTCCCTGTCCCTATCCCCGTCCCGTCATCACCAGATCCATTTCCCTTCGCTATCGTAAATGAGTGCTAAACTACTATGTAGGAGATATTTAAGCAGCAGTGTCCGTGATGAGCTTTGTGATTTTACCAATGGCGATGGTTTGGCCTTGGTCCCTGATTATATTGTTAGCAACAACACCTCTCGAGCAAGCTTCGAGGGCAGTGGACATGACATACCTCAGTGTAAACCGACCCAACTGTGGGTAATCCTCAAATCGCTCCACGCAAATAGACCCAGCCGTACCCGTAACCTCCAATCTAGCGATAATACTCATACCCTTTGTCGCAAACCCCGGCGCCTTCTTACTCTTACGGCCCGTGCCCTTCTCCAGCTTATGCAGCAGCGCCGAGATAGTGACTTCCTCCTGCGCGGCGTGCACGTGCAGCACGCAGTTAAACCCGGCTGTCAGGATGGACTTGAGATCCAGCAGCACGACCTGAGCCTCGAACTGGGAGACGCAGTGCACAGGTCGTTTGGGCGAGCAGAGCACGTAGCCGGGGAGGATGTCTTCTTCTTCCACGCCGCGGAGGCGGATGCGGACTTGGTCTCCGCACATGGCGCCGGGGATTTCTTCTTCTTGCTCGCCGTAGAGAGCGGAGATGTGGATGAGTTGGCGGTTGGGCATCATGAGGTATTTGTTTTCTTTCTTGATGATACCTGGACGGATTAGTAGGGGTAAAGGGTGTTCGGGAAATGTACTTACCGGACTCGATCTTGCCTTCGACCATGGTTCCTAGGTCCTTGTACTTGGCAGCGATGGGCATCATGAATGGCGCATTGAGCTTGCGGTCGAGAGCCTGCATGTCGTCGAGGTATTCGAGAAGAGATGGGCCGCCGTACCATGGTGCAAGGGTTTTGGGCACTCGTTCTTTGATACCTGTGAAGGTTTGTGCGCTGACGGGCATCATGGCAATGTCTGTCTTGGGGTTGTACCCTACGCCCTTCAAGAACATGACCAGCTTGGAAGTGCACTCTTTGTATCGCTCCTCGGACCATTCGACAGTAGGGTCGTCCATTTTGTTGACGACGATGATCAGCTTGTTGACACCTTGGGTCTTGGCTAACATGGCGTGCTCTCGGGTCTGGCCTCCCTTCTCGAAACCAGTCTCGTACTCTCCCTTTCGGGCAGAGATGACGAGGATTCCGACATCAGCCTGTGACGCGCCGCCAATCATGTTGGGAACGTATGTCTTGTGACCTGGAAGCGATGAGACATGAAATAAGCCTTGGGTTGGGATACTAACCAGGAGCATCCAGAATGGAGTAACGTCGCTTCTCCGTCTCGAAGAAGCCTCGCCCAACTTCGATTGTCTTACCCTGCGCACGCTCTTCCTTGTTCAGATCGAGAGCCCATGAAATGTACCATGTCTCTCGGCCGGCATCCTTTGCTTCCCTCTTATACTTGTCCAGTGTCCGCTCATCAACCATGCCAGTGGAGATGAGGATGCTACCACCGAGTGTCGACTTCCCTGCGTCGACGTGACCCAGGAAAATGATGTTCACGTGCTCCTTGCCGTATATCTCGGCAAGCGTAGCCTCGTCGACAACTTCAGCCAATTCCTGCTCGACGTCGGCTGCCTTGGCGACAGTCTTTTCTTGCCGCGATGGGCTGTCGCGTCCCGATGGTGTTGGTGAGGTGCGACCAGATGATGGGGGCGTTGACTTTGTAGGCTCTCCTGTCTTCTCGATGGCCTTGGCGGCTGTGACCTTGGCTCCAGCCTCGGGCGCCGCCTTGTCGACGTTCTCCTTTGCAGACGCAGCAGCGGGTGCAGTTGATCCGATGGAGAGTACCTTGGTCTGGCCAGCCTTCTCCACCTTGGGCGCGGCGATGTCAGCGCCAATAGACAGAACTTTTACTTTGGGCGCAGTGTCGCCACCGATAGACAGGACCTTTGCCTTTGGTGCCGCCTCTTTCGCAGGTGCCGGGCTCTCTGAGCCTGTCTGGTCCGCCTCCCCTCGCTTTGCGATTTTGACTGGTGCCTGGCGCTGCTGCTGTTGCGGGGGCTGGTAGCCTTGTTGCTGCTGTTGCTGCTGCTGTTGTCCGTATTGGTTGTAGTTGGGATAGCCGCCTTGGCCCTGCTGTTGGCCCTGTTGCTGCTGCTGGCCATACTGAGGGTAGCCACCTTGCTGGTAGCCGTACTGCCCGTAGCCCTGGTTGTATTGCCCGTACTGCTGGTACTGGCCGTATGCCTGCTGGCCGTATCCGCCGTACGCCTGCTGTCCGGGGACGAAGGCCTGTGCGCCGGGGACAAAGGCCTGCGCGCCGGGCACAAACGACTGGGCGCTGTTCATGTTGAGGTTCTGGGCCTGCTGCGCGAGCCTCTCCTCCTCGTCTTCCCAGCTGTCGGCCATGGTGTGGGCGGGCTGCGGCTGTGCGCTTTTTCGATGTGCTTCGGGGGGGCGGGCGCCGGAAATATGTGTGCTCGTGCAGCGTTCGATGGTGTGTAGAGAGCGACTCGGGGCTGTGTTATAGTTATGCGGAAGGCGAGAAATGTGCCGCCTCTCGCTCGCACTTTGGTTTTTGGTGGGGTTGCCCGCGACCCAAAGGTGGGGCTCGACTCACTCTGCCTCACATTGGCTGCCTTTCCAAACACAGGCATAGCAACACAAGGACAAGGACACCGACCACCTGAAACACCAATCACTTTCTGTACTACCTACCTCCTTGCACTTCTTTCCGCTTCCGTCCATCTAGCAAACAACTCTTCTGACTCAATGCTCTTCTCCCCAGCCCTTTCGCCTCCATCCAACTCAACAGGCACCAACTTGATATAGCACACTAGTCAAGATGGAGGTCCTGCTAGCAAAGGTATGATTACGAGATCTAACTCTACAGTCATCTCCATCAACTCTGCAGCACATCCATCATATACGGTACAGATGACTCACTATGACAGGTCACCCAGCAGGCCATGAGCTATGCTATTCGCAGTGGCATAGCAATCACGAGCACATATGCGCTTAAACAATGTGGTCGACTCATGAAGGTACGTGAATGATGCTTTTGTATGACCATCCACTAACAATCTCAGACAGTCGAGGGTCGTGAGAAAGAGGAGCTTGCTACACTACAGTTCAGGCTGGATTCCAAGATCAAGGTACGCGTCATAATTCATATACCAGCAGCCTTCGCTGACCAGGCAGATCATCTCTCCGGCAATAGACATGATCGAACTCATTGCTGCCCGTGGAAACACGTCTCTTGAGTCAGCTGTCACGCTCACCAAATCCCTTCGATGGGACATTCAAGAGCTAGGCAATCGCGTAGAGAAGGCCGTAGCAGAAGAGCAGCTTTCTCGTAGGGGCAGCTCGAAGGCTAAGTCACGAGCTCAAAACGACCTCGAGCTGAAGATCATCATCTCTGATATGAAGAAACTCCTGGACCGCATCGAAGATGCAGTTCCGTTGATCAATCTGGCGATCACAACTTCCGGAGTCAGCCTTTCCCACACGCTCCCAGCCACAGTGTCACCATCTCGACTTCTGCAGGCGAGTACCTTTTTGACCTCCGGAGATGGCCAGTACTGCATGACAAAACCAAGGGCGCAGCAGATTGGACCGACCTTTTTCCTTTCCATGTATATGTTGTTTGCGGGTTATGCAAATAGACCACACGAAGAGGGCATTCGCGAAACCACATGGAAAGAGGTGATGCACAAGGCTCGTGTAACACTTCTCAGAGTTCCACTTGACAACGTCTACGACTATCCAATACCTTTTGGGTCGAACGTCCGACGGGCTGATGAGGCTAATCACAATCACATACCGTCCGACAGCAAATTGCAAGAATACGCCTATCAGTTACTCATTGTTGAGGATCTCGATGACGGCCGTATGCACAACTACGAGGATGATGAGCCATGCCCAGAACCATATGATGGGATTGCGCAAGCGGGTCTTCGCGAGATCGTACCCATCCACGAGATTTCTAAAATCTTCTACGCGGATACTGGCAAGATCCTCAATATCGGTACCGAGGGAGAGTCCAGCAACCCTATTTTGCTACTCAAGCGCGACATCAACGCGACACCTCCACGCCGCACCATGGAGCGAGCGGCCACTGAGACCGGTTATGAGTCGGACGATTCGCACACAGTCGGCGCTGATCGAACGGACGATGAGCAGTCAGAGCTGGATGATCAGTTGCGCCGAGAATCAACACCGGATTTGCACGAAGAGCTTCACCAAGAACCTGCGATGCCCAAATTTCCCTGGCGTCTTCCGCCAACGCTTGACCTCGAATGGATGGCATTCGAAGTATACACAGAAGAGCCGTCAACCGACTCCGAACTCGACGAAACTGAGGACTCCGAGTTGGACCTTCCGTCACCCTCGCCAGCATACACGGAGTCTCAACGTTCGCGCTCAGAGTCCCCAAGCCTTCTCGAAGACCTCTCGAATCTAAACATCGATTCATCAACGCCCTCCGACTCACCCCAACCCACCCACCAAACCCAGCTCATCCCCTCCCCCCAAAAGAAACCCGCACCAATAACCCGAAACACACCCCAGCCACCACCCCCCGCCCTCCCCGCCATAAAAACCTCCCTCTCCCTCCTCGAAATGCTCATCCGCCTCACCGCCCTCCAGCAATTCCAGCAATCATCCCACCTCGCCATCCCCGACGAATTCCTCACCTTCTTCCTCTCGGAAAGCAGCACCTCGGGCGCAGGCGGCGACGCCGACCTGCGCCGTCGCTACCGTCGCGAAGCCCGCATGAGAGTCGGCTTCGACCCGTATGACGAGAGTCCCATCAAGCGCCGCGGCGAAGAGTACCTCGCTCATGAATTCCACGACCATGACGACGCGGACGATCCGCCGCCATTCGACTACGACGCCTATCCCACACGCGGCTCCTACCCCAGCTCCCGCTCCCCGTCTATCAATAGCTCCGCGCCCGCGTCTAGCAGCCGGCCTAACTCAACGGCTAGTCTGCTCAAGGGCGCGAGGTCGGAGGTGTCTCATGCGTCGTCGCCTAGTCCGCTGCTGAGGCGCGCGACGACGCAGCCGGGGGGGAATAGGGCGCTTAGGCAGCCGAGTTTTAGGATTGGGCATGTTGTGTTGCCGAGGCCCGGGCGCAGACCGGAGACGCCGCCGGGTGCTGGGACGTAGGTGGATGGGTAGGTAGATTTCTTGTGGTGGGGAGGAGTTTTCGAATGGAGGGGGTTTGAGCATGAAGATACGGAGTTTGAGATACCACTACATCATAGCATAGCATAGCATATCACAGCATACAATCAAATAGCATAGCGAACATCATAACCTCATAAGATCCCATCCCCCACCAAAAACTCCCCCAAACCAAAGTAAAGAAAAAGAAAACAAGCTACTCCCAATCCTCCTCCTCACTCTCCTCACCACCCCCCCTCTTCTCCCTATCCGCACCCCCCTGCAGCGGACTCCCCGTCGCGCGACTCGTCGCCCCGCTCACCAGGTCATAACTCGCATCGCTATCCGCGACGCTTTTTTCGTCGTTTGAGCGGCGGGGTAAGGGTGTGGGTTTGAGTGTTTCTTTGGAGGCGGCGGGGTGGATTGCTTGGTTCGACTTGGATTGGGAGGGGGGTGGTGCTGTGGAAGTAGTGGGGGGTGTGGATTCGTCGTCTGAGTCTTCTTCCGAATCATCGTCTTCTTCGGAGGAGGCTTCTGAGGAGTCGGAGTCGGAGGTTTCTGTTTTCTTGGGGGGTTGTGTTTGTTTGGGGGGGGAGGTGGGGGGTTGTGCTTCTTTTGCTTGGGGGGGTTGCGAGGGTTCGGGGGCGGGTTGTTTCTTGGGGGCTGCTGCTTCTGCGTCGGATTCATCGTCGTCGTTGTCGTCGGATTCTTCTTCGTCTGTGTCTTCGCCCCAGGCTACTTCTTCTTCGTCGGCGGGGGTGGATGCTGAGACGGGTTAGCTTGGGAGCAGGAATGACAACGACGATGGAGATTGTATGTAACGTACCTTTCAACAGGTCCTTCCTTCGCTGCTCCTCGCTCTCAATCACATGGCGTAGGAAGTAGTACCTGCACCAAAACGCCGCGTAGTCGACTCGCTCAGGCACGACCTTCTCCATGGCACTCCTCAGCTCATCATGCTTCTCCAGATCCTTGGCGATGGCGTCTGTTTTCTTCTCCACGTCGAACTCGGTCTTCCACTCCTCCCACTGAGGGCTAGTGGGGTCTTTCAAGAAAGAGTCCAGCGAGGAGTGGATAACGTGGAGTTGTGCATCGAAACGCGTGGCATGCACGACCTTCTTGCCACTGCTGTCCTTTGATTCGAAGAGCACGGCGGCGTTTGTGTCGGCTTCAGAGCCAGATGCGGGGGGTGCAATGGACACGGCCTCGCTCAGAAAGTTGCGGATATTGGTTCCAAACTTCAGCAACGCCTCATCTGCTGCATCCTCTGCCTTTTCCATGTCCTTGAACCGCTTTGTAGCTTCAGATCGGAAGCGCGAGAGCATGCTTTCTGCCTCCCTGACGATGTCGGCGGGCAGCGATTCCGGGCGGTCGGGGTGCGCCGTCATGTCTTCCTTTTCCTCCTGGATCGAGCCATCTTTGGCGGAAGACTCGGGCTTCAGTGTGGGGATGTCGCCGGCTTGGAGGGATATCTTGCGTGCGTGGCTGATCAGCGAGGAGACGCCAGCGGTTGCATTCTGGACCGTGGGCGCGTATTGCTTGCTCGCGTTGTCGATGTACTGCTCGCCCTATTCAGCGCCCCAGTCAGTAGCCGTTTGCTCTCAGTATGGCAGCATGCAGGATTCGTACCTGCTTCTTAACGGTGCCGAAGAACCCTCCTATGCGCGCGGCCCACGGGCTGCTGGAGATGGCCTTGTATGCATCCTGGAACTCGGCGTTGAAGTTATTTGCCTGCGGCTGGGCGCTGCCACTGGCAGATTCCTGCTTGGGACCGTCCTCGGGATAAGTTTCCTGTTGAATGTGGTCGTATGCAGAGTCCATGTTGGGTGTGTGGGAGGGGAAGGGAGACCGTTGATGCAAGTGCGGGACACCTCCGCAAAGCTTACCATAGCGCCCATGCAGCTAGTAGCTCAGATTGGGAAGGCGTTGTCATGGCTGTGCAGGGATATGAGCAAGCTCCCTTTACCATCTTCCACCTTGAAGTAGATTTCAATCCACGGCTTTGCACACTGCTTTGTGGTTCTATGTCTGTTTGAACTTGGTCTGCGCGTGTTGGCGTGACTACTCCTCTCTTGCTGTACGCATGCATCGACGGCCAGCAGCTGCACGCATCCCCAACGCTTCGACCCTCAAGGACAACTTTGATACTACATAGTTCCTGACCCGTTCACGTATTTCACCTCTTCTTCTTGCCCATCACCTTCGTAAACCCATCGTCATCAACCTCCGGCGCAACCTTTGGTTTCGCAGGAACCAGCGCAGGCGCCTCACCCATCTCCACATCCTCATCCTCATCGCTCTCCTCATCCACACTATCCCACTCCGCATCCTGGTTGCTCTCCCTCACATTGACATCCCCCGTCGCAACCTCCTTGCCCTGTCTCGCCTCCCATTTCTTCTGCAGCGCATCCACCGTCGATGTATTGCCCTCCCCAATCTCCTTTCTCAGCCCCACAATCTCCTTTGCGACCTTGACCTCCGTCTCGTCCTCTAGCCGTATGCCGAACTCGTCTTCGAGGACTTCGAGGAGTACGACTTCGACGTCTTCGGCGTCTGTTTGCGCGTCTTTGGCGAAGAGCTCCGAGACATGACCTGCGAGCCAGTCGCGCTTGTCTGCGCTATCGGGGCCGCCCCATTGGTTTTTGATGGCGACGGTGAGGATGGGCCAGTTGAAGAGCGTGTACCAAATCCCGAGGTCGAACTTGGCTTGCAGCTGTTCTGGGACGTGTTAGGAGGTATATTCTGAGATTTGGCGTGTACGTACCCGGCGTCATTGCTGTTGTGGAGGATGTAGACATTTTGGCGTCTTGATTTCGTGCGCCTGGCGAATTTGCGACACAAAAGTTTGGAGGGGGCTTATCGATAAAGTCGCCAAAGTTCATCACGTGAAGACGTGAACTGAACCATCATTCGCGTCTACTGTCTTTGGTCTGCTCATCTCTCCATCGTTGATCATTGATCCAGATGTTACTTTTGCCTTGTTTGCTGTCGACGCCAAAGCCACTGTCCTCCTAACCTGCTTTCCAAAGTCCTATCAAGACGAAGCACTGACGACATGGAATAGGTTAAGCCTTGATGGTGTGGGTTGAACTGCTTGGCTCGATCTTCAAGCCATGGAGATCAATATCGGCACGTCCAGTTGTTCTCATGTCTTATCACTCGCTACTGCGTTCTAGCGAACCATTACCACGCCAATATCTACTTCACAAATGCACGCACACCCCAAAGCATGACGCGTCCTGGCTGATGGTGTCTACACAATGTGGTGTGGTCGTTCATGCAGCAACGCCCAAGTGATCATGTGTAGAATAAGAGCGTTGGGTACGGAGTTGCAGTACATTCTGATTTGCTGGTGAGGCCAATCCATGACATCATACCCGTGTTCAACGATTTCGATCCCTGCTGGCGCCTAACGTTCATCGAGGACCCTTTCCCGCCAACATTGCGCCGAGGTCGCAGTTTCAAGAGGCTGCGAAGGTGTGTGATATCTTTAAATCTTCCTGTGGACCCTGAACCCAAACATATTCATCACCTTGAACCGGTCTCTTTTGTATTTCGCTGAAACGACGCTTCGCGTATCTCCCCACCTACTACCCTGCATATCTAGTCGCCCAAACAAAGCCCCGCATTAGAAGCTCCAAGCAGCGCGACTAGCGAGACCAGGTCGCAAGAACAATTATACAAGAACACGTTGCACGACTCACCATCTTGAGACTCGAATACCACACAGCCGAAACATGTCTGCGCCAACTTCTGCCACGACGGCCGCGCCTTCACGCACCTTTACAAATGCATCCGGCGACGACGATGCTATTCCAGGGGAGGACACTTCCGAAGTCACCAAGCTCTTCGCAGAGCGACTGCAGGCGTGGAAGCATGCGTGCGCCTACCTCGAAGACTATGTTGTTGCGACGGAGAAAGTCAACCACGCGCACGGCAAAGAATACGAGAAAGTGCTCAAGGCGAGTGCAGCGTAACACGGTAGAAGACGACACGCGCTGACCGGGAGCAGACTGTAAAGGATCCGCTCAAGGAAGGCCACCACTTCGACCAGACGCTGGGTGGCATTGCGGGCATGTTCGAGAACATCAGGTCCAACACGCAGGGCATCTCCAACCAGCACTTCGAGACGGAGAAACAGCTCAAGAGCGTCATCGTCCCCATCTTCGACCGACTCCATACCGAGATTAAGAACAAGAGTAAGGAGCTCACCAAGGGTGCGGGCAAAGGCAGCAAGGCCGTCGACAAGTCCCGCGCCCTCACCCAGAAGCACATTGAGCTCCTCGGCCAGCACACCGCAACCTTCGAGTCGGCAGGCGGAAAGATGACAGCGGCCGACGACCCCTACATCCTGCAGCGTGGTGTCATGCACCGTCTGAACAAGCAGGTGCAGGAGGAGAACAACAACCGCCAGGACCTCATCAGCGTGCAGAACTCATTCGCCCAGTTCGAAGCACACATCATCCAGACAATCCAGCACGGCATGGGCCAATTCATGCAAGTCGTCCACGCACAAGCCGAGCACACCAAAGCCGCATACGGCGACATGGTCGGCACCACGCAACGCGTCCCTCTAGACTTCGAATGGAACGGCTTCATCCAGCGCAACAACAACGTCCTCATCGACCCCGCCGCCCCCGCCCGCACCCTCTCCAGCATCACCTTCCCCAACCAAAACCACCGCGCCACCCAGCCCCTCATCGCCGGCTCCCTCAGCCGCAAGGGCAAAATCATGCGCTCCTACGACACAAACTACTACGTCGTCACGCCCTCCAAATTCCTCCACGAATTCAAAACAGACGACGACTTTGCGAAAGATCCAGTCCCGGAGAACTCCTTCTACCTGCCCGACTGCGTCGTCGGCGCCGTCAGCGGCGCGAAATTCAACGTAAAGGGCAAAGACGTGTCGAAGGGCAAGCTGGGCTCCACCTTCTCCATGAGCCACGAACTGCAGTTCAAAGCCCACACGCCCGAAGCCGCCGCCCAGTGGGGCGAAATCATCCGCCAGGCCGCCGGCCATGTGACGGCTGATCTGCCCGACTCCAGCCTGCCCACTAGCCCCGTCTCAGACGACAGGCACCCTGCGCCCCTCCAGACGCAGGGCCTGGCGCACACGGAGACGGGCTTGTCGGATCGGACGGGGACTGCGCCGTCGAGTGCTGTTGCTCCTGGGAGTGCGGTTGGTGGGAGTGCGGTGCCGGGTGAGCCGGGGAAGTACTAGTGGTCTACTTCTATGCTGAGGCACTTTGAGGAGTTTGCGGATGAATAGATGGTGGTAGTTTTAATGATCTCTCCTAATGATACCATGGGTTTTGTTTGATTGTCTGTTTTGCATGGGGTCTGGGGGTTTGGTGTGATATTCAGGGATGTGAGCGTGATGTGTGACTGAGGATACCCTTGTTTACTGGCATATTCTCATGTGACTTTCCAACAATAGCTCTGATGGAGCACATCGACCCTGATAAATATAGCCATCAAAAGTTACTACTCCAAAAGGATTAATATATTGCCGTCTGTACCATACCAACCCCAGTACCTTGTAGCCACAAGAAACTCTACGCGACTCCTTCATCAAAGCAAGGGGCGCCCTTTCCCCCCAACGGCTCTCACCACCTACCCACACGGTACAACCCCACATCCTAAACATATCATTCCATCTTTCCCAGCTAAATTCAACCTCCACCGCAAGCTTGGGAGATAAGCCTGTCAGTCGTGGATGGATGCATCAACACCTCAAGACATCTTCCCCTGTTCAAAGGAAGCCTTGGTAGTAAAGTCATGCGGCTCTCTGGCGAGGACGGCCTATCGGGAACATTCCGTAGAATGCGAACCTTCTCCAATGGCTTGCGTTCCGAGATCCGTGAGCGAGCTCCATGTGGTGTGTGTGTGTCTGTGGAGTGGAGGCATTGCTGCACGAGGCTGGCAAGAGCAGTGCACCTTCCTTCTTTCACCACATGCATGGGTGCTTGGTGACTGGCAAACGGGGAAACATGTTGGCAAGCGTTATGGCTGTGATTGCTTTGCATCTTTCACACCGGTTCAAACTGGGTTTGGCTGTGTGAAATCCTTCACTGTGAGCCTGCGCGGTTGATGAAAGACGTGTGAGGGGACGGCGGATATATTGCGTTTTGCTTCGCTCACTTTGACCACACTCCGCACTCACCTGCGCTCTGCTGAAGCAACCGATTCACAATGGCAGAGCACTCACGCACCCCGTCTGCACGGCCAGAGAACAGGCAGACGGCGCTCATGCAGACAGCCAGGGCATCGGCCTCATTCGACACTTTCGAACTCACCTGCTTGTTGTGGGGAGGGTGAGCTTCCCCAACCCTTGACATTCCAAACCTGACATAAACCAGAGAAGACAACGTGCGGCAACGCAGTGCGGCGTTCAAGCGCGTCGAGAAACTCCTCGGTACCCACGACACTACCAAGCTTCCCCGCTGCTATGCGGACACAGACCGCGAGTCACTGTATGAGCAGGGTTTGCACATGGGCAAGGTCATTCTGGAGGATATGATGAGGTATAATCATGATGTGTTTGTTTCGATCACGCCGCGGTACAACCTCATCAATGCTAGGTCAGTGTTGGGCATGTGGAGACACTGATGTGTTTGGGCTGATTGAAGGTAGTCCGTTCGGTCACCAGGGTATCTTGTTCGAGCCTGCTATCGAACATAACGGGACTGAGGAGCAGAAGGCGCAGTGGCTACCGCTTGCGAAGAGTGGGAAGATACTCGGCACGTATGCTCAGACGGAGCTTGGGCACGGGTCGTTTGTGCGTGGTGTTGAGACTACAGCGACGTTCGATGCTGAGATGGATGAGTTTGTCATTCATTCACCGACCGTCTCTTCTACCAAGTTCTGGCCTGCGGGCCTGGGCTTCTCGACGACCCATGGAGTCGTTATGGCGAAGTTGCTGGTTGACGGGAAGGATCTGGGTCCGCATCTCTTCGTCATGCAGCTGAGATGTGTCGAGGACGGCAGACCAATGCCTGGGATCAAGATGGGCGATATTGGGCTGAAGATGGGGTACGCCACGCCTTCCTTACATCTACCCTACACTGACACTTTCCCAGATACAACGAAGCCGACAATGGCTTCGCATCGTTCAACTACGTCCGCATCCCCAGGACACAGATGCTCATGGCTCACAGTCAGCTCTCCAGCTCCGGCGTATATACAAAGACGCCCCTCCGACAGAAACTGTCCTACTCGGTCATGCTCTTAGTCCGCAGCAAGATGGCAGGCGTCTTTACGGCGCAGCTTGCCCAAGCAGTCACTATTGCAACGCGCTACTCGGTGGTACGGGAACAAGGTCTTGGTCCTCAGGACGCCTTTGCCAATGAGGCTTCAATCATGCGGTACAAGTCGCAGCACTTTAGGCTTCTCTCGTTGATAGCGAAGAGCTATGCAATGCATTTTGCGTCGTTGGCGTGTGAGGATGAGTACCATATGCTGAGGGAGATGCAGGCACATGATGACCATGATGCGCTTCCGCCTGTTCATGCGCTGACCGCAGGGATGAAGGCGTATGTTACAGGCGAGGCTGCTGACGGGGGCGAGGAGGCAAGGAAGCTGTGTGGTGGCCATGGATACATGAACATCTCTGGTCTCCCCGATATCCTGGGCGCACTGGCTGGAGGCGCCACGTTCGAGGGGGAGAACTATGTGCTCTGGCAACAAGTTGGTCGGTATCTGCTTAAGCAGGTGGACGCACTCCAGCAAGGCGAAGCAGTCGATGCGCAGGTTCAATACCTGACCTCGACGGGCGATCTATCGACACCATGTTTGGCGTCGACATCGCAGTTTCTGGATGTCTCGGTGCAGCTATCCATCTACCGGCATCGCGCACATTGTCTCGTCCTCAAGGCCCACAGATGCGTCCGTTCGTCCCGCAAGACACCGGCAGATGCATGGAACGAGCACATGATGACGATCATCTCAGCGTCGCGCGCACACATGGAGTATCTGGTCTTGGAGTCCTTCGTGGCTGTCCTCGCACGCGACATGTCCCCATCGCTCCACGCCGTCCTGACACATCTGTGCTCCCTCTTCGCGCTCTCGACGATCATCAACCCTCGCTCCGTCGACGCGCTTGCGTTTGTTGAGACGACCAATACGAAGCAAGGCTACCTTAGCACAGGACAGCTCGACGACATACGCGCCCTTGTCAACGATCTGCTGGAGCAGCTCCTGCCCGAGGCCGTCGCATTGACAGATGCATGGGGGTTCTCGGACGCCAGTCTGTGCAGTGCCATTGGCATGTTCGATGGGAACGTGTATGAGAACGTTATGAAGTGGGTGGAGCAGCTTCCTATGAACAAGCGAGGTGGTGTGCCTCCAAAGTGGGGGAAGTACGTTGACCCTATTCTGAAGGGGAAGAATATCAGGGCGAAGTTGTAGACTGCAACGTGGGGATGGATGTCAATGTCAAAGTCATTGTCAATGCCGCAGTGGTGTAGGTATGGCATGAGGTAGAAATAGAGTGATTGGCCTGCCCGTACAAAGTAATGCAGGGTGATGCAACGCGTGCCCCATTTCCATCTCCGTGTCCAGCCTAGATTGCGCCACAGCGCACGGGTACCCACCACCGCCACCCTCGCTCCCTGTCCATGCATGCCTGCATGCATGCATGTCTCGCCGCGGCGATCAAACCTCGCTCACTCCCCGTCTGCCTCCATCCGTCATGAAAGCTCACGCTGACGGGTGAGAATCACCTCGCCTCGCCTCCCGTCTCACAAAACCGAGCAAGCATGCCGCTGCTAACACCCTCGCGCATCGCCGTCGTGGTGCTGTGCCTCTCGCTCATCAGCTTCCTGTGGACGTACGGCCTGCCGCACCAGCTTGCTCAGCCTTCGTTGCCTATCGTTGGAGGACTTGACGATGGGGCTGGGAAGACGTCGAGGCTTTGGCATGCTGTTGCGCCGACGGCTACGGTAGGGGGGCAGCTGGGGAAGGAGAAGGAGAAGGAGAAGGAGACTTCGCTGCCGCCGCCGCCGGTTAAAACGGGGTCTGCGGGCCATGATGAGGATGGCGGACGGTGGGTGGATGGGGATGGGAAGACTCGAGTGCAGGCTACCACGCTCGTTACGGAGATATTGTCTGCTACTGAGATGCTGTCCGCCAATGCGTCCATGCCCACGGCTGCCACCGGGCCCACGCTCTGCCAGGACGTCCCCAACGCGCCGCACGTCATGATCATCCTCAAGACGTCCAAAGCCGAACTGCACAAGCTGCCCCCGCACCTGCGCAACCTCCTCTCCTGCGCCCCTAACTCGGTCATCTTCAGCGACCACACAGGCGACATCGACGGCCACATCATCCACGACGCGCTGGCCCCCGTCTCCGGCGACGCCAAGCGCCAGCACGACGAGTTCCGCGAGTACCAGCTCCTCCGCACCGACGCCCACTACAAACCCGACGCGAAGAAGACAAAAGACCTCGACAAGTGGAAAACCCTGCCCATGGTCTACCAGGCCTACCAGATGAACCCGCACGCCAAATTCTTCGTCTTCATCGAAGCAGACACAAGCCTAAGCTGGACAAACCTCCTGCAATGGACGAGCAGGCTCGACTACCGCATCCCATACTACGCCGGCGCGCCAGCACGCGCAGGGAAAACACAATTCGCACAGCGCGGCGCAGGCATCCTCCTATCCCAAGGCGCACTGCGCAGCTACGCAAAGTCCTACGAGGAGCGCTACATATCCGAGTGGGAGTCCCGCGTCGGCAAAGAATGCTGCGGCGACATCGTCCTCGCCACAGCCCTATACGACGCACACGTTGAATTCTACGCCGCGTGGCCTCTGCTCCAGGGCGAGGCCCCGCATACACTCGATTACACGCGTCGCCACTGGTGCGCACCCGCCGTGTCGTGGCACCATGTGAATAGCTCGCAGCTTGACGAGGTGTGGGCGTTTGAGAAGAGGTGGACGGAGACACATGGCTGGAAGAAGCCGTATTTGTATAAGCATGCGTTTGGGGAGTTTGTGCTGCCGTTTGTTGTGGAGAGGAAGGTGGGGTGGGATAATTTGTGCGCGGATGCGAGGGTTGTTGCGCCGAAGGGACGGCAGGTGGAACTTCAGGGCGGTGGGGCTGGGCAGGATGAGGTGAAGATGGGGAATGCACCGACGCCATTACCACCGCATTCTAAGCGCGACGATAAGAAACAGGACGACAAGAAACCAGACGCTAAACCCGCTAAACCCGACCCCCCCAACTGGGACAAAATCCCCCAATCCAACCCCACCGCCGCAGACTCCCCGCTCGCCTGCCAAGCTGCGTGTAAGAGCGTGGCAGACTGCGTTCAATGGCGCCATACGTCCGAGGGGGATGGGATCTGTTTTCTTGGCCGGGCAGTCAAGCTCGGGAAACCGGTTGAAGACGGGGGTGAGGAGAAGGAGACGTGGGTTAGTGGGTGGATGGTGGAGAGGATTCGGGAGCTGGGCAGGGAGTGGGAGTGTAAGGAGGTTAAGTGGCGGTTTTATCAGTGAGGTTATCGTTGGGTAAGGGGGGGGTTGGATTTGTTGCCTACTTTTTGTGTGTGTATATTGGGTACATGGAGAGGTTCTTTTTGGATAGAATGTTCGTTTTTCTAGGCTTGTTACTGGGTTTTGGCGCGGTGATTGGTGATGTGTGTAGTCCATTTATGAAAGTTACAAATGAAGTATATATTCCCAAAATAGAACAACAGTATTTTTTAAATGGTAGGTACATCGGTACACAAAGTAGTCGTGGCAGTCACTTCATCAGGCGATGCGCAAACGTGAACTTCTCGACAGTCCCATGGTGCTTACATAATATAGCGAACGTCTTTCGGATGGCTCTCGTATAACCTCCAAGCTCTTGACCCCAACTCACCCCAACACACGCACCACCGAGAACAAATATACCAACCACCACCACCACCACCAGACCCCGCGCACGACGCGCCTAACCCCCCCACCATCTCCGCACAATGCAGGGCTTCAACATGGGTAGATACTACCCGCCCTCCACCTCCTCCCCCCCACGCTTCAACACCACGCACCCGCTCGGCGCCCGCGCCGCCAAGCTCTCCCAAGGCATCCTCACCGTGCGCTTCGAACTGCCCTTCGCCGTCTGGTGCGCGCACTGCAAGCCCGACGCGATAATCGGGCAAGGCGTACGCTTCAACGCGCAGAAGAAAAAAGTCGGCTCCTACTACTCGACGCCGATATGGAGTTTCCGCATGAAACACGGTGCGTGCGGGGGCTGGTGGGAGATCAGGACCGATCCGAAGGCGGCGGAGTATGTTGTTGTTGAGGGGGCGCGGAGGAGGGAGTATGCTGGTGCTGAGAAAGAAGCGCAGGGGGTAGGGGAAGAGAGGTTTTTGAGCGAGGAGGAGAGGCGGAAGAGGAGGGAGGATGCGTTTGCGAATTTGGAGGGGAGGGTGGAAGATAAAGCGCTTGATCAGGTTGGGAAGGAGAGGGTGGAGGAGTTGTATGAGAAGAGCGAGGTGTGGCGCGATCCGTATGAGGTTAATGCGCGCCTGAGAAGCGAGTTTCGCGCGAAGAGGAGGGTGTGGAAGAAAGATGAGAGGCGGAAGGAGGGCATGCAGGATAAATTCAGTCTCGGCATCGATATCGTGGATGAGTCGGATGCGGATCGCATGCGCGCGGGCCTCGTTGAGTTTGCGCCCGCGGGATCGAGTAACGAGAAAAGAGACGATATGACTTGGAAGCCACTTTTCGCGACACCACAGAATGAAATGACTACAGAGTCAACGACTAAGACTAAGAAACTGAAAGCCGACGCTGTTGCGGAGAAGAGTCGCCGGACTTTGCAGGACACACTCGTTAACAACACGCGGGCGGCCGTTGACCCGTTTTTATCTGCCAGAGATGGTAGCTCGACCTCAAGACCGACTTTTGGGATCTTGAAGCGGAAGAGAAGTGTGCAAGCGGAGCCTAACCCGACGGTTTCTGTACCGAGGGCTGCTCTGGATGTCGAGGGCACGTTGGGATGTGGAACGAAGACACCCACACTAAGTACTGCGTTGGTGGGATATGATTCTGACTGAGGTGATTTCTACGTATGCACGACACGACAACTACAATAACGCCAGTTCCGAGAATGATACAAGGCGATTTGCATCACTAAAAATTGATGAAACCCTTCCGCACCCTACAACCCCAAAGATGGTAACCGCCAAATAAGAACAACCACCCATTCATCAACCAACTCATATCACACCAGCTCTCCCTCCCGCTACCCCTCCGCCTTCCGTCCATATCCCTCAGCAATCCGCTTCGCCAACGCGCTAATCGCAGGCGCCTGCAGGATTTCAAACACCGAAGCGCTGACTTTGGTCTCGCGCTGAATCCAATTCTTCATCTCGACTGCGACCAGCGAGTCCGTCCCATAGGCGCTCAGCGATCTGCTAGCATTGAGGTCCTCAGGGTCCATCATCAGCGAGCGGGAGAGCTTCTTGATCAGCGCAGTTTGAATGAGCTCTGTATTCATCTCCGTGGAGTTATCCATGCTGAGGAGGGCAGATAAGGGCTTTTGTGTTGTAGATCCCTCCACGCTGTGTTGAGTGGTGGGACTGAGTTGGATGTGCGGACGCAAGTATTCCAGATGGCTCAGTATGGGATCCTCTGCGAAGAATGGCTTCTCCTGCTCAAAGTTCCCGTCGAGTCCTGTTACTATGTGTCCCTTGAATGGCTCCCGGACGGCTAGCTCAATCAGGCCTAACATTTCCGTCTCTTTGATATGCTGTAGTGCCTGCACGACAACATTCTTCCCCGCCTTTGCGCTGGTTTCCACAACATACCCCACCTCGTCCACAATACCCAGATCGATCGCTACAGCAGGCAAGCCCAGTCCGTTCCGATACTGCGCAAGGGCCACTTGATACGCACAGCCTGCGCCGTAGTTCGCCTGCCCGGGATTTCCTATAAAGCTGTGGAGCGAGGAGAGCAGAATAAAGAAATCAAGCGGTTGGCTCAGTGTTTCTTCATGCAGGTTCTTCGACCCGTGGACTTTCGGTCGTATTGTATCTGTCCACTGCTCTTGACTCATGTTCGTGAAGAGGGAGTCATTGAGTGACATGGCTGCTTGGATGACGCCTCTAACTGGAGGGAAGGTAGCCAGGGTTGTAGAGAGCGCAGAGGAGAGGGATGCAGAGTCCGAGATGTCGCAGTTGAGAACTGCTGTACAGACTCCGGACGCGGACAGGTCGGCAATCATGGACGATGCTGAATCAGACGAAGCGCCCGAGCGCGATATGAAGATCAGGTTCTTCGCTCCGTTGTTGACCATCCAGCGCGCTATGCTACGACCTAGACCGCCGAGACCGCCGGCTAGGACGTAGGACGCGTCTTCGTTGAACCTGGCATGCTCTGGTGGACCCTGTGCGACCAAAACAGTATCACCCGCTGTAGGGACCATGACCAGTTTGTCTGTGTGGTTGTCGCTTTGCAGCGAGGCCGCGGCATCTGCAAGCTTCGACCAAGGCTTCACTTCGATAAGTGAACCCTCTCGTAATTCCCCGGCCGTAAAAAGTTCCATTACCGCACCAAACGTCTTACCGGCAAGCCTGGCATTTTGATTGCGCAATGCGGACATGTCGATTGAAGTGAACGAGACATTACGGCCGATTGGCACCATTCCAGCTCGACCGTCTGTCTGTATGTCACTGGATGGCAAGTCGATAAACCTGCCGAACGATGCAACGCAATTGAATACTGCCGGTAGAGCTTCGTGAGAGGCAACATTCAGGACGACATCGACGCCGCGGCCATTTGTGGCTTGTTTGAGAGCCGTTACGAAGCTCCTGTCCTGGTGGAGGAAGATATGATCGCTCTCAATATTATGCGTTGCTGCAAGACGAGCCTCCTCGTCCTGTGAACAGGCAGTCAGGAATATCTCCGCCCCCAGCGTTGAGGCAAGTTGGATGGCAGCCTGACCCACGGCATTCGTCGCTCCATGGATCAAAATCGTTTCGCCAGACTTCAGACGAGCTACGTGGACCAGGGCATAGTGGGCGGTAGCGAATGCGATAGGCAAACTTGCCGCAACTTCGAAGCTCATCCCGTCCGGGATCCGATGTGTGCATGCCGCAGTTGATCTCACGTGAGTAGCAAAGGTTCCCAGACACCAGGCTGTTACTCGGTCGCCAATCGAGAGATGTGTGACGTCGCTGCCGACCTTCGTTATGACCCCTGCGCATTCAAGGCTAGGGCTGTTGTCTGAGGATGTGCATTTGATGCTTTCAATGTGCTTGGCATCGAGACTCATTGCGTGTACCTCAATTTCAACATCGGTAGGCTGCAATGTTTCCACGTGAGAAAGATCGTCCTCGAATACAAAAGACTTGGAATCGTTGTCGGACATCTTGAGCCTCAATGGTCGATTCTTCTGTACCACGTCGTCCAGTTGCGGCGGTAGCACTGCCGACATGGTGCGCGCGGCGAGGAACTGATTCGACGCGTCGTCGACAATAGCGCGCTTTATGTACAGCACGTTGTTTTTCTCGATGAACTCGCTGTCGGCCGTATTTGAGTGTTTCCCAGGCCAGAGGTACTCCTGATACACCCGGATCAACAAGTGGGCAACATTACCAGCTAACAGTTTTCCCTCCGCACTCAGATCGATGGTGATGCAGGGAAACTCTCTGTGCTCCACTCTCAGAGTACGTGCAAGCCCGTGAAAAAGTGCCAGCTCAGGGCGTTCGACGTCCGCAGACGCAGCACCCCGCGTAACCCAAAGCAGGCCCGCCGATGTCTCAGCGATGCGTCGGAGTGTTTCCAGGTCAGACGCTTCCAGATCAGCAAGCACAGGTTCTTTGAGTTCTACCAGGCTGATACAGATAGCTCCAGTCACGTCTTGAAGCTTGAGCCTGGAGAAAGGTAAAATCTGCGCCTGCACACCGGTCTTCTCGATAGTCGACTTCAGAGCAATTGCCACATCCAGTCTGTTCATCTTCACTGGAGAAGTCCCGCAGAGAATGAATATGCGTGGGCTTTCTGGTGGCGTTGGCAGGCCGTTGCGTAGACTTGCCTTGGGCGACTCCACGGCTGTGGCGATCATCAGCCGTGTACCCTCTTCAAGCGGATCCTGCGTGTCCGGACTACTGGCTTGGAGATTGCTAAAGCCGTTTGTGCGAAGTACGTCTTCCCATTGGACTTCCGTGAGCAGTGGACCTCCTCTCCGCCAGTCTTCAGAAGCATTCCACCAGCCTGGCAGTGTACCGAAGATGACGGATGCTGCGAGAAGGCGATTCGTCATCTCAAGGAGGATCAGTTTTCCGCCTGGTCGCAATAGCTTCCGAGCATGTGCCATTGTGCGATTCATATCGGATGTGGCATGGAGGACATTAGCAGCTACGATCACATCATATGACGCAGGCGTGAAACCCTGCGCTTCAGGATCCTGCTCAATGTCCAGCTTCTTGAAGATCGTGAACTTCTCAAAGTCTTGAAACTTTTCCGCGGCGCGTTCGAAGAAGTAGGAGGAGATATCAGTGTACGTGTATGTTTTGAGTCGAGGGTATGTGTGTAGATCCTTACATCCACTCAAGCCTTGGAGAGTGGGAACTGTGGCGCCACCAGTTCCCGCCCCGATTTCCAGGTAGTCAAGATTCGGATACTTGTGCGATAGCATGGTCAGGTAGCGCGATATCTGCGCATACGTGTTTGGCATTCCAACTGCGGTGGTATAGTAGTCTTCCAGCAGGTTCTCCTGTGTCATCAAGGCGAGTGGCTCGACCTTGTGGCGGAAGACTGAAGGTAGAGCCTCGCCAATCCGGACAAGTAGTTTACCATCGTAGGCTGTCTCATGCGAACGGTAGTATTGGGCCATGGCGTCGAGTTTCAAAGTCACTTCCGGGGTATGAAGACGTTGCCACTCCTCGGTCTGTTGTGGGTGTGTCTTTGCAATCACGGTATCTCGTATCTCGCACAAGTTTGCGTAGAACCTTTGATGATGTGGGAGCATGGCAGCAACATCGTCCTCGTCGACCTTTTGGATCGCTTGATCGATGAAATAGTATGCCAATAGCTCTAATTCTCGCGCGTTTTTCGAACGGTACTCGGGTCGTGAAGCCGCCTGTAATTCACGGTCCAGGTCCTGGCGCTCGATAAGCTCCACGTCTGGTTCCCAAACTGGCTTGAAACAGTGTTTTGGAATTGTTGGCTCGACTTCACTCGATGTGTTCCCGGCGTTGATGGCGACGAATCGAAATCCATCCATGAGTACGACTGCTTTCGAGGTGACTGGATCCAAGGCGAATATGTCCGCTTTTGCTTCTCTGTACCCATCCCGCTGGGTGTTTGCAACGACGTGAAGACAGTCTCCGGCTTTGGCTGCTATATCTCCAGAGACGACTATCTCCTCAACAAATGTAGGGACCATGGCCTGCTGGAGCTGTTCAAGGCCAGCACCGCCGAGCCCGACGAGCGCCAGTTGTAAGAAGCTGTCAATGGTCGCAGGATGTAACAACCGATCATGCTCAAACCCATGGGGGTTGGCAGCTCGCGTATCTGTGACTTGGATCATGGCTGCGGCTTGATTCGACATAGTTGGGTTGATGGTGAGGTCCTTGATACCCTGAAACAGTGATCCATAGGTAAGTCCGATGGCATTCACGTCCGCATAGAACGCATCTACATCGAGCTTCGTCGAGCAATCTGCGCGAGCTGCTGTCCACTGGTCCTGGCAGTTTTTCGAAACCCCATCGAGCTCATCCAATTGGCTGATCACGGAGACCGAACCGCAGCAGTTCTCGGCCCATCCGCCGCTGACTGAGAATGAGAAGATATGGAATTCGTACCAATAGTCCGACTTGCTGATTCTTGGGTTTGCTTGGCGCCGCATAGAGAAGGAAATCTCAACGCCCTCGTCGGTTTCGGGGACAAGCAATGCCCGGGATATACTCACGTCGCGTAATTTGTACCCGGTCACACTTCCTGATCCTTCGGGTAGGAAAGTCGATGGTGAAATCACGCACATCTGTCGGCACGCTTCGATGGCCATGCATATATATCCGCATGCCGGGAAGAGGATGTCGCCCTGAACGACATGATCTCTTAGCCAAGGCTGCTCGCGCAGGCGTAAGAAGTTTCTGAACCTAGGCTCGATGGGATTCCAGTCGTAGACCGGTGCGCCAAGGATTCCTGTTCTGGGAAACTGCCGGAAGCGGTAGTCGCGGCTGAAGCGAGATTCGCACCAGTAACTTCGAGAATGGTTCCATGAGTATTGCGGTAGGTCAGTCAGAACGGGCAATGAGTGTTTTGGCTTCACGGGGAAGTTGACGGTATGTATCTCGACGGGGTAGTGGTCTGTAAAGAGGTGGCTGGCCACTTCAAGCGCAGTGACGTCAGCAGGCTTTCCGCGGATGAGAGTCGAGAGGTACTTGAAGGGGGGTGGTGTTCCTCCGAATGCTGTGCTCAAGACATCTCTGACGGGAACTTTGAAAAGAGAATGGGGTCCGATTTCGAGTAGAATATCCACCCTTGGTGTGTTGCTCTCTGTGACTGACAGACACAGCTTTTCAAGCGCGCCAGAGAATCGAACGCAGCCGATAAGGTTTGTCACCCAGTATTTGAGACCCAACTGTTTCCGCTCAACTATGTCTTCTGTGACAGACGAAAACATCTGAACTTGCTGATCGGACTCTAAAACTGTCACATTTGCTTCGCGAAGTCGGGCAAGATACTCTTCGGCAATGGCTTGCATATGATGTGAGTGGTACGCGGTATCAACCTGCAGAATCTTCGCGAAAATACCTTTGGCAACCAGCGCCTTGTGCAACTCTTCGATGGCTGTGGTGTCACCAGAGAATGTGACACTGCGCGGGCTGTTGATGCAAGCGACCCGAACCTGACCGAGCTCACTGCTCGATCCAGCAAGCATGTGATTTGCATCATCTTCGGACAGCGCGGCCGCCATCATACTACCAGCGTATCCCAAATTCTTGACCTTGGGTGCTAAGAGACCACGGAAGAAAGCTATTGTCATTGCCGACCTAGCGCTCAAGGCTCCAGCGGCATAGGCTGCTGCGATCTCCCCACTGGAATGACCGACCACACTGTGCGGGTGGATGTTCCAAGAAGCATGGAGATTGACGAGAGCAATCTGAAGCGCGGTACAGAGAGGTTGGCTGATGGGTGCCTCGTCTACCCGCGACTCTACCTCGTTTCTGAGAAGCTCCTCTTTCAGTGACCAGTCTGCGCCCAGATCGCGGATGATCGCATCGCATCTGTGTATGCTGTCCTTGAAGACAGGGTATCGTAGCAGTTCTCTTCCCATACCCCACCACTGGGCACCTTGGCCAGTGAATATGAACCCGATGCGAGGGGCGTCGATGTGGTCATGAGAGATTGAATTAACATTATTTAGTCGCCGTTCCAAGTTCGCCAAATCTGATGCGACAACGGTATGTACGTGAGGAAAGCGCGAACGTCGTTCGCAGAGTGTGTAAGCCAGTCTATCCAGTAGCTGTTCTTCGTTGCATGGCGGCAGTGTTTGCAGATGCTCTGCAAGTGCCTTGCTTATACGCTTCAGTGCCGGCTCGTCATTGGCAGAGAGAAAGAAAACGCGAGGCCGTGAGGATGGGAGAAGATGTACTTCGTCGACGAGCTCCACGGAACCGGAATCGGTCCTAGTATGTCCACTCGATCGACTAGTCTGATTGATGTGGTGACGCGCATTGTCAAGGATGACATGTGCATTGGTGCCTCCATATCCAAAGGAATTGACACTGGCGCGGCGTATACCTTCCAGCGGCCAGGCCATAGGTTCAGTCGGGACTTTTATCCGCCATCGGTCGAATTCAATAGCGGGGTTTCCTTTCTCGAACCAGATGTTGGGCGTGATCATGCCCTGTTCGACGCTGAGTATTGCCTTGATCAGTCCCGCAATACCACTAGCTCCTTCCAGATGACCCATGTTGGTTTTCAGGGATCCGACAGACAGGGGTATTGCTGCGCCGTCTATTGTGGATGGGCGATGAGCTGCAAAGATTTCCCCGATCGCGCCAGTTTCGATGGGATCTCCTGCAGCCGTCCCAGTACCGTGGGCTTCGAAATAGCCCGTTTCGCTTACATCACACCCAGCTGCTAGATACGCACTGCGTATCAGATCGATTTGAGCATCTTTGGAGGGCATGGTGATGCCCGGTGTTCTCCCGTCTGAACTTGCTGCTGTGCCACGAATAACAGCTCGAATAGGATCGTTATCTCGCAAAGCAAGATGTAATGGCTTGAGGACAATTATTCCCATACCTTCTCCTCGCGCATACCCATTGGCACGCTCATCAAAGGCGTATGATACGGAGTCCGGACTCAGAAAATTCATGTCGCTCATCTCAATCTGAATGTCGGGACTTAGAATGAGATTACTACCTCCAACCACCGACATTGAACTTTCGCCAGTTCGTAGACTTTGACATGCCAGATGCACAGCAACTAGCCCGCTACTACACGCTGTATCAAGAGTTATACTTGGGCCCTTGAAATTGTAAAAGTAACTCAGGCGGTTGGAAAGCATTGTTTGACTAGCACCTGTAGATTGATATTTAGGAGCCAGCTCCATATCTCGTCGTTGCATCTCTTCGTAATCTTTGGTAAAGCATCCGACGAAACACGAAGTTTTCGACCCTGATATTTTGTCTAATGTCAGGCCCGAATTCTCGAGTGCTTCGTAGGTAACCTCAAGAAGGATGCGTTGCATGGGATCCATTGCTATGGCCTCGGCGGGCGAAATCGAGAAGAAAGGAGCATCAAACAGCGATACATCTTCTGTGAGGAAATGGCCGCCGCGATTGTTTGACTGCAAGGCATTAGGGACGGGCCGCACGGGAGGCGGCGCGATCACTTACTGTGCCGTACCGATTTCCGTCTGGATGGTAAAAGGCTTCAACGTTGTAACGGTCCGTGGGGACTTCGGTCCGCGCAGATCTCTTCTCCATCAACATTTGCCATAATTTTTGACCGTTGGTTACGCCACCTGGTAACCGGCAACCAAAGCCAATAACGGCGATCTTGAAGTCTTCACTAGCCATCTTCACTCAGGGTCTGATGCTTTAGATTAATTCGGCTTCCGGATATGCCAGAAGTGACAGTCCATCTTGTGTTATAAACACAATTGGCTGCAGCATGGCGTATATAGCTAAGAGACATCCGTACATCCAGATTCTTCAAACGTCGGCCACAGGCGCGGAAAGCAAGATACCGGCCGATTCAAGCTCTGCGCCTAGCAGTAAGACTGCCCTGTTGCAAGATTGGTGGATAGTTTGCACGTTTAAACCGTTTGCTAATTTCCAGAAATATTACTGGCTGTTTGGCACATTTGAATTTTGTGCTAGCCAACGCGTTTGATCTAATTGTTACCTGTACGCATATTCCGCAATACGAAAAGCACGCTAAGCGTGACGAGAACAATAGCAAGAAATGCACCTGCATACGGCTCGATCCGTATGCGGGTCAGCCGAACTGGGGCGTCCCACGTGTGTCGAAGTCTCGATACATTGAGCCTGTGGCTGAAAAACTCGAACATCAGATCATGTCTGTATGATCAATAATTCTTCATCAGGAGTGAAATTTACGCCTCAGTTCTTGTGATTGTCACGTCGCGGATGTTGACGGATGACACATCGCACAATAGGTCGGCTCGATGGAAGTCATCCGCCTTCTGATCTTCAAGTATCGATTCGCGAGACCCATTGATGATGATGCGCACTCCATGTGATCCCTCGGCTTCCGATTCTCCAGAATTTCTCTTTCTGGTCATCGCCCGACCTACCTTGACGTCTTGCACCATCGCAGTTTCGGCGTCGGTCAAACAATGCCAGTGCCCGTATCCGTGGACTGGGAAAAGTGTTAAGTCGTCAGCGCGACAACCGAGCAGCATGCAGGTCAGATGGCAAGCCTTCCGTATGGATGTGCAGACTTTGGTTGACGTGCATATTGGTATTACAGGGAGGAAAGCGTGGGAGATGACGCTTGATGCATGAGCAAGATACCCGTCGGGTATCGCACAGAGATGCTCTCACTGCCCCGTTCCTGCTTCGTGCGACTTTGGCGCTGACGACATCTGACTACATGCGCTGCAGGCTTCCACACAGAAGCTTGGGACACGTGGGAGGCGGAGATAGCATGCGGGTTCATGTACAGGGTATGTATTGTGGAGGGGTATGCTGACATGTATGCACTGAAGACGTCTAGCAGTGTTACCGGACAAGTTTTTAACCGGGGCGGACAGTCTCGCCTCTGCACAAGATTGTTTACGTCGTTGGGGCGTGGCCTGAAAGGATTTTCATCCGAACATGTGTTTGCACATGGCTCGATCTGGACCCCAAGTTGGAAGTGGATGCATGCGTAGCGGCTATAGGGGCGAGACTTTGGAGGTTGGCGAAGAACCGGGTTTCAGAGAAGATTGTTTACAAAATATGCTAATGTAAGTATGTATCTTACAAGCGTAGTACTCGATTTTATGACCCTGTTTCGTAATACTAAAGTACTTTACACGCTAAGTCCGAACTCAGGTTGGACTAATGGAAGACAAAAGCAGGACAAATTAGAGGTGAGCCCGGATCTCCTTGCGTTCTCCAGTCGTACAAGCAACGTCACCCTGGACATCCAGATACGCCTCAACCAAGCACATATCTCCCTTTCCATGAATGGTTTTGATCTTAAAATATGTTAGCAAGTTGTTTTCGCGAGCGGAAATTCGGAACCATGAACAAACCTTGAAGCGCGGATCTGCTTCTACGAGCAGCCGTTCAAATTCTTTCTCGGTCCTCTGTTTTGCGCCTAGTACAAGCATCATCATGATGTCTACCTGGCGCATTCGATTTTCATGGTACTTGGAGCTCGTCCCAAGCGCCGGTAGCACAGCGTCGTTGATCAAGAGCGGGGTCCCTGGGCTGCTCTTCTCCAGACCAGGGACCAGGGCTTTGAAGATGCGAATACAGTCCTTATCACTCCAGTTGTGTGTGATATATCGCAGAAGATAGGCTCCTGCTCCGGAAACCGGTTGTGGCGTGAAGAAGTCGTGCGGCATGAATGTTACTCTGCCGTTCATGTCCGCGAAGTCGTTTTGTGAGGCCGACGCAAGCATGGACAAAGAATCTTGTACAACAAACTCAAGCTTGGGAAAGGCCTGTGGACTATTTTAGTATGCGGTTATACGAAGGCGTCGAGTGTTACTGACTCGAGCGAGCGCGACGCTCATGTGACCACTACCTCCCCCAACATCGACTACCTTCCCTCCACCCAATTTATCCCACGGATAGCTATCTTTCAGGTTTTCGAAGTGTCTTTCCACTGCCAAATGTAAGTATTGTATTTTCATGACAGGTTGGGTAGATATTACACCTCGACACTCCCGCCATTGCACTTGCGAATCGATTTGATCGTATTGGATCTTGCTTATAAAAGTCGAAGAGAGTTGTGCCATGTCGAGTCACGAATGCATTTTTGGAACCGTTTATTTCCGAAGGCGACTGCTTGATACTTGCGGAAGTTTCAGAAGCAGCAGCAAAGAATTCGTCCAATCTTGAAAAAAATATCAGTATCAAAGTGAACGTAACAATCACGATGGTAATATAGGAAAGAGTACTCACTGGTAATGCATCACATCTCTCCACTGCTTATCCTTCAGGTATAGCACGCTTCTCGCAGTGTGCTGGAAGACATCTTTGTCCACCTCCTCGAACACTCTGTCGGTTGCCAACATTCGCATGAATCGCCCCACACGGTCTTCATCCACCCCAGACTTTTCGGCAATCTCTTTGACATGGGCCACTCCATCTTCAGGCACCGCTTCGAAGAAGTTGAACTCACATGCCACTTGCCATGCAGCTAAGTCATACAAGTAACAGACGAATGTCCTTGCATCGTTCCTAGGCCCATTTACGAGGCGTAGCAGATCCTTTGCGGAATCATTGAGGCGTGCGCGGAGGCTAATGTGTTCAGGGGTCTCGGGGATGGGCTCGGAAGTTGTTTTGAACGAAGGCTCTGATACGTTGGCTGCAGTCAAATCATTGACTATCAAAGTCGTCAACTGCTGAACCTCTTGGGCTAGTCTCAAAAGGTTGGACGTCTGTTCAGTACTCATGGCGTAAGGACTATGTGTGTAACAGTGTAACGGTGTTCGGGAAACGGAACAAACGAAGACCAACCCTGAACATAAGCTGATCCAAACAAATGATTAATCTTAGCTGATGACTTGATTTGGTTAGTAGAATTTTCTCAAGCACGGTAGAATGCCCATTCTGTCGAAAGCCGTGCATGAAGATTGGATGACAACACCCACTCGACACGGTCTTCATGCAGGTCGATGCAGGTCGATGCACGTTCGCCTCAGGAGCCGAGCCGGACGGATTAGAAATCGCAAAGCGAACCTAAAGCCAATGGCACCTCAACCTTGAGCTTTTTGTGTGCCTCGTTTGGCTCAAAAATGTCCCCTAACATTACTGAATCATGGACATATCGTTACAAGCGGGGCAGGTGTGGTTGACAGCGGATACTTCCTTGCTACAACGTGGTTTGACGGCATGCGGGATACAAACTTGCTGTGTTGATGTTGACACTGACACGGTGGTGTGCAGGCATTTACCTATTTACAACTAGATTGCACGGGTAAGCTAGTCTTACTATTGTTCTCGATTGCCGTTGAGGCGCCTCCCGCGCGCTAGTTGCGTCTTACATATACGTGCTTTCGCCAGTAGTAATCCAACCGACCTTTGGATTCTGCATCCTCTTCGTGGCTGATGAACCGAATGGTCAACATCTCCCCACTCCGATCAGGCAACCAGCTCACGAGAAACCGTCAGTCATGCTAGCGTTGGAACAGCAAGCAAGGTGGCTGGAGTTGAACGACGGGTACGAGCTGTCAAGTGACGAACTCAGAGCAATGCGGACTGGACGCGATATCACCGATGAAGAGCAGGATGGAAGTCGTCGTTATCACGCGACGTGAATATGGAATGATGAGTTGGGAATTCTTCCTCACGCGCACCTTTCTCGGCAAAGTCTCGGCCAGCGCGGCAAACTCTTGGTCGCGTCTCTCCAACCACTGGAGTAACGTTGTATCCCCAAGGTAGTCGTCTCGCATCTACACTGCAGTCCAGTTCACCGCTCGTTACGTTCCTATTGTCTCCAGACTGGCGCCAGTCGAACCGGGCACCCGAGCAGCGGCTATCCACTATCAAGCCAGGCCTGGACTTGTCCAAATGTAGAAAATGCTGCTCGACAGCCGCTTTCTCTCAACAAACAAGTCGATTCATTCACATGCCTCTACGGCCGCATGGAACCTCGTAATGAGCGAGAATTCGAGAAGATCGCATGATCCATCCCTTGAACAAGGTGGTACGTCGCTTGGGCGAGTATTCGACCTCTACCGGCTCGCAAGCGACGGCCAAGTTCTTGAACTTTTTCGACGACACTGGAAGGGGCTGAGTAGAAGATTGGCCAAGCAATTTGGGAGGATATGATGCGAGAATAGTCTGGAGAGGGTTGCCATCACATGAAGCAGAAGGAAACCCTTCGTGTATGTCGGTGACGCGAAACAACGCGTGCGCACAGGTCTCTAAAACCTCGACGGAGTTAAGACGCGGGGCTATCATCGACGTCACTTGCCCCTCATACCTCACACCTCACCAACATCAATTTGTCCCAGTGAGAAAAAAGCAATTGAACACACACCTCAAATCCAAGATCACAATTCCCATCAAAACCCGTGCAAAACCACCCCCAAAATGTCCGTCTTCCGCCCCAACGCAACAGCCCTGATAACAGGCGGCGCATCAGGCATCGGCTACGCAGTCGCCCAACTATGCCTCAAGCACGAGATGAAAGTCACAATCGTAGACTTCAACGCCGAAACGCTCGATCTCGCAAGCAAAAACCTCGGCAAACAAGTGCAGTGCATACAAGCCGACGTAGGCAAGCGCGAGGACTGGGCAGACATCAAACAGAAAGCTGGGAATGTGGATTTCCTCATGCTGAATGCTGGCGTTGCGAAGAAAGGCACTTGGGGGGATGATGAGTACTTTGACGCTGTAAGACTTGCTTTTACTTTCGCTCTTGCATCACTTTACTACCACGCTACCATCACCCTTCGTTGACCACACACAACAACCCCAGCTAACCCCCCACCACAGATCCTCCAAACCAACCTCCACGGCGTAACCCACGGCCTAAACACCTACATCCCCGCCCTCCAATCCCGCTCCACCCCCTCCGCAGTAGTAATAACAGGCAGCAAGCAAGGCATCACAAACCCCCCCGGAAACCCCGCCTACAACGCCAGCAAAGCAGCCGTAAAAGCCCTCGCCGAGCACCTCGCCTACGACCTGCGCGACACAAACACATCAGTCCACCTCCTAGTCCCGGGGTGGACGTTCACTGGCTTGGTACTGCTCCCCCCTCCCCACAGTGAAATTAGCGGGGCTGATACTGCCTAGTCTGGAAATATACCCGGCGCCGAGCAGAAATCGAAACCAAACGGCGCGTGGTCGCCCGCGCAAGTCGCGGAGTATATGTATGCTAAGATGCAGGACGGGAAGTTTTACATCATTTGTCCTGATAATGATGTTGATGAGACGACGGATAAGAAGCGCATGTTGTGGACGACGGGCGATATTGTTCATGAGCGCCCGCCGTTGACGAGGTGGAGGGATGAGTTTAGGGAGGAGGCGGAGGCGTGGATGGCGGGGTGTAGGGTGTGAGTATTTGTGATGTGTATTAGGAATTATGATGGTGGTCTACTTTCTACTGCGTACTTTCTACTTTCTACTCTTGTGAGGGGTGGGGAGGTGTAAGGGCCCCGTCTATATGTTGTGCTGGGGAGGGGTATCTTCATTCTGCCAACTCTTACTTGCTTACTTACTTCCATGCCCTCTAGCCCGTCTTGCCGATATCGCCAGAAGTGCCCAACTGCTCCTGCGCCGTCTCGAATCTCTCCACGTGAGGCCGCTCGACCTTCTCCACACCCGCACCCGCATCTGCATCCTGCGTAGCCCCTTCATCCCCCCCTGCACTCTTCACCAGCGGCGAAACAGCCACATAAGCACCAAGCTGCCTCTCCACCTCCCCCACCGGCGTAGCAATACTAAGACTCTGCAGCGTCGCCGTACTAGCATTAACATGCTTCCCCTCCGCACCCCCGACCTTGAGACTAAACGGATACGCAATCCCCCCCTTCGTAGGCCGCGTGCTCAGCGTATCCGTCGCTGGGATGAGGGTAGCGGGGGATAGCGGGTCTTCGGAGACGACGATGCCGGGAGCCGAGATGCTGGGTTCGTTTACGGGTGGACCTGCGGGCCCGGACTGGGCTGGTGGGAGACTGCTCAGATCGAAGGCTGAGGTCCCGACTTGTCCTCTATCAGTGACTTTTGTGTGGCGGGAGCGCGAGCGGAGACGCGCTGTTGCGCTTAGAGCTGCGAGACCGATACGGCCGCGCGCGGGTTTGGTGTCTGGGGTTCCGTCGACGGGGGGTTCGTCTGGTTTTGACGACGGTGTAGTCGCGGCATTTTGGTCTGAGACTTGGTCTGCTTGGTCGGCCTGATCTGCTTTCTCTTCGCGCACGATCTGGGTGGCTGTTAGAACATCCGGGAAAACGGGATACAGGTACGTACCGTTGCCTGATCGTGCTTGCTGCCCCACAAACTCCACATAGACATACCCCACGACTTCTTCTTCGCCTTCTCAGCCTTCATGCCCTTTGCCCTGCGTCCGGCCAGAGCGGTAGGCGGTGGCGTCTCGCCGTCGAAGCGCTCAAATCCTTTCTCCATCTCCTTCATCCTCTGCTTTTGGATCTTGATCTTCTGCTTTGCGAATTTGTTGTTCCACTCGCGTGATGCTTTCATGTACTTGTTCACTGGTCCGGACTTGGGCACGCCGATGTCGGCGATGGGCATGTTGAGAGCTACGAGCTCTTCTTTCGGGGCAAGGGGGTAGATGCGGCCGTGGCGATCGATGCGTTGGCGGATCATGTAGTGCTCGAAAGCCGGGAGGGAGTCGCCTGCTCTGCCGACTGTAGCTCTCATGGCTGCTTTCTGCTCCGCTTCGACGGCGTCCACTTGTACGCCATCTCCCAGCTCCTGTGGTGCGGTCTCACCGCGAGACGATTGTGGGGCAACTTTGTCGGAATCAGAGGAGGTAGCGGAGTCAGTACTGACGAACGAAATATCGTCGTCGTCAAGAATATCAATAGAGGTATCCTGCGCTCGAGCGAGCGCCCAGGCACCAAACTGAGCAATGCTGCGATACATGTGTTTCGCAGGCCGGGTGAAGCTGAGTGTGGGGCACACATGGCACAAGTCATCCCAGACCTGTAGTTGGACATTTGTCGGCTTGTACTTGGCAGCCTCAGCTTGGATGTGTTCAGCAGTTTGGTTATTCGAGGGAGGTGGCAGGTACGCCATAGGGTTGGCGGCCTTGTGAGCGACGTAAATCTGCTCGTCTTTGAGCAGTTCTCCGCCGCCCGTCGTGATGAGTAGAGGTGGTAGGCCACCAAGACTGGGCTGCAGAGCGGGCGATACCAGTGGATGCGTCATGAGGTGATTGGCGGCGTACAACTGGATTTGATCCTTCAATTCAACCTGCACACCATCGAGCTCGACGGTGAGTGATCCCCCAAGACCTACACTGTATTTGCCGTCTTGGGAAACCCACGTGTCCGGGTCTGCCTTAACCTCTGGCGTGGCCAAGGTACCGTTGGGTTGGTCAGTAGCAGTGACGGAAAACCCTTGGACGCGTTCCGCCTTAGCTTCTTTCTCTACGTCATGCTCCTTTTCACTGTCTTTGAGTGTTGATGTGCTGGGCGAATCGATGTCTTTTGGCGGTGTCTGGAGCGAGGAGGGTCGTTCGAGTTCGCGCAGGTCGTCAGCGTTGGGAGGTGCTGGAGTATTGTTAGTCGTTGTTTGGACATGGAGTCATGCAACTTACGCCAGGCCATGCTCGGCTTGTGCACGAAGCCATGCTGTTTCAGTCAGCTATTGTTCTATCCAATAGACGGTTACTATAAGGTTGCGATAGACGTACAGGTGGGATGTAGTCCTGCTTGCCATCGCCGCCCAGACTGGGGAAGCTGTGTGTGAGGTCGACCCAGGGGCTGATTAGGATGGCACCCGCAGGCAGGGGAATGCCTTGGTCTCGCAATGTGACCAGCAAGCTCAGCACCATGCCCCCGCCTGCCGAGTCGCCAGCCATAATGATGGTCGAGGGATCATGCTTCTCCTCAAGGAGGTAGAGATAGGCGGCCAGACCTAGGACAATCAGCACCTCCTATCCAAAGTCCTGCCATGGTGTCGACTTACAGTCCATGAGGCCGCACGGAAACGGGAACTGGGGAGCCAGCCGATAACGAGGCGCTAGTACGCGCGCCTTGAGCTTGCGCGCATGCCTCTGCATCTGGTAGCGGTGCTCGTCGACGCTGCCGAAGTAGTATGCGCCGCCATGGACGTACAGCATGATGCGCTGGCCCTTGTCGATGTTGAGTTGTCTGCGCGCATCGTAGTCCTTGCGCATTTCAATCCACTCAGCCTTGAGCGTTGTGTTCTCCCTCCTCCACTGCCACCACGTACTCCCGCCGACGGCTGCGATGCCCCCGGGGCCCAACTGCGCGCTTATGTGTTCAGCTGAGCGCTGCAGCAGCCCGCTCCCCATCTCCACCTCCCTGACGTGCACCCAGTGCGGCACAGGCACCCATTGCGAGGTAAAAGCTTGCAGCTCGTCGACGGTGTGGCACGAGGCGTAGTGCAGGAAACGGCGGATCAGCTCGAGGCCCTCGTGGTAGGAAATGTGCGCCGTCGGCTTCTGGCGCAACGGACTCCGCTTCAGGTAGTGCGAGATGTACGTCTCGATGACGGTGGGCGCCACGGCCGCGCTGACCGACAGCGTGTTGACTGGCATCGTGGGCTAGGAATGTTGCGCGCGCATGCTCGACGCGTCCAAGGGGAAGGAAAGGGAACGCAGGGGGCTTGGACGGGAGAGAAAGTATGGAGAAGCCCTTGCTGCAGGGTCTGACACGGACCGTCCCTGAACTATTGCGTAGCGCGTATCCCAATTCTCCGTCTGAAACAATGCCTTGTCATAAGGCATTGCCTTATCATAAACATCACCTGGACCGACATGGGATGGAATGTGCATACACAACTTGTCGACTGATTGAATTGTTCACCGTGCAGTGCATATATCGACTGAAATCGAAGGAGTAATTCAACCTGCATATCACAGCATATGAATTTGGCCATTGATATGTTACTTTGGCATTCTTCGTGGAGTGGGGTGTATATGCATCTGAGCATTCATTATGCGCAAATCTTTACGTGTGACAACGAGACAGCCTCTCATCGTGCATCTCACACCTCATCTCCATACTTCACTTCTACAGCACTAACTGATGCTGCCCAATTCCGCATTGAACCCCAACCCACCCCCCTGAAATCTTGCAGCCCATCCCACACTTGCCCACCTACTGCAACAGCTTGCGCGTAGCACTCTCCATCCACAGCTTCGTATACCAGCGATGCGCAAACTGAAAGTTCCACGGCAACGGCTCCGTATCCTTCCCCTCAGGCGTCGTATTCACAAACACGCTCTTCAGATGAAAAGTCGCCAACTGCGCCTCATCATCCTTGGTAACCTCCATACTAAACAGCCCATCCCCAGGCCGCCGATCCTGCTTAAGCGGCGAGTCACCGCACCTCACAACAACCTACACATACCATTAGCCCCCAACACCCTCACACCACACGACAAAGAACAAAACCAACCTTCTCATCCGTATGCTCCAACACCTCAAAATGATCCGTCACCACCGTCCCCACCTTGTAGTCCGACTTCTCCAGTTCCTTAACATCCCAAAGCTGCCCCCCCCTCCCCTCCAAAGCGCGATACTTCCTCTCCAAATACCGCCTCTGCACGCGATACGCAACCCCACTCCAAACCCCCCTACAAAAATCCGTCGTCAACGCCCCCTGATCAACGCTAATCCGCTCGCCCTTCCCCCTCACCCAGTACTTCTGCGGTAACTTCGCATACGGCACCGTCTTGACCGCGTGGTCGATGCACGCAGGTGGATTGTTGCTAGGGTTGTGCTTGCGCGCTATGTCGGTTGCGAGGTCGGGGGATGAGGTGTCGTAGGGAATGAATTTCGTGTTGCGCGTGTAGAAGCTGGATACGCTGTAGCCGAGGAGGAGGTTTGCGCCCAGTGCGCCCGTGAGCCCGAGGGCGACGCCGAGGACGCGCTTTCCGCCTGATATGCGCTTTATTTGCGGTGGGGGGCTGATGGTGTTCATGGTGCGCAATGGGTGGTGTGGTGCAAGGTGGGCTGGTTTGGAGGGAATAGTGGGAAGTTGTGTGCCTCGGGCCGTTGCTGCATTGGGAGCTGTGGCCGATGGGGTCGGCGTTTGGAATTGGTCGCCGACATCATATCAAAATATGGATGTACAGATTCAATAATCAATTGATGAAGCTTGTTTGCAACTGATGTATCGCAAAGTTCAACATCTATCAAGTTTATCCATAACAAACTCATCACTAACTCCTGAACAGCATCAACCCCGCCTCCTCAGCATCCGGCTCATCCTCCCTCTCGCTCTCCACCTCATCATGCTCGCCCAGCCCCAGTCTCTGCCCAAACAAACTGCTAAACAAGTCATCGCGCTGCCGCTCACCCCACTCCCCTCTATCCTCAGGCGCCATGAAGTTCTGCAACTTCTCCTGCACCGTGTACCGCAGCCTCCTCCCTTTGCTCGCCTTGGTGTCAACGACCTTCCTGGTCTTCGCCTCCCTTGCTACCTGCCACGGCGCCTGGACAACAAACTCAGCCGTTCCATTGGCATTCAGGTCTGCTGAACGCTGCTCGAGAAGCTCCTTGAGAAGCAAGCCGTAGAAGTCGGCATCGTCGTAGATGGCTGATTGGGGCTGGGCGTCCTTGAATGCAGACTGGAGGGGTGCGCAAGACCGGGGGGTTTGCGTGCGGATTACAAGGTGAGATGAGTGCAATTGAGAGTCCAACACCTCGGTAAGCGTTTGTTGTGCAGACGCGTTGAGGCGGTTCTTGTTCTGCGCAACAGTCGTAGCCTTTGTTTTGCTGGACCAGCGCTCGAGGACTGCTTTGCGATATGGGAGGGCAGATGACTCCGTGCTGCGCATAGACTCCCATATTTCGGAAGATGGTGTGTTAGACTCGAAGACTGTCCTCTTGCGCTTGTGGCCTGTACGCGCCTCTTGCAGCGACATGCGGAGGTCGGTGAGGTTGTTGAGTAGTGTCAGAGCGGCAGCTTCAGCGGCTTCGATGGACGGCTCTGGTGCCGCCTCTTGCGCGTGCGTATCGGCAGCCATGGAGTTTGTCGAGATCAAAGCCTTTTGCAGGCGAATACGAGTATTGAGCAGCGTGTCGAATGTCTTTCGCTGCGTCTTCACAGCCTGTCCCTTGGCGACATCGGACTGTGCACCAGCGGCAAGTGTAGATGCGACAGACTTTTCCGCCTTGAATAAATCGCGTATCGCCGAGGCCCCGCCCTTCTTCTCATTTGAATCCTCGTCGTCATCATCATCGTCGTCGTCGGAGCCCTCATCGTCGTCCTCAGAATCGTCGTCACCTTCGCTGTCCAGCTCATCATCGTCGCTCATGTCCTCATCAGAATCAGCATCAAGCTCTTCGTCTCCCTCCTCATCCTCCTCGCTGTCCCCACTGCTTCCCTCATCGAACCCTTTCGCGAAAGGATCATCACTGTCGCTGTCCTCGAGCTCCTCTCTCCGCACACCACGACTCGTGTACTGCGGTCCAAGCGGCACCACCTCCTTCTTCCTCAACTTGCTCTTGCCCACATCGACGTAGTGCTCGCGACCCGCATTCACATCTTCAGCGTCTGAGAGCTCGGCGTCGGAGTGCTCATCCGAGCTCGAACTCGGCGCGGGATCGAGAAGAGATTCGGGGTCCAGGTCTTATATTCTGTTAGATGGTTGTTATACTTAGGGAGAACGCCAAAAGTACCTCTGGTCTTTGATTTCTTCATTTCGGAGACGTGCAATGCGGTAGTGCGGTTTGCGACAGTTTGGGAGACACGAAAAGTTGGCGCGAAAAAGATTCAAAGCTGTCGGCGGATTGAAACGCCGACTTCCGCACGTCACCTCCGACGAACTCCGCAACTCACCATCTTGAGTGCAACGCGATGCTGAAACCACGACTCTTTTCTACGCTGCGGTGTTTGCAACATGAAAATCCTTTGGTGAGTTTGATCGTTTTGAATCAAGACGCAGAATCTGACAGACCGATCAAGGGTCTCCCGCGCAGCGGTGCGCCTCCCCAAATGCCGCGCATGCAGCGGGGACTGCCACAGAAGAGACGCATAAAGGATGTCAAGAAGATAATCGCTGTGTCGTCAGCAAAGGGTGGCGTGGGGAAGAGTACAATTGCTGGTACGCCTTTCTGGGTTGCATGCTCCTCATGATCAAAGCCAACAGATTGTCATGGCAGTGAACCTCGCCCTCAGCTTTGCCCGTCGCGGCTACAAAGCAGGCGTCCTCGACACCGACATCTTCGGCCCGTCCATACCAACACTGTTGAATCTCTCCGGTGAACCACGACTATCTGCCAGTCAGTCCGTGTCTCTCTCCGCCTCAACCACTATCCTCTGACGGCATGAAGATAATCAGCTGCTTCCTCTCTCAAACTACGGTCTCAAGTCCATGTCGATGGGCTACCTGATCCCCGAATCTTCACCCGTCGCGTGGCGCGGCCTGATGGTCATGAAAGCCCTACAACAGCTGCTCCACGAAGTAGACTGGGGCGGTCTCGACGTACTGGTTCTGGACATGCCGCCTGGCACCGGCGATGTACAGCTCACCATCACCCAGCAGCTGATTCTCGACGGCGCAATCATCGTGTCCACACCGCAGGATCTGTCGCTCAAGGACGCCGTGAAAGGCGTCGAATTGTTCAAGAAAGTGGACGTGAACCTGCTAGGCTTGGTGTGCAACATGGCGGGCTTCAAATGCCCGGGTTGCGGAGGTGTACATGAAGTGTTTGGAAATATGGACAAGATCAGGGCCATGTGTGGGAAATATGACTTGGACATGTTGGGTGAAATACCACTGCATCCAAGCATATCTCACGACGCTGATCGAGGGAAGCCGACTGTTGTTGCAGAACCCGAAGGCGATCGCGCGATGTTGTTCAGTAAGATCGCGCAGACTGTCGAAGAAATGATTGGATTGCAGAAGTAGGTTGTAGGTGCTTGCCAGCGGAGGAGCGTATGTTGTGCACAATATATTCAAGCTCTTGCAACGTGAACAGTTTGCACCCGTAAGTGAGATGAACCTGTTGATTGTTGCTGGGCGCATCAATACTACCATCTGAGGCGTCCCACCTAGTCTATAAAGTAGTTGTCGAGGGAATCCAAGGAACACTGAGGCATGGGCGCCGCTCTAAGCTATGAAAATGTATTTGAACAGATCCAATATCATTAGTAGCTTAACCTAAGCTTTCATTGATAACATCCTCAGACTTGGGTAGTTGCACGCGGCCTGAAACTTATGTTCTTTCTTCTGCCTACTTGTACCCCAACTCCAACATCCTCTTTTTCCAAAAGCTTAGCCTTGCACTGTCGCACACCTCTCCACCCCCTTGGCTAACCCAAAGATCTCCTGGATGCTTTGTTTCCGTCCCATCCTTGCATAACTTTTCAATCTCATCTCCCGCAATCCGGAACCACTCCGCAGCGGCAGGTACATGCAGATGAACATTCTTTCCCACTCGTGTCTCGGGCGAGTTTTCTAGCGCCATCTTGAAGGTCGTGCAGGCTAGTCTGACTTTGTTTGCGAGAACTGGTATTTCTTGGGCACTAGCACTCGTAGCAAGGAGGGCGAGGTAAGTGTTGAAATTCCTCCATAATGTCTTTGCAGTCTCATAGTTGGCCGGAGAACGGATGTCGTGAAGGTATAACTCAGGCCCTGTGGCGACGTGTAAGAAGACGCACGATATTAAACACATTGATGATCTCTTACCTTGTAAGCGCTCCGTTATCTCCATACTGAAATTCGGCAAGTCCCTCCATAATTTCTTCCCTCCGTCTCCCATCGCGAGTAGTTCGCCAGGTTCTATCCGCACCGACGCACCCGCGTAGCCTACGTGATCGACGACCACCGCTTCTTGACTCTCGTTGAAAGCGTTGGGAAGGCTCGCCAGTTCTACGATGTAATCCACAAGTGCTCTCAGGGCGTCCTCATCCGCGATCCTCACAGCCGCGCCGAGATATATTCCGATAAGGTCCCAATAAGCATCCGGATGAGAGGCGACAAGAGATGCTGTTTTGGTGGCTGAATCCTTTGACGAGGCTTTGTGTGACATCAAATCCTCGAGTATGTGGAAGATCTGCAGTGGATGTTCCTTCAGAGGCTCTGTGATGTCCTGTCCAAAGAGGCTGCGTAACCAACCCTGGCCTTGGGAGCGTGCCCAATTACTGGTCATCTTTGCTCAGAGCTATAATCGGATCCTTTTCCAGTTACGAAGTTGTGGGTTGTTGGAGGTAAGTATGTTCTCAGTAGAGGGGAAGGCTGAGAAGGATCATCAAATCTCAGGCGACTATGGCCTTATATCTGAGATCGTAGATCTATGCACAATTGTGACTCATCCAGCTACGTCATCTTAGTATCAATACGACACAAGCAGATCTCAGCCTGGAGCATAGTATCCGTAATTACGTCATGTTGCTGGGACTCAACTTTTGTATAGGCAAATAGTTTCAGGTGGGTTGTGCAACTTGGTGTGTCTTCATTTCAGTCATGGACCGGGCACGACTCAAAACTGACACCGGCTCTCGAGTGGCTCAATCTCGCCAGTCTTCATCTCAGAACAGGTGATTGTGTTGTGGAGACGTTGAACTCTCTATGAAGCTCGACGCTGCTTTCGGCGTAAATCGCACAGATAAAATCTTTTGGACTGTTGAACAAGACTTCCAGTCTCTTTCAAAAGCTCTGACTGTATTGAGCCAGTCCAAGAATCGTTATCAACTTATGTACAGATGCGCTACGCACTTAACAAACGGTCCAAAGCGTTGAATCTCGATGTTGTAGAGTTGTTTCATTTGAAGAGGGTTACAAACATAACAGGAGTGGGTGAGATCACTTCGTTTAAGAGTCGCCTCATTCAAACATCAGCGTACGGGGTTGTTACTGAACACCATCATTAAACATAGACTATCCTCCGATACATATGTATGCTTTTTGAAGCCCACTAAATGCCGCAGAACTTGAAGTTGCCCCCGGTTTGGCCTCGATGACTGATAATGCCGCACTTCACACGTACACGGTTCGGAAATCGTGCGATGACTACCCGTTCCTGGCCAGCTTGCATTCCAGCAACAAATGTAGTGGTATCTGTAACGAAAACTGGGTACTCCCGGTAGTCTATGAGACCTGCACCTGTGCAAGCAGACGTTGTGATAAGGCCTTGCGAGTCGCCATAATAATGAGGATCTACGATTGAGAGTTGTCAATACTTTCGTCGGGTACATCACCACCAAGATACGAACATACATTCAGCTGATATGAACTGTTAGCGAAATTCATTCTGTGACACATGGGCTCTAGTAACTTACTTCCCGCGGCTCCTGCAGCTTTCACGGTAGTACCCGCATCGAGATGGGCAATTGCATCGTTGTAGCTAGAGAGATGTGTTAATGACTCAAGCTCGCTAACCTTGATGTAAACGTTCAGACTGACCCCTTCTCCTGAGCAGCCGTAGTGAATCGATATGATTCTGTTACTCAAGTATCAGCAATTATAAGTCAACACCGAAAAAAGCAAGGACCTACCTCCGCAGTCGATGACAGCTCTTTTATCAAGCGTGGCGAATTCATCCGCTTGGTTGGCTATAGGGCTCGCGTTGATTGAAGTCGTGGCAAAAGCCAATGCAATCGCGTACAATGAGTTGACAAAATGCATCACTGCGTTAAATGAGAATTTCAAAGATTAAGACAATGTTGCTGTGGATGAGTTCAATGCAAGTACGTGAACAGCAGTATCATGGCATAATATCTTATAGTTCACTCTTTGGCAATTTACAAGTCATACGACCTTGAGTATCTATCCATCCCCTCGCCGGATTCATCGATGAAAAATGGCGATCGCATGGGAAAGTAAGGCGTACTTGGTACGATTGTTTTGATCCGTCTGGTGCTTGTGTAATCCGCTAAGGCCACCCACCCCAATAGATTATTGTGGATATCACTATATGCGATCAGCATTTGTCGTAGTTGCTAGTCTCGTCATGCAGAGATTTCTCAAAAGTCACCTGTCGAAAGCTGCAAATATTATACCAAAAGGCAGAGGTAGAGGTTATTCCAGGATAGTCTTTGTTGAATGTCATGTCTGAGTGTTCACTTTTGTTGAGAAGTAAGTCGCATATGTAGGTCCCACCTGAAGGTGAAATGTCGGCGTGTGAAAGGCGATTTATTGTGCCTTCTCACATTAGGATGACTGCAATTACGCTGCACGTTGCTCTTACGTTAGGGAAATAGGATTTATGATTGACCACCAGATTTCACGTGTATCTAGCAGAAGTTCTGCACGGTACTGCAAGTCTAACAGAAGACAGCACAGAATAAGTGCTTCTTCACATGAAAAAGACTATCTTTTTCGAAAGGAAGCTTAGGTATTCTCTGAGTGAGGATCTCACGCTTGTTCGGGGTGGATACTCACACCCTACTCACGTGCATAAGTGGATAGGCTCTTTGACCTTGGCAGCCCCATGTGCTACGGGAACAAATGCAGGCGGCAGGCGGCAACTTGGCCCACAGAACGTTGATCATTGCAACCCCGCACTATGTAGGGTTCCAATACCGGACGTATCTTGGCAAAACATTGGGCGCCTCAGAGTCGCTAAACTGTTGAATCAAGCAAAAATCTTTTTCCCGTCGTTTATATCAGACCATGTAATCAATTTGTTTGCGTCGCTCGCCAAGATCATGAAGAGGTGAATGGGAAATAATAAGCCACGATGATATAGTGAAAACAGAATACTGAAGAAGCTCGATCAAAATTGTAGCCTTTTCTGCGTACTTCTTGAATTTCAAGCGCGGCACCCTAGCACCAACATGAACAACATCTTCGGAACCGTGAGTTGATGGTACTCTACATGCTGACACGAGCTTTTTCCGTCCTCAGCATCCCGATATATAGTGGGTACCCACCCCACAGAAATTGCCAAGGGCTCTGCGTTGGCGGTTTCCGTGGGGTGAGCAGGCTGAGGTTCTATGTAGGCATCGCAACCTACATATTTGATCTTCGTAAAAAGTTTTAACGCGACCTGATCTGGAGGGTTTTCAAGGCATACGAAGGGTTTGTTCGCCTGCGGACCATTTGTTGAGGCAGATCACTGTCTATCGTAATTCCATAAACGTATAGACTGACAGTATATGACGAGCTAAAGACAGGTGAGCACTAGTATAGTTTATACATGTTTTGACTGTAACTTTCTGTTTGTGTCTCCACTATGTGTTTTGGTAAACAAAGCTTAATCATACATTTCTGGTAGTACAGAAAAAATGGATACTAGAGCCAAACAACGGTGGATGTGATTTTTCAAAGAAGGTCATAGGTCTCTTGAAAGTGAGTCATCCATGAAGATACAGTCATTTCTGTCATGTCTGCCAGCAGTATCGCATCTCACACGAGGGAGTGAAGCTGTATATCTTAAGATAGTTTTTTGACGTCGAAATCCCTTTTTCTCGCAGAGATGATACGCAAAAAGCGTAGTATGAGTAAATAAGTTGACTATATCATGCTACGTCAGAGTCTTACAACTGTAGTGCATTTCTACTGATGCTAGGTACCAGAACAATGGAACATTGGGCCTGAATTCGAGAAGCGAGATGCAAGTCTGCAGGTATACGAACTGAAGTTGCCTGATATCATGCGAGCCTGGTAGTTTCGCCGACGTCGGGTCGATATCAACGAGGCAACAGACTTCATTTGCCGCCTATTCGGTCATGATTGGAGGCAGCATTATCAGATGCTGATACATTTATTCACAGTGATGTATGTGTCTCGGAGGTCTCTTCTCGCGAACAGGGCTACAATGACTAACTAAGAACGATGCATAATGGGGCAACGATAAACCTTGTAGTTCCAGAAGACCCCATGACGTTATTTTGTAATCATTTTCAGGTGGTCTCGTTTGCTATAAAGTCTTCGTAGAGAACGTATTCTATGACATCGGTCAAAACTATCTTGTTTACTACATTAAATCCCTGGCACGGCTGTGAATCGAAATCTCAGTTCGCAAAACTCCATCGATCAATTCCTTCCAGTATCACCAGTGACCATGAAGTTATCCACTACTATCTTCATGCTCGCGTCAACTTTGTCCCTTGTCTCAGCAGTGCCTGCTCGACCTCGAGTATCCGTAAACAAGGTACATTTCTACCTATAACGATCATATTCGTTGATTCTAATCTCAGAGCAGAACGACATATTTTTACGTGCAGCTTCTTGTCTTGACCTCGGATGCGACTTCGACACCGACTGCTACGGGTGGAGATGTGGTGATTGTAGCAGCAGTTTCAAATGCGGATGCCCACCTGAGGCAGTAAGCTTAGTTCCACTCGATAAATATTTTCTATGCTAACTTGCTGCTCAAGGGGGGAGGTACTTGTTAGGGGAGGACATCAATAAGTTGTGGCAGCCCTTGTAATGTGTTCTCAATGTTCACTTGTTTCTGTCAAGACGGGGCATCAGCACGCACTGTCTCCTTCAAAGTCATGGCTACATTTAAACTCAACCTGTAGATAGGATCTCTCCAGAATTGTAGATTATAAGGTCTTTTTAAGAGTCTGAAGTCACTTGCACAACAGGGGCTACAGATACTACTAATGACCGATTATTTATTGCGAAGTCAAGATGGACTGTTCACGGTCTTTCGGCTTTCATATGCCATTGACATTAGATTTTAGTTTTAAAGTTGTACACTAAGATGACGTCTTTTGAGTACAGGACATTAAAATGCTCAAAGTGAGATTTCCAAAAGAAATGCAAGCGCTGCGCTTGCAAATCTGTTTAGGAACGTGCGCCAAGGCGTGATTTGATAAATCATATGTTAGGAACGTCGCAAGTCAATCCACCTGCCTGCTTTGTCACTTGATATAGAGAAACTGGTAATGTTTCCAGGCAGACCTAGTAATCCTGGCGTCATTCTGGTGGTGGTGCTGAGGACAAAGGGAATCGCTCCACATACGTGTGCTACTAAGGGTCTCAGCCTTGCATTGCCATGCCCACACAGGGCCATCAAGACTTCGTCATCTATTGAAAACCGTGGTTACAGGTTGTTGAGACTGGTTTCGTTCTTGAAACGTATCATTGGAACTTAGCAGCGCCTGTCGACGATCATCCTAATCCATCAATATCTTTCGTCGCTACCCTGATCTCGTCCAACACACTCACGAAGCAAGTAACGGTTCGGGCACTGTGATGACTTCGAAGCACCCACGCGAGGTGACTGAAGAGCTAGCCCGGCGCGAGGGGACCTTTACCGATGAATTTATGCGAAAAGCAGAAGAAGAGGCAGAAAATGGGCGGAAGGGAATGCTGCAAGCAACCGAATCTGGCGAGGAAATTCGTGAAGACCTGAGAGAAGCAGTAGAAATGTAAGATGTCTGCCGTAGTTCCTTACCATAAATCGAAGTCATACTTGCGTAGTATATCGACCGACTTGGTCACGATCCGTGCACGGCTTTTGGTGGATACTATCTTAATTGCCGACGATAACGAGTACGCCGAGGGTAAAACATCAACAATCTTCGTCGCCGACGTCTCCCAGATATGTCAGTATTGAATGCAACGAGAAGGGTTTCTCCAGAACGAATATTGAGGCGATATGTCGGAGAGGCCAGAGCACTAAAGCACCTGGCCAAGGATACACCGGCGAAAAGGGCATCGGCTTCAAGTCGATTTTCAAGTTCGCCAACAGGACACACATACGCTCTGGTCCTTATTACCTTGAGTTGGATCATAGGAGGGACCTTAGTATGTTTACACCTCAGTGGGACGAAGACTTCTTTGAGAAGCACGAGAAAAAGTATCAGACCACTATCATCCTGGAACGCATCTGCAATGAGTCGAAAGATTCTTCAAGTGCGTTTAAAATCGATGTTGACGCAGTTGATCCTGTCCTTATCCTGTTTCTTCGGCGCATAGTACGGTTACATCTTACACTCTACAAGTCTCGCACAGATCACAAGCCGGTCATCTCAAAACGCTTCCGGCATGTTGACTGGACGCCTGATTCGGGCATCGAATCGCTCAAAGACGAAGATACCAACAGGATGCGTAGATTTTACTAACATAGTTTCACCACATTTCTCGACAGGACAGAAATCCGGCGACAAGGGATGACGAAACCCAACATTGTGCTAACCTTTTCAGTGGTGAGAAATTCGTCAGGTACCTATAGGCCTGAGAAACGCAAGCGAAATCTTACCTTTGCGTACCTGCCTCTTGGGGATTTTGGCTTCAAGGTGCGGTATTCGATATCTCGATCATCACTGCTAACGTTTCGCATAGTTTGTTATTGAGAGGGTATTCTCACCACGTCCTATCGGCAATCAGTTGACGAAGACAATGACTGGAACAGGAACATAGCAAATGCAATTCTCTACGCCTTTGTACAGGCCATCAACAACTTCAACGAAGGAAGCTCTGAATTCAACGACCTATAGTGGTCTGAGCGCATACTGGTGTTGTATAACGAAGAGTATACTTAAGCGACTCAGAAATTCATCCATCATCAAGTGCCGAACCGGCGATGTCTGGCAGCCAGAGCATCTCATGCTCTTGGACTGGGCGCATGATCATGAAGGCCAACCGTTGCTTGGTGAGTTGAGCAACTACGTCTGCTAAGATCATCCCGACTTGGTCCACGAGGCGCTTTGATTTTTGGGCGTCGCTACTCCTGACTGGGTCTGGGTGTGTGACAAGCTTCAAGAGTTGCACGATGAGAGCTTGCTTCACACTACGAAGCGGACTAAGAGGTGGTACTCAGATCTTGCTGAGGTGACAGCAGGTGTCCCCGCGACCTGGAAAAATTCCTCTGATCCCTCTGGCCGATGGCACGTGGCGGTGTCCCCTTTCTCAGGATGACCCGATCCATCCTTCGGTGAATTTGGGACCATCATTCCACCTGGACTACCATTATCTTTGTAAATGCGCGAAAAGACGAAAACATTTTCGACTTCTTCGAGTGAAAGACTATGACGTCTCTGATGTCATCGAGCGGGTTTTCCATTACTATCTCAAATTGAGCTCGACAGAGCCTGATAATCTTATCGCTTAGCTCATGCATCTCTACAAAATGGTAGCCCACCTGCAGCCAGGCGAATTGAATGGTGTAAACTTTGTGTGTTCAATCTCTAGCAAGCACTTGCAAATGGGTGGCACGACATATGCTGATGTATCTGTTGGTCTGAACTCCGATCGCTACAAGGCCAATAGCTGGCAAAAGTACCAGCAGTACTTTGACCTTATGCAGCGTAAGATGACGCAATACTTTATCGTTGCAGAGAACACATACAATATGGATGAAAAAGGCCTCGCTATTGGGAAGATCTTCGAGTCAAAACGCAGTTTCTCCAAGCCCATATACAAGCAAGAGCACACTCAGTAAGCTATACAAGATGAAAATTGTAGGTAGATCACACTCCTATCGTGCATTTGTGATGATGGGAGCTGGCTGCCGCCAGGTCCCGTGTATGCGGCTGGGACTCAGAATATTCAATCAACCTGGGTAGATGATATGGCCAAGGTCAAGGTGCTGAGTTGCATGAGCAACCCAGGGCTCTTATCTTTAACCCGCTGGAACCCCTCATGGCTACTACTCTCGCGACCACTGGTTGGCTGCAGCCTCTTGTTTTACTCCGTTATGGGTGACCGCGCGGGTAGGCGTGAGGTAACTATACAGGCCTGCTCGAGTTCAAAGAAAAGCCTTGCGAGTCTCTTTCTGACAGTCAGCAATGTGATCAGCGTGGCAAGGCAGAATACGTACGCTCGAATAGCAACTCATTTATACAAGCGCCTCTTTCGCACCCTTGTAATACTTTGAACTTCAGCGCTATTAAACAAGCCTATCACAAGAGTACCTATGTCCGCTACGTTATCAGCATCACTAAAGCGAACTTAGTAGTTGCGGAGTAGTCTCGCGCGATCAGAAGCATCCAAGTAAGTCTCTGTCTGCGGTAATAACATATAGGGATTATTTCTTGTTGCGAGTGACAATATATTCATGGCTAGGTCAACTCCTGTGGTGAGGTAGCGACAGACAAATAGAACGACAAGACTCACTACAATAAGTACGATTAAAGCGAGACATAAAGCAACAACCTAACTATAATAAGCCACAATAACCTCTTTCCGCTTAGTCTTCGTCACTTCGCTTGACTATATTCTTGTCTTGAAAATGTCATTTAGTGTCGTTGAGTCGTAATAGTCATCCTATGAGCTATTTACGTTAGGTGGCATAGTAAATGTCTGGTTGTTGTCCCAAGAATAACCGGTCTCGTTGTTAATACCTGTAGTAATGGCAAAGAATCCATTTAAGCAAGCGAAGTAGGCATTAAGTATTTAGCCAAGCCTAATAGCATACTTGTCTTTAGTTATTTGAGATACGTTGGCGTAGTTTAAATTAACTAGGTTTAGGTCTAAGAGATAACAGTTAAATAACTGTAGATAGTAGAGCTTGCCATTAAATGAATTAAGCATACCCTGGAAAAGGAGATTTGGCGTTCGCCAGGATTTGTCTAGTAGTGTCCAGGCGGGTAGGAAGTGGTTTAATCTTGATCGGCGTACTCTCCTCAATGTACAAGTCAATGGAGTTGGGCATCGGACCTCAGCCTCAATGTATAACTAAGTTATGTTGCAGGTAAAAGTAAAATCCGTAGAATATAGAGGGATGTACTGGATTTGTAGCGGTCCCACTGCCTCCAGCGACACTCTGTTCCTGTAGATTTCCTGACTAGAGTTGGAAGTATTTCGTGAATATGGATTCCACATGAGCATAGAGCCAGGGCTACTCGCGTTCAAGGACAATTCAGTAAGCGCTCTATCTATAAGATATGATTCATTTACCGCCGTGGTGTTGACTGAGCATTGTAGGCTTAGCAAAGGCGATTGGACCCGCGTAACGTAGTCGATGAAGTTCGATTCGTGTATGCCGACAATAGGTATGCCAATGAGAGATGAATATGCGTCGCTATCGCCACCATTGACATCGTACCAGCCGTCATCGTCCATAAGAGCGGAACCTTCGTAATCTTCGATTCTTGGCATCTTAACATTGCCCCAGACATCGAGCGGAGAGGACTTCGTTGCTGGTGATCCCATGAGAGCTGCCACGAATACAACGCTTGAGTATGAAAGACCCTGAATAAACATATCTGCCGGGGTGTATGCGCCAAGATTACCACTGTTGACCATGTACGATAACGACTCGTGTATCTGAGCATCTTTGGTCCCGATGCTCATGACTCTGACAGAGGCTTGACCTCCAATTGGCGATAAGGACCACACAACTAGCAATGCTACACCGAGAATGCTAAGTGAGCGAAGTTGAAGCTGCGATATTACAGTGCTAGTAAGTGATGTACTACTGGCAAGTGTGTCTAATAAACCAACGCGCTCGCCTTTCTCAAGACGCCAGAGAAGAATAGCATGCGCCGCGCGGCCGATGATTGAGGCGAACAGGATAGGAAAGACAGTTGGACCCTATGTGAAGTCAGCTTTGGCCTTGGAGACTGGTCTCTAGGGTTGGTACATATTTGGTAGCTCTAAGTAGTGTCGTGGTGAGACGTGGGTACTCTGCTGTGGGAACTCGGTCGTGCAGCTTGACGACGATCGCAAATGCGAGAAAAGCAGCTGAACAAGCGAATAAAAGAACATCGAAGAGGCCATTGAGGGCTTTGACGTAGATTGGTGTGTTGATGGGCTTTGGTGAAGACGGCCAGTCCGGTAGAGTCGAAGGCTTTTCTCGATGCAACAGAAACCCGGCTGGTGGTTGATTATGACTGGTACGTTGTAGCCTGATGCCTGCTACTGTGGAGTCTGTTGGAAGCTCATCTCCTGATGTTTCATTATTGTGATCTGATAGAGACCCAGTTGTAGCGTCGCAGTGATTGTGAAGGTTCGGTTGGTGATCTGTCGACAGGGCGCTGCTGGGTGGGGACGGTTCGGGTCGCATTTCAGTCTCTCGATCTAGTAAGGTCTGTTCTTGGTGTTCCTCCTCGCTCATAGTGATACAGTAGGGATCTGACCGGTGTGTAGACATGGCTGCGAGGGCTAGATGGGATCTGCTACAGCATCACTGGGTCAGAACGAGAACTAAATACTCATGAATTAGACTCTAGTATCATGTTATAGACGCGGTGCTCAACCGTCGCACATCGCTGGCGTCCTGCTGAGCCTCGTATCGCATGAGGCATTGCAGTACTCAGGCTTGCACCACGTCAGACAACGAAACATACATGCAGCCGTGAGACAAACCAATGTATAACCCTGGGGAATAATAGGTGCCCCCATTATGGTCATCATTCAGATCTGCACTGGCGCTAACGTCACTTGCGCAGTTGTGCGGCATACTTAGCAGGCACTCTCTACACGTTGCGCAGAATCGCTATCGCGTACCGACGTGCAAGGCGTTCTTGACTTGTAAGCGTTCACCGGTGTTAACTATACTATCCTATAGTCTGCTGAAATAAACCTACAGATTTCAGCTAATAGAATTATATAGAACAGGTTTACTATAGGTAATTAGCCTCTAGTTATAGAGAGAATAAAACCTTTTTATATAAATACAGTTTCTATTCTTAATTAGAAATAGTTATAAAGTAAAATAGATAATTAAAGAAAAAAAGTAGTATATTATAACTAGAATTATTCTTTTTATAAAATTAATTAAAAATACTAGAATTTTAGTATTAGTATAGATAATAATTAATATTTATAATAAAAGTATTAAAGTCTATAAAGCTATAGACTTTATTAATATATTTAAAACTCTTTTACTTTCTTTTAGTTACTAATATTCTTAGTATTTAGCTTAAATTTATTAAGTAGGTATTATAGGTATTTCTATCTAAGCTTCTATTAGCCTACTTTTAGTAATTCTCTAGACTAGAAATAAAAGGCTCTTAAAGCTTTAGTATATAGTACTTATAAATCTTTAAAACTTATACCTAAATAATTTATCTAATTTTTTAATAAATACTTTTTTATTTTATACTTTAATACTTTTATATAGTACTCTTATAAACTTAATCTATTATACTTTTTCTTAAAAAAAGTAGTTAATTTAATATAAATAAAAGCTATTTTTTTAATAGAAAAAAAATACCTTTTTAGAAAGAATTAAATATTATACCTTAGAAAGACCTAATAGTATTTTTCTATAGAACTAAATATAACTAAGCCTTAAGGTAAAGCTTAGCTACCTATAATAAAAAAAAAAAAAGCTTAAATAAAAAAAAATTTACTTCTAAATAAGAAGTAACTTACTTTTTAAAAATAAGCTAATAATTAAAAAAATAAATTAAAGCTTTTTAAAATAACTTTTAACTAAGAAAGTATACTATATACTTTTTTTTTTAATATAGCTAGAAAGTAGTATTAATAAAGTTTAAAAAGTAATTTATAAATTTAGTATTTTATAATTTCTTTTTAAATATACTTTTAAGAGTTTATATATTAGTAGTATTACTTAGTAGTAAGTAATATCTTAAATTAACTTTAAAAAAGCTTTTAAAATAATAATAATAAATTATTAGCTTATAATTTATTATAATTTTAAAAAAGTACTAATATAACTAGATATACTAATTTTACTTTTAAATTTCTACTATTAAGGTCTATATATACATGCTAATACTTAGCCTATATAGTAAAATCTAAATAGTAAGATCTACTTATAACTATACTTATTCTTTAGCTATTTCTATCTATCTTTACCTATCTTAGCTAATTTTTACTTATTCTAGCCTTTCTTTACTTATCTTTACCTATCTTTACCTATCTTTACCTATTATTACTTATCTTTACCTATCTTCTTTTATTAGTTACTAAGTTATACTTCTTAAGATTTTGTATTTTTAATAATTATTTTAATACTTATTATAGTTTAATTTTATAAAATACCTATTTTAGCTCTTTAAAATAGATCTATAGGCTTTCTATTTTTTTTAAAACTTAGTAATTCTTATATTATAAAGATAAAAATTATTATAAAATAGTAAGAATACTTTTTAACTTTAAAAAGAAAAGAAATTCCTAGTATATTAGTTTATAAATAAATACTATTAGGTATTTAAATAATAGTTTTTTATTTAAGTAATTATAAATAAGTAAGATTTACATATTTTTTAAGTAACGTTAGTTAAGGTTTATTATATATTATTAATTAAAAGTAAAATAATATATTTTAGATTAAGTATATCTTAAGATATATAATTTTTAATACTATTTAAATAGATATATAGAGTTATAAATATCTAGAATACTTTATAATAATAGAGTATAATAAAGTAAGTAAAATAAAAACTAATTATAATCTAGAATATTTATATAGTATTAGTAAATAAAAATTAGAATTATTAGTTACTTAAATATATTAAGGCTTTTCTATAATTACTAAATTAAAAGAATAGTTTCTATATATTTAAGTTATATAAAAGCTTTATTATCTTTTTTTATATTAAAGAAAGTTCTTAAAGTAATTTTTATTTTTATATTTTCTAATTACTTATTTAGAAATAGAATTATTCAAATAGTTAAATTTCTTTATAAAAGAAAATAATAAGATTCTATCTTATTAAACCTAGTAATATTAGGTTATTAATTATTAACCTAAAAGTATATAAAAATAAGTACGTATACGCTAAGCTAGTACCTAAAATCTAAAACTAAACATTAGGTAGATATAATATCTAGACGTAAAAACTACCTAGATGTAATATACTAACTTTAAAATTAACTAGATATAAAAATTAACTAGATTTAAAAATTACCTAGACCTAATATATAGACTTTAAAATTAACTAGATGTTAATATTAACTAGACTTAAAAATTACCTAGACCTAATATATAGACTTTAAAATTAACTAGACACAAAGATTAATTAGACTTAGAAATTACCTAGTGTATATAGAAAAGGTATAGAGTTATATATACTTTATTTCTTAATATAGTTAAAATAACTAGTTCTGTAGTTATTATTTTTATAGGTTTAAATCTCCTAAATATAAAATTTATATTTAAATTTTATATTATAATATTTATAAGACTAAGCTTTATTAGATTATATACTTATTATACTTTAATAGTAAGTATTAAAGTATATATTAGCGTTATAGTACTCTAGCTTAGTATTTTCTAATATAGCTAATTAGAGTTTTTATCTATATAGTAAGAAACTAATTAGAGTTTTTATCTATAGAGTATTACCTAATTAGTGTATAGGACACCTATATAAGTAAAGAATATAAAAATAAGCTAAAATATCTTAAAATAAATAACTCTGTAATATACTATAGATATTTATATAGGCTTCTTATATATTTCTTTATTATATAATAAGGTTTATCTAGTAGAACTAATTATACTTAAAAAATTAAACAGGATAAGTCCCTTACTATAGTAAATATAATAACTATTTATAGATAGTAAAGTAGAAGATATAAGAGAGATAATATCTTAGTTAATAAGTATAGATATATAAGAGGGCTAATTAATATTATTTTAGTTATAAATCCTATAGTATAAGAATAGGTACTATAGAAAGAGAGTATCCTTAAAGAGCAGGTAAGGCCTTATAACCTTAGGTAAAGATATATAGATAGTAAAACGTAGTATATAAAGAAGAATATATAAAACTTTTTTAAGTAGCTCTATAACCTTTCTAGTACTATAAGAAATACCTATAAGAAGATTTATTAATTTAAAATAGCAAAATATAAATAATATAGCTAACTACCTAAATAAAAGGTATAAATTCTTAGTAAACCTTACTATCTAAGATCTTTATATAAAGTATATATAAAGGAGTTTCTATTTATATAAGTTTAAATAATACTAAAGCTAATTAATTACTAGTCTTTATACTTAAAATTATATATAAATAGAATTAGAACTATAATTATAAAGTATAACCCTAGGTATAAAGAAAATCTAAAGGCGTTAATAGATAGGTATAGTAGAGAATAGAGATATTATTAGAAAGGTAAAAGAAAATAAAAGGAGAGGTAAATTTCTAGATAGTTACTATAAGTAGAAATATTATACAGTAAGTAAAGCTACTAGTAAATATAGAAGATTTATATAGAGATTAAAACTAGTAAAGTATAGAGAGATACTTACTAAAGTTTTAAATTCTAGCTAGGTCTATATATTACGCTAGGAGCTTAATGTATTAGTACCTACTATTAAATTTATTATATATACCTTAGTATCTACCTAACTACTTACCTACTCTACTAACTAACTATACTCTTAACTACCTATAGACTACGCATATACTTAATTATTAATAGTAATTAGTAATATTTATTATAAATTACTATTATTTTACCTACTAATTAATTATATACTTAGGATAATTAATTTTAGAGGTATTACTTACTTATAGGTAAGTAACTAGGTAGCTAATACTTATAAGATTATATACAGCCTACTAGTTCTATTCCTAGCCTAACTATAAACTTTCTTAGAAACCCTTAATACTACTTTAGCTAACTAATTAAAAGTGTATTCCTATACTAAGGTACTAAAGTCTACCTAGGCTTTTAACTTATAGGCTATAGTAGACTCTATATTTAATATATCTATACCTAATACTAATATAGTAGGCTTCTAAACTAGGTTTATAGTTCTTTTTAATATATTTCTTCTATAAGTAGGTACTAAATATCTAGCAGTAACTTATTAAGTTTATAATATAAAAAGAAGAAGCTTAATAAAGTAAAGCCTATATAAGTTTTAGAATATATACTTAATAATAGAGTTACTTATTAAACTTTAGTAATTTCCCTTATAATCTATTACCTAATACCTCTAACTCTAAGCCTTCTAAAACTCTTATAAATAAGTAATTATAAGTCCTCTATATCTATAATTA